GCTGTCCATTCGCTTCCTGTGAAGAACCCTGAGGAGATGGAGGCCCTCTACTGGCGCGAGAATGCTCAGAGTACGCTGGCAGCCAAGTTGGCCGCTCTGGAATTGGCACACACGAAGAAGGCGAAGAATGTGATACTCTTTCTGGGAGATGGCATGTCCATTCATACTGTGACGGCAACACGCAATCTGCTGGGCGATAGCTCCGCCAAGGTCTACTTTGAGCAGTTCCCCTACACGGGTCTGTCCAAGACGTACTGCATCAATCGCCAGGTGGCCGATTCCGCGTGCACCGCGACAGCCTATTTGGGCGGAGTGAAGGGCAACTACGGCACAATTGGCGTGAATGCGAATGTGCCGCGCTACGATTGCAAAGCCGCCTATGAGGCGGCGAATCAGGTGGATGGCATTGCCAAGTGGGCACAGGATGTGGGCAAGGATGTGGGCCTTGTGACCAGTGCTCGGGTGACGCATGCCTCGCCAGCTGGCGTATATGCGCACATCTCCGATCGCAATTGGGAGAACGATGCCGAGGTGATTTCTGCCCAATGCGATCCCGAGGAGAGCATTGACATAGCACGTCAGCTGGTCGAGTGGGATGTGGGTAAACGTCTCAAGGTCATTTTGGGAGGCGGTAGGCAGAATTTCCTCAACAACACAGAGCGCGATGAGGCTGGATATCAGGGCTATCGCACGGACGGACGCAATCTAATCAAGAACTGGCTGGCGGACAAGAAGGATCAGAAAGCCAGCTATGTGTGGAGTCACAAAGGTCTCACCCAGCTCGATCTGGACAACACGGACTATCTGCTTGGGCTGTTCGCCAGTGGACATCTACCCTACGATGGTGATCGCGAGCGCAGTCCCAAGAACAGTCCTCTAGCCGACCCCTCTCTCACCGAACTAACGGAGGCGGCAATTCGTGTCCTCAGTCGCAACGATGAGGGCTTCTTTCTGTTTGTCGAGGGTGCTCGCATCGACATGGCTCACCATGACAACTATGCGCGTCGCTCCCTAGAGGACACTGCTGAGTTCGCCAGGGCTGTGCAGAAGGCACGCGAAATGACCTCCGACCAGGATACGCTCATTGTCGTCACTTCCGATCATTCGCATGTGTTGACCGTTAACGGCTATCCGGTAAGTAAATGACAAGCATACAGAAAGCAATGCAACTATAGGAATATCTCCAACTATGAATAGAAATAGAAAACTGTGACCCCGAAAACTATCAATTCAAAAACTATCAATGCTCAAAAACGCGTCTCAAATTGAGTTAATAACTGTGACTCTAAAAGTTTGTACTTTAACAGCATCTATGTTATGGTTATATATACTTAAATATTATTTGTGAAAGCCATGTAGATCTCCTAAGCAGTCCAGGAACAAAACTATTGACTCCAGCTCCAGCTATGATTATTTTAACATATAATAATCGTTAAGCCAAAAACATCATATAGGATCATATTTTTGTAGGACCAACCCTGGGGAAATAGAGCTTTGACTTGCTTGTGCCTATCTAAATTCCATTGTATTCATTTGCAGAGGCGAGAGCAGGATATAACGGGGTTGGCGGACAAGGACGCCGATGACAATTTGCCGTATAATATACTCTCCTATGCCAACGGACCGGGCTATGCGGGCACCTATACCAAGACGGATGGTCGCAAGCGGGTCACCCAGAAGCACACGGAATACCCGCTGTATGTGAGCCCCTCGATGGTGCCCCTCAACGCGGACACGCATGGTGGTGACGATGTGACCGTCTTTGCCTCCGGCCCCTATGCACAGTACTTCAGTGGCAACTACGAGCAGACCAATATACCAGCCATGATGGCCAGGGCCGCCGGCATTGGACCCTATGCCAATGTCCAGCCTTAGAGCACAATATGTTCAACTGTCTGTGTATGTGTGTGTGCGTGTGTGTCCTTTATTGTCAATTCGAGTTACAACATGCAATTAAAACTTAAGCGAAACAGCTAAATGCACTTCTCATCACAATTTTCTATTTATACCCATTCAAAATGGTTGTGGTTGCAATAAAGTTGTGGAATTATTTGCAAGAGATAGGCGCAATCTTAAAGCGTATAAAGATCAAACTTGATTAGCAGTGATATACAGTTATCGGTAAATACCAATTTGTTGACTTTCTTTTTTTTGAATAGGGCAATTCGAGAGGATATTTTGTAGTCGATCCGTCTTGAAAATTGCACACTTGCTTTGAATTGAAATTGGTTTTAATTGAATGCCAATTGGCAGCAACAGCAGCGCAATTTCCTGTCAATTCGTTCATAAAAGAGACGGAAACCGGTGAGCTGCTGATGCAGGTGCACAATCAAATTCAATTAACAGTCAGCCTCGCTGCAACTAAAACTCAATCAATCAGTCAATCAACAGGCGTGATTGATAACTTCAAGTACCAAGAATATTTATGAATATTGAGTGGATTGCTGAGCTGAGCTATTGACAGGGAATATAACTTATACACCATATACTCTGTGCTCCAGTTACAACCGATTGTTCCCAGGTGTATTGAGGAGGAGCAGGTGTGCATGCAACAAAAACCAAAACCGCAACTCGCAGTTTGCAGTTTGCAGCAGTTCAGCACTTGTAATTGTGCAAAATCTCGTGTGTGGTTTGGACATTCCAATGACGTGCTGCCGTGTTGCCAGCAGATGCTTTTGGTCATTGTCAACCTTTCGGTTGAGGGGCAGTTGCAGTCATGCTTGACAACACACACACACACACACACACAATTACACATGTTTGCTGCACACACATAAGTTGACAATTTAATTAAAAGTTGCAACTTGTTAACTCACCCGGCAAATTCAGCAGCTGATGCTCATCCAATTTCGCTACTAGTTTATCTATGTATTGTTGATCTTGAACAGAATACAATTTACAATTTATATTGCGCTCAGACAAGAATGTCACGCAATCGCATGCTTAAATAAATATATATATATATATATATTTATCTATATACTCAACTCGTGTGTCAATTGATTTTCTTGGAATGCTATAATTTTTGCAAACATTCCAAAAATGTTTATCATGCTAATTGTGGAATGCTTCGAACAATCTTGCTCCACTTGAGTTGCCAGAGTTGCCATATTTCGCATAGCTCCCTTTAGTATCTGTCTGCCTCTCAATGTGTTGAGGCAAAACGCTTATTAATCTGTCATGCAAATGCAGCTAAGGAACTACTTATCTATATATATGTATATATATGTCATGGTTTGTGACTCGAGAAATAGTTTGATTTACTGTAGTGAAAGTTTGATCAGAAAAGATTTGATTTTCCCACTTATATTTTTGGGCCAGGGAATACTTACAATATAAAACTCTCAAAATAAAATGATTTAAGATGAAAGAACAACAACAACAACAACAACAAGACAAGAAAAGTTTTAAAAAGTTTTCGTTTTATTCTTTTTTTCTTTTCGAGTACTTTAAATAAATTCTATTTATAAACTTTTCATGAACTTAAATAATTGCACAATTTACATTTGGCGAGCAATGTTTAAAAGATATTTTCATATTGTAATGGAAAAATAACCACTGTGCCTATTGAAATTGAGGATACATTGTGCACATGCATACATATTGACGGTTTCAATCCTTTCAGAGAGGACACGTCACAATTTTGAACCATGCAATTTATTTTCGCTTTTGCATTCGCTTTCCAGCTTTTTGATTATTTCCGTTTGCCATTCCAATTTAATAAGATTATGTTTTTAATTTGCGAGCAGAGCAGGCAAAGGACATTCCAACTGGACGCCAAGTTTTCGGGCATGTTTGGCCACTGAAAAGTGGTTGGGGGCGTAAAGGGCAAAGGGTGCGGCTTGGGTGTGTGTGGGGTGTGGGGTGTGGACTGGGGAGGGGAGGGGAGGGGCAGCCACAAGAAAGTTAGTTTGACTGTGTGTGAAAGCCAAAGCGAACTCAAACCCAAAGTCCCAAAACCCACTTGGCCAGTGCAGTGGTGCCTAGGAAACTGGGTCAGCAGCGACATGAGTGCAGAGTGAGCTAGAGCGCGAAAGTGTATGAATGTCTGTGTGTGTCTGAGTGTGTGTGTGCGTGTGTATGGCTGGGCAAAAGATGGAGAACCACACACACTCACACACAGCCGTGCATAGAGAGAGAGAGAGAAACAGAGAAAAACAGGTAGAGAGCTAGAGAGCGTGTCAGCTGAAAAGAAATCCAGTTGTTGTTGGTTTTTGTGTGGTTTCGTGGGATCCGCCGACCAACAAATGTGGTTTAAGCTCTGCCAACTTGTCCATTTCTATTGCATTCAAATAAAGAAGGAGGGGGGTTGGGGGAAATGGACAATTATGCGCAATGCGCATACACAAAATGCTGTCGCTGCCAAGTTGAGAAAAAATACAACAACAACAGCAACGACGACGATGCGCTAGAAAGAAGACAGAGATAGAAAAAATAATGATTGCCCTCGCAGGCAGCATACAGAAAATATGTGTGTCCAAACTAATGGCGCTGACTCAGCCGCAGCCGCAGTCGCTGACGCTGACGCTGCCAGCGAGCGCGAGCTTAACGTGAGCAACAAAAAGCTTCGCTGTCGCTACGCAAAACTACACAAAAACAAATACAGATACATACACAGTGGGCAGCACACGAACACGTGACGCTAGCGTGCGATGTATGTGTGTGTGTGTGTGGAAGCTGTCGCTTTTGCTGCCGCAGTCGCAGCTTTTTAACGAAACTTTCTCGCTCACCCTCTCTCTCTCTCTCTCTCTCTGCCAGTGTAGCGCGCGCGCACTTCTAAGCACATTCAAATTGAACGCGCTTTTTGTATCTTTCGGATACACATTATGTACAACAAATGGCGTGTGTATGTAGGGAGCAGACGCAGGGGATTTTTTTCAGCGCAGCGACTGCGACGTCGACGCCGTACTTAAGTGTGCCACATTTTTTTATGCTTTTTTGCTGCCGTCTTCGCTCGGTTGCCAAGCGCGCACACAATTACAGCTACAGCTACAGCCGCAGCTACAGCTACAGACACAGATACAGATACAGATACAGATAGAGTGTAGATACATACTAGTATTTGTAATTTGTTTTTTCCAGCCTTATGTCAAAATTCATGTGAATTAACTGGCAACGATAGCGATGACTGCAGCATTTCAATTAATGCTGAGTTCGTGTCAATGTATTTACACGTTCATGCAATATAGATACACTTATTTATTTATTGCTATGTATTTTAACAAGCTGCAAAACTCTTTTTCGCCCCTCTATACGTCTATATATATATTTTTTTATCGACATTTCGCTGTTGCCGTCTGTTTACTTAACCTAAATGCGTAACGCGGCCCACCCACCTACCCACTCTTTGTGTGTGTGTGGTGGGGGGTAGGGGTTGGGGGGCTTATGTAAGTCTGGGTGCGGAAATGGGCTACATATGTATCCCGAGAGAAAGAGAGAGCGCTCAAGAGGGGACCGCCCTTTGCCCCAATAAACAAAGCTTTTTTAAGTGTACGCCTACACCCGAAAAAGAAAACCAAGTCGAAAACAATACCAAAAAGACAAAAAGAGGGTTGGGTTGGGTTGGGTTGAAGAGAAACACAATAGTTTTAAAATTTTGCCATTTATACATATATTTTATATTATTTCTCTTAATGTAGTGTTACTTATTTCGATTGTAATGATTATATATATTTATAATTATATATTTCATTTATTTGTTATTACTTTTTTGAACGCATGTACATAAGAATCAGAAATCGTTAACACTTTCTAATCAAAAATTCATTGACATTTGCTGTTAACGCCCTTTTAACTGCAAATATAATTGAAATCGGATGTTTATATATATATTGGTATTGTGTTTGTATGTATGTATATGTATATGTATATATGTGTATGTATATGTGACCCGCCTTGGCCTAATTGCTTATTATTGTACACATTTCAATTCACATGAATTCTCCAAATACAATCAAATGTACATTAATGTATGTGAGGCGGCTTTGTTGCTTGCTATTAAACATTTAATTAACTAAACATAGGAATTTAAAGTTTTTTTTTTGTATTTTTTTTAAATAAATTCACTACATCCACATTTCAAAACTTTAATCTTTGCGCAACTCTGTCAATCATACATATATATCTATACATCATCCGACTCTGATCTCTACAATTGAATACGCAAGTAACAAGGTATGGGTTCCAATGCAATAGTTTGTATCTGTTTCGTGTTGTTCTTTATCAGGTTAATAATAGTAAAAAATTAAGGACTTAAATTGTGCGTGTGCGTTTATATTTATATATATATTTAGTAATACCTATTTGTATAAATATAAGCGCGCACACGTAAGATGTATGTTTAAGAGAGCATCATCAAGCACTTGAAACAGTTTAAAAATACAAAAAAATAAATGAGAAGTAGAAGTTTTGATTGAAAAAATGAAAAATGTCTAAAAAATGTAACAGCTTTACTCGAGCGAGTTGATGACTTGATTTGGATTTGATTTACAATATATATTCTGTTTCGTATTTATAAATATATCTGATGAGTGCATATTTTTTATTAGTTAATTTTATGTTACATGAACATGTTTATATATATATAAGTATATATATATATATATCAATTTATATGTGCCTGTTGTTGCTGCTATGTCCTTTTTTCAGATCGTTGCGGGTATTGTAATTATTATAATTATTATTGTTGTTGTTTTGTGATTGTTGTTTTAACAATAGCAACAACAACTACATATTTACATCGCATTTGTTAGTTTTTTTGCATTTTCAAGTACATTTTGCAATTTTTTTTTTGTTTTATTTTTTTTTCTTCCGTTTATTAGAGATAGTTTTTGTGATTTTTGTTTTTCGTTTTTCATTTGATTTACTTCGTTCTAGCATTATGTTGGGGATACGGGACGACAGCTAATTGCTACCTGAGCCCAGGTATAAAACCACAGGTAAATACAGGAATTTCATTTATAATTATAATACAACTGAATTAAAATTTCCTTAAAATGTTCTCTCATATGGTGTACAAATCTCTCAACACAATTACCACTAAATACAAGTCGCGAATTTATCATCGTATTTAACTGCTGGGAGAACGACTGTTGTCTGTTCTCTTTTCTCGTTATGTTTTTTCTTTCCTCCATTTCTGTTTTTTTATATTTTTTTTTTAGTTTTTTTTTTTTGTTGCGTTCGTAATTTCCTTTTGTTGTTGCTTAAAACGATTTACCTAAAAACTAAACACATCTCCTTAGTATATGTATATTTATAATTGATTTTAAGGTTTCGGCTTCTGCTGCTGCTGCTGCTCCTTCCTTTTTCGGTCTTTAATCGGGTCCGTACCGATTGGTCTCTCAGTTGATGTTGACCTCCTGGCTATCGGTTCCATCGACGGCCATGTTCAGCGGTTGGGTGACATTTGACTTGGCCAGGCAGGAGCGTGCGACGGATTCAAAGAGCCTGCAAAGATCGTGAGAATGTTGTAAGCGAAATCAATCAACTAGCTGCTTAATGCATCACTTAAAATGACTTACTTTCTACATTTATTTTTGAATATTTACATATTTAATTGTTTTTTGTTTATTCAAATTTGTAATATTGTAATTTCTTTTTCATTTGGTTTTAACTTTACAAAATACAATTATAGATCATTCTTTAATATGGGTGGCAGGAAAAATAATGGTGGGTGTGGATGTGGTGGGCGGGTTGTTGGCACATGCAAAAACAATACTTAAAACTTCAACTCTTGCTCTATATTTAATATTATGCTGCACACTGAATGCTGTTCAAAGGCTTAAATCGTTTAAATACAATCAGACATTCACCAAAATATCTGAAAACAAAACGAACGAATGAAATAATAAATAACCACGCAACTGGTGTAAAACAACAACAAACTGAGTATGTGTGTATGGCTGTGTGCTAGTGTGTGTGTGCGTACTATCAAACTACGACTGGAATTACCAAAACTACATAAAAACATATACATATATATCTATAAATATATATATATAGAAACAAACAATTTAAAAATATGTACATTTATAAAATGTATAAGAGCTTACTTGGTAATCTCTGGTGCACAATGAACGAAATCATGATCCCAGAACTTGTAAATGGGATTCTTGATCAGCTCAATGAATGTGATGAGGAGGCCCCATGGATGCGGGCGATTCACGATCAGGCGCTCGAGCAGCACACGTGTGATTTGTTCTTGGATAGCCTCCGAATTGGCCTCGGCAAACAGATGGAGCACCGCACAGCTGAAGTAGTGCGTGTGACTGTTCGGATAGCGCAACTGATTGGCAATGGCATTGAGGAACAGATAGCGACCCTCGGTGTCCAGATCCACGGCCAAGTTCTGGAATATATCCATGTGAGCGCTGTGCGCAATGTTCGATGTGTTCGGCACAAAGTTCTTGTTTCTGTTGCAAAGATTTTTGATTAATAAAATACAATACAAAAACATACATATATCTATTGAATGAAAGATGGAGACTCACCTGATCAGGGCTATGGCCTGGGTGCCCACGTACATGACCAGGGCGTTCATGAGGGTCATATTGTAGCGTGTGCCCGGCTCACTGGTCACTTGTAGATGGCCGCGCAGCTCCGACAGGAATGTGACGGGGGCGCGGGCCTTCAAGTACGAGTCGAGATCCTTTTTGAAGTTGGGCGGCTGGATGTTCATGATGTAGCTGCTGCACACCTTGGGCGCATTGCTGCTATCGGAGAGCATGTCCACCTTCAGATTGGGCGTAAACGGATCGGGCAGGCGCATATTACGCGGAAACGCTGACAGTATAATGTTGCGCATCTGGACGCAATTGGGCGGTATGGTGTCACAGAAACCGAAATGATAGTCGCACAGGAATTCGGGAAAATCGTGCAGCAGGACGAGGAGTACGCGCAGCGTGCCCTTGTAGAGCAGCTGGACGGGCTTGCCCAGTTCGGTGTTGCGCAAGAATGGTGCGAGATATTTGAAGAGATCCTGCAACAGCTGGGCGTAGAGGGGCCAGCCCTTCTGGCCGGGTATCAGCACCAGAATGCGGCCAAGGAAGACGCGATGGGAGATTAACTCCAGCCAGGCGAAACAGAAACCGGGCGCCACAGTCGGACTGAGCAGATGATATGTGTAGGCAAACGCCGACACGATGCTGTGCATCAGCGGCTCGGGCAGACCGTCAGCGGAGCACAGCTCCATGAAGAGCATCATGAAGAAGCGATGATAGCCCACCTGCTGGAAGGCAACGCCACGTAACTCGTGATCCTTGAGCAGCGTGCCCAGCACAATGCCCAGCACCTTGTTGAGCAGATTAATCTTGGTCGTAGGATTGCCACCTTCGCCCGAATGCCGCACCAGCATCGCAATCAAATGCACAAACGCATCAATCCATTGGAATATCTTGTTCTTCACCTGATTAATTGGCATGCTCAGCTCGGCAAACATGCGATAGACGACATCCGTGCAGATGTGCGTCGCCTGCCGGAAGAAGCGTGTAATCAAATCGTCCGTCTTCAGTATGCCGTAGGTGTTCATCTTTTGCACAAAGGTACCGAAATTACGGGCATCGCGTGTCGTCTGCTGATTCTGCTGTGTGTAGAGTGCGACCCAGTCCTTCAGCAGGAATTCTGTCTTCTCTTGCAGACCAGGCGGATCATCCGTGTCGCATGACTATTCAAATATAAATAAATCAATATACAATTGCATAAATCGAAGATAACTCTTAGCTTACCCTCACATGATGCATGCCGGAGTGAATGTAGTGGGATGCGCCCGCCAGATATCGCTCGCCCGGATTGAATGAGCCATAATCGCTGGTGTTCAGATTGCCCGACCACAGAGTCTCAATTGCATTGACAATGCACTCGGGATACCGCTGACGATGCTGTGTGAGCCGGCCGAGCAGCTCAACGGTGGCCATAAACTCATTGTCGGAGACAATGTTAATCGCCCGATCCTCCATGATGAGACGCTCGAGCAGCGCAATGCCAAACGAGATGGCCACATAGTTGTTGCCATTGTCCATGCAGTCGCGCAGCATGCCATCGAACTGATTGAGATTGACAAAGTGCGATGTGATCAAGGCGCGTGCCGCTTCCACATTGTAGCGCACCTCTTCGCGCAATTCGAAGAAGCATTTGGTCACCGCACGCTCCGTGTTCGGTGCACCGAAGCTGTTGTGCAACAGGCTGAGGATGCGCAAGTGAATGTCACGATAGAGTTTCATCTGTTCCATGTGATCCTGGACGTTGATGAGGCCCTCGGTTAGGCCCTCAACGGCCCGTGTTAGCATTATAAATGCCGATTCCTGATCGCGTAGACGTCGTGTGGCCATCAGTGCATTGAGGAGCACGTGCATCTTGTTGGCCTGCAGCTGCAGTGTCGGCACATTGATGGCGGTATTCATGAACGCCTCCATTTTGTTGGCAACCTCGGCATAGACCATGGCGCTGTCATCGTTGGCAAACACATTCGGCACCTGGATATCCTGTGGCTTAGGCACAAACAGTGCAATATCGCGATCGCTCATCTGCTGGAAGCCGGGAATGCTGCGCGCAAACTCTGAATAGACGGCGTACAGTGTGGGCGGCACTGGGCCCACCTTGAGACGCACTGGCTCAGGCAGACGCTCCTGCTGATAGCTCAGGATTTGGGCATCCACAAAACGGCTGCCCTCCTCCCGTGCAATTTTTCTCGTCTCAAAATCTGTCGATAGCCGACGATCGATTTCGAGCGCCGACTTCTCGGCGGATGTCTTCTGGATGAAGGCGCAGACGAGCTCCACATTCTCATTGGCCAGTTGTATGGAGGCGGCCTGTATCTCGGACATGCTTGGCACACCAGTCAGCGCGGCCATGAATGCTTTGTGCAGATTCTGACTGATTGCGCGCGCAATCTCATCCTTGCCGGTGATCATGGCCATGCCAGCTGCCAGATTACGCACCATTTGATGGGCGGCGGTGCGCATGCGATTCTCATCCGCATCCAGGGCGAAATCTTTGCGTATTATCTGCTCGGTGGTGGCGCACGCAATGCGTATACTGCGATCCACAACCGGCTGCAGCCAATCGGTGATTGTGCGCTCGATGGCATTCACGACGATGTGCTTGATGCCCGGATTGGCGTGCAGGAACGGTATATTGGCTGGCAGTACCAGCTGCTGGGCGATCAATTGGAAATTGTTCACATTCACCTCGACGTAGGAGTAACGTGGCTCGGGCGGTGGCAAAACCACCTGGCTGGGATCGGTTGGCAAATTGGGCGAGGAGACGGAACCACCGGGCGCATTCGCATTGTTGTTCATCATTATGGCCTGTGGATCCACCTCAGCGGATGGTGGCGGCGGTGGTGCCTGTTGCTGCTGTTGTTGTTGTTGCTGCTGTTGTTGTTGTACTTGTTGCTGTTGTTGTACTTGTTGTTGCTGCTGCTGCTGTTGTTGCTGTTGCTGCTGTTGTTGCTGCTGCTGCTGTTGTTGTTGCTGATGTTGTTGCTGCTGCTGCTGCTGTTGGGGTGGTGGCTCCGTCGCCTTGGGCTTTGGTTGCGACATTTGCTGCTCGATGAGCAGAGCACGCGTCGGACACTTCAGATAAATGACCGGTCGGAGCTTCTCTAGCTCCAGATTGAGCGTTTTGCACAGCACTTCAATTTCGAATTTGAGGTTGAGCTTGAGATCCGGCTCCTGATGCAGTTCACCCAGCACAAACATAATAGACATTGTCCAGGGGTTTGGGGATTTGAAGACGCGCGATTTGGCCGATGACTCCAGAATTTTGGCCACAAATGGCACCACAAACAACAGTTCCTGCTGACCCTTGTGATAGGCCTCGGCCAGCAGTGATTTGAGGTCCAGGTCCATCTGTAGAATGGGTCGATTGCGACCCAGGGTCATCATGCCCAGCCAATGGCCGAGATTCTTGAGCAAACTGCGATCCGAGAAATTGATGACGCCCTTGTCGGAGCGCAGCAGTACTTTAATATTGCGCAACGTCTCCTTGGTCACATATCGATTGATCTCGATGTTCTTGAGTGCGTCGAGAAAGTTGTAGTAGAGCGTATGAAAATTAAACTCCATGGAGGCGCGCTTGAGTACTAAATACTGCGCCAGCCAGGGCCAATACTCTTTGGTCATGATCTCCTTGATCTCCTCGCATTTCTGTGGTATATTCAGCTGGCTGAGATTGTTGAATATGAAAGCGGTCTTGTCCTGCACGGGTTCCGGCGGCACTGTGACCTTCTCCTCCTGATTGGCCACCAGCAACGTATCAATATTGGTCGCATTCGCAATCGATTTCATACGCGTAGCATGCGACACTGCAACCGGCGGCTTCTGCACATTCTGTGCTGCAGCCATGTTGCCTGCAAATCAATTACGATATGAATTCAGTACAAATTGCACGAGAGTCGAGGGGAATCACTTACCAGGCATTGAATTGGGACGGTAGAGCGGTTCCGCTCCGCCCTGGGCGATTACCGATGAGGGTATGGTGTTGCTCAGCCCAATTAGTTTCTGTGGCGGCGGCTCCTGTCCATGCATGCCGAACTCCACGTATTGGATCAGATGCTGCGGAAATTCGGTAAAGTGCGGTATGGAGCGAATGTGCTCGCAGTATTTGTTGTAGGTGTGCAGACGGGTCTTGAACCGATCCAGGGCTGTCACACCGAAATAGTAGAGCTTGGAGCCCTCCGGTTTGCGCAGTGCATCCAGCACGCAGCGCAGTGACAATCCCAATGCAACAAAGGTCGGCACGAGATTGCGATCGATGATGCCGCCAAAGAGTTGTGCGGTTATTTGCAGCTCCTTCTCGGGATAGTGGGCGAAGAAGCGATACTCCTCGAACAGATTGCGCAGCATGCACAGGAATACCTCCTGTTCGCGGCGATTGGTCGACTCCTTAAAGCGTTGCAGTATGTCGAGAACCTCATCGATCGAGAGCGTCGGATTCGGTTGGTGATTGTAGATGCGCTGAAAGTATGAGTTCGCCTCATCCTCCACCTCCTTGGAAACGGGCATCTGTAGATCGGTCATCACCGGATTGTTCGGATTTGGCGGTGTTGGCGTCGGCTGCGGCCCAGCTGGCAGCATACGGCCGAGATTGCCCACATTCGGTGGCGGTGGCGCTGGGATTTGTATTGGAATGGGCGGATAGGGGTTGGCGCCGGGATTCATTAAACGCGACGGAGATGCTGGAGTAGAAACCAAGTTGTCTGTAGCCGTTCATAAAGATAGGTAGTATAAATGTAAAGCCAAATTACAAAACATGCAGCACCACACACAAACCATCCATCCACCAAAGAAAACAAAACAAAAAATAACCACAAGAATGAATGTTATAGTCGAGAGTGCTCGACCAGGACGAAATACCCTGAACCCAAGGCTTTACCTGCTTGTAAATCTGAATACATGATTTTATACCGTGTTTTTGAAGCGATCCTAATGAAGCACTTACAGATGATCAATTTTGATTCAAAGTAAATTCACAGAAACAAAAAGACAGACAGACAAATAGTTTAAAGCAGCAAGCAGACACAAAGAGGCGGTAAGGGCAGTGTCCCTTGGAGAATATCAATAAGATATCTCTAGTGGACACCACTTGGTTCCCATACTTATATACTTACTCAGCATGTTGCCAAAGTTGAAGGCGCCATTGGGGCCGCCCAGATTGAGGCCAGCTAGATTGTTAGACATGTTGGTCAGCGGATCCATGCCGCCCGGTCCAAACATTTGCTGTGCGTTCAGGTTGCCTGAGAAAGGTTGCTGCGGTTGCGGCGGCGGTGGCACCGAGCCGGGCACAATGCCCGGCCCCGGCAAATCCATGCCTCGATGACTACGCAAAATGCTCGGCGGTGGTGGCACAAGTCCCTGCGGACCACCTGCCTGCTGCTGTTGTTGTTGCTGCTGCTGCTGTTGCTGGGCAGCGCGCGCCTTGTTTGCCATGATAGTTACATTGGCGGCCATTTGCATAATCATTTCGACAATTTCGGGCTGCATGCAGTTGTTGATGCACGCCTGCAGGCAACTGATCATTGTGGTCACGGTCTCGGGCAGAAGCTGTGCCTGCTTGGGCGGCAGCTGATCCTCGGGTAGCTTGGCGTTGGTCACCTGCGGACAGCGGCGCTGCAGCACCTTGATCATGGCCTGCATGAAGGGCTCGCCATGGTCGCGTATCTTATCGCTCAGCCACTTCTCCAGCTTCAAGTATTCGCGTCGCGAGGCCAAACAGGCCAGATCGATGATGAACAGAAAGGAGCGCGCATTGAGCAGCGAGGAGAGCGCTTTCAAATCTTGGGCCAAGTCCAGGATTCGTGAGAGCTTCACCTGATCGAATTCGCTGCCACGCAAATACCATTCGGACATGGCGTTCATTATGGTCGGCCGCAATTGGAAGTTGGTGGAGCTCCAGCCGCTGGCCAGAATCACATTCGAATTGGGATGATTGCCCAGGAACGTGGGCACGAGCTGATTGAACAGATCCTGGCGCAGTGGCGTTAACGGCGGATTTATTTGCAACAGAGCCAGAAACAGTACATCCGGACAGTTTTGCGCCGGGAACTTGAAGAGTTCGTGCACCTGACTAAAGTAGCCCTTGTCCGCTATCGATAGAAGCACCTCAACCAGATGTAGGGACTTCCAGGCAGCGATCTCCTTATTCTCAGCATCGGGCGGAGTTTTCAGCACATCCAGCCCCGGCTGACTGAAGACATAGTCGGCAAATGAGAAAAGATCGGGATTCTTCAGCATGGTTGTTATCAGCGACAATTGACCCTCCGTGTTCGCCCAGTGGCGGTAAATGCATTCCGGTTGCGGAAACAGATTTGACTGTGTGGCCAATCTCAGGATAGTCAGCAGAAGATCTAAACCGATGCGATCCTTCAGCACAAACTCTGGATGATCGAGTTCTGTAAGTATAATTTCAAGGATAATATAATATTTTGTCATTAAGGCCACTAAGCATAGACACGATAATTTTTGCAATGGCTCGTTTTTAAAACCTTATACAAATAATTCTTGAATTAATAAAAAAAAAAAATTTCATTTGGCCAACTTAAGTAAAAAAAAGAAGAAAATAACAAATTACGACTACAAACTAAACAAAATTACTATTATATGATAAAAATAACATATGCGACACTTTAGTCAATCAAGTCAAAGATTGCTCGATTAGAAAATAGCCTGTGAACAGGTCTGATTTTTATGCATATTTGAATATATACTTTTCAACTATCCAATGGTTAAGGCTTACCCATGCAGACATCCTTCCAGTTGAGCTGTGGCACCAGCTCCTTGACCGCCTGGACGAACACGTCTGGCTTCCATGTTTGTGTCGCATCCGTCGTTTCCTTTTTGTCCTTCTTCTCGCTGGCAACGCTGCTGGATTCGCTGTTGCCATCGTTATTGTTATTGCTGGTGTTCTGTTGCGCCGACTGGGAAGCGGAGGAGCTGCTGCTGCCACCTGCACCAGCCTGCTGCCCCTGGCCCGGCCAGAAATTGGCTGGTGTCGGTAGATTTACATTGCAATCAAGCAGCGACGAGTGGCGCCGGCACATGAGTCCAACGATTTTGGCAACATCTTTTGGCTGCAATTCACGGGAGCCGCTGCCGCAACACAACTGATTCTTGCACTCTTCAATGCTCGATGTAAATTCATAACCGATTTCAAGGATTAAATTAATCCAAGATGTGTCCATAATATTATTTTTGCCCTGCAAAATACCACAATATAAATGCAATTATAAAGCTGGAATGAAAAAGAGAATCGAGCGATGTGGGGTGTCATGCACACACCTGATTTGTAAATATTATCTCGCATAAATGGTCATAGATATCCTCAATGCCAACTTCATTCAGATTATCTGCATTTGAGCTGCTCCAGCTGCTGGTGTTCGAATTCGTCGTTTCCTCCTCTGCATCAGTTTCGCTGGATTTGGCTGCCGTTGTCGTCGTTGCGCCCCGATATAATAACGGCGCTAGAACCAATGGCACCAACTCTCGTGGAAACTCCTCGCGTAACTTGTCCAAGAACTGCTTTTCCAGCTGTGGCGTTACGTACTCGCCCAAACAGCACAGCAAATACTGCAGTAAATCAAAGGAGATATCGTGTAAGCCGCTCGCAGCAGCTGCTGTGGCAGCGTTTTGGCCCAAATACGAATTGAGCAGCTCGGGCAAGGAGTTTCGGAGACTATCCCTCGCGCTCTGTCGGAGTTCGGGATGAGAACTGTGGGTCACCGCTAGCGCAAAGATGCACTCGCAAAGTTTGTTAATGCCGGTATGCTTGGCTACCTGTCCAATGAGCTCGGCAAGACCAATGGGCTTCAGACTCTGTGAGAAGTACAGCAGCAGTAAATGTTTAGTTTATTATTGTGGTTATCTATTTGTAGATGCAAACGAACCTTTTGTTTGGCAAAGTGCTGATCGAAGGCAATGCATATGTTGGTCACAAACGAGGAGCACTGCAATTGGCGCTGCAAGTGGGCGCCCAGGAGCTTCGCCTGCAGCTGCGCGTTGACGTTCGGTGTCGGATCGTTCAAGTTGAGTACCGTGAACAGATAGCGCAAGCAGCTGCGATCCGCGTCGACGCCGTAATCTTGGATGAGCTGCAAGCGAAATTCACACAGAGAAGAGAAGAGTTGATGGTGATTAATATACAGAGTTGCACTGGCGATTACCTGAGCATGTTGCCGTGCCCGGGCAACAGAAGTTCGAGATCGATAACTCATGAGCAATTCTTACAAAAAGTTGTCACCGCACAATTATTATCTGATTAATAATAAATGCACCTAATTGTTTTTAGTATTATGTTCTTTTTCTTCGATTTTCATTGCACACTTTAAAATTTTGACAACATACATAGAGAAATTAGGTGCATAGCCAACCAGTTTCACACCGATCAACAAAATACAAAATAATACAAAAACCCAAATAACAAATTCTAGAAAAGCCTTTAAAATACTTACAAACCGAACAAAGTGTACGCAGAAGCGAGACAACAACAGCTGTAACCGCGCAGCTGCTTCACAACAAATATGCAAAACGAAGAGAAGAAAAAAGTGGCATACAAAGTGCTACTCCTCGCTCAACTTGGGATTTTTAGGCCTACAACACCGCAAGGGGGTGAGGGGCAAGAAGGTAAGAGGAGGGATTTATGGCAATGTATTGATATTGGGGGCCAGACGAGGAAAATGTATACATGCAAAACAAATATGAAAGGTAATAACACAATTTCGCTGCTGCTACTGTTGCTGCTTACCACAATCCGAGCTTATACAATGTTTTTTTTTTATGAATTTGGCAATTTATTGCGCACACCAAAAAAACTCATGAATAGACAGTAAAAGTCCATACGCTGAGAAACTGAAGGGCTGGCGGCAGCGCAGCTGGCAGAAAAATTTGTACGCGTTTCGCTTTTTCTTGTGTATCTTTTTTTTGCACAATTTCACAGAAGATTTAACACTAAGCCGCACACAGGAGCGGCATGCACTGTTTATAGTTGTTAATAAGGCTAGTATTGTACATTCTAAATAACTAGCAACTTAACAAAAAAAAGGTAATTTTTACAAGAAACTCGCGCAACGCAGAGAAATTTTCTGCTTTTACACAAACTGTAATGGCGTCGGCAAAAATGCATGTGTGAGCGAAATGGCAATATAGCCGCTGTGTGCGATTAAGTTGGCAGCACTGACACCACTCACGATATGTGCACACTTTGCCAACACTCGTTTACTGTTTCAATGCTATTGCAATTGCTGCTATTTTTGTTGTTGTTGGTGTTATTACTATTTGGTTATGTATTTAAAACAAGGTTAAATGTTAAAACGTACCTGCTTTATTTGCTCGCTGTTCTCATTAAAATTTCGTTTGTTCACGTGTTTGACCAAATTACGTATCTGCGTTAGCGGTGTTTTCAATTGGTTCTCAACGTTCATAATTCTACGTATCAAATCGTTGGTAGAGTGTTCGGTGAGCTTTTTCTTTTCTTTTTGGTGTTGTTTTTGTATCGGCCGTTCTGCGTGTCGTTGTTTCTGACGGACTGAGCGCTAAATTGTGTGCTTGTGGTGGGTGGCGGTGGAGGTGTTGATAACGCCAAAAATTAGTCGGAAATACTTTTCATACGTATTTACCAATACCGATCGAATTGTCTTTGTGTTGGTGCTTGACGTATTTGTTGCTCTCTTGTGTCTTCTTCTTACTCTCGAAGACGTAAACGTAAACTGTGCTGCGAATTTCTTTTCCAATTTGCGGCGCAAATTATTATTATTTAGTATATGTTTTTTCTTCTGTTTTATTATTTTTATTTTTGTTTTCAATGTTTTCGTTTGCTATTTCATGGCACTTGGCTGAGGCCCCCCTTCATAGGGGCCAACAGCAACTCTACATTGCTGGCATCTATTTTGACAACAACAAAATTGTACAAGTCATTATTGGCTAGCTGTTGCTGCGACTGACTATTTATTTGGTTAACTTTTACCCCGTCCAAAATCTTTTGACCAGCACCAGCACACACACGTAATGGAAATGAATGAATCGCACGTACGCACACAGACAGCAACACACACACAGATGCACTGCTCAAAGCACAAAGAAATTTCTTCTGCACGTTTTATCCAACGGTTTTTCGGTAGAAAATAAACATAGAGTGCCTGTGCACTGTTCAAGTTTCTTAATTATTGTGGAAAATTGTATTGTTTTAACGCTTAATTTTGATTAGGTTAATCGCTATTCGATCGCTTTAATTTTGGTTCGTGTCTGTTTCACAATTAGAGATGTACAAGAAACGTCTTTGCAATGTTATCATCGATGTGCAGATTCACGATATTGACAGTGTTGGCAAACGTTGAACATGTGCAAGCAGCTGTTGAATATGTTTAATTAATGACTAAATAATGTTATTATAATGTTAATTTTTTTAAACTGCAATTTATATGAATAACTGCTGATCGTTGCTGTTGCTAACAGTTGCTGAACTGTGTTTCCGTTCGATGCCCCAATAAGCCATCATGCAGTCTGCACGTGTAACACGGTTGTACGACATACAAAAGGTACGTAACAAGCACGCACTTCAGTTAAATTAGCCAATCAAGTTAAATGTGTGCAGCGCGTAGTCCAATTGTAAGTGCATTATTTAAACAAAATGTGGTCACGTGGAGTGCCAGCGCCTCCAGGCGGCTAAAGAGGAGCTCCCAATCACGCTACTTGAGCACCAGCAGCCGAACCGACATCGAATCTGGGCCAGCAGCCGTTACGCACCACGCTCTTATCAATCCAAAAACAGTGAGTGATTTCCAAGAGCTCTACGAAGCAACAAAAAAGAAATTTCAATGTAAGCCTTAGCCAATAGATACAGGCACAGTATATAGCTAAAAACAATCAATAGACAACAATAACAAGAAAAAAAAAAAAAAAAACTAAACTATTTTTAGATGCGTTAAATCGTTAAAGCTCTCCACATATTATGTGATTATTCTGTTTGTTTCAGCCAAAAAGCTGCCAGTTGATGTGCATCCAGATGCCGTATTTGCGTGCAATGAACTCGACCTCAGCGAGGTGCAGGTCTATGGCTTCGACTATGATTATACGCTGGCCTGCTACAAGCCCATATTGGAGGATTTACTCTACAATTTGGCGCGTGAAATGCTCGTTAAGCGCTTTCGATATCCCGAAGAAATTCTCGATCTCGAATATGAGCCAAATTTTGCAGTGCGCGGATTGCATTATGATGTGGAGAAGGGTCTGCTGGTGAAGCTCGACTCGTTTCTCCAGCTGCAGCTGGGATCCGTTTATCGTGGACGCACCAAAGTGGGGGCAGAGGAGGTGCTCAACCTGTACCACAATCGTCTGCTGCCCATTGCGTATGTGGAGGGTCCAAATAGTGGTCACAGGGTATGCACTTCTAATCCTCCTACAGAAATCCCTTTGTTAATTATCCCTCTGCCAATCGTAGCACAATACAAACTCGAAAATGGTGCAGCTGGCCGATCTGTTCTCGGTGCCCGAAATGTGCTTGCTGTGCAATGTTATCGAATATTTTGAACGCAATCGAATCGATTATAATCCAGAGATTGTGTTCCACGACTCTCGCACCGCGATGGGCTCGTGTCATCCCATAATGCATGCCACCGTTATGAAGAATACGGAAAAGTACATTCAACGCAATTCCAAACTGGTGGAATATTTTAAGAAGCTGAAGCAGGCGGGCAAGAATCTCTTTCTGGTGACCAACAGTCCTTTCTCATTTGTGTAAGTTCTGCTCGCACCAATATGATCTGTAATCTGTAATCTATATCCAATATCTCATTAGCAATTGCGGCATGACTTATCTTGTGGGCGAAAACTGGCGAGATTTCTTCGATGTGGTCATTGTGCAGGCTCGCAAACCCAAATTCTTTACCGATGAATCTCGCCCAATAAGGCTGTATGACGAGAAAACCAAATCGCATCTGTGGGATCGTGTTTTCAAGTTGGAAAAGGGAAAAATCTATTATGAGGTAAGGCTAAGATAATGTTCGACACGACTACGTATGAAATCATTATGGAGAAACGATATTTTCCAAGTGTTGATCATATATTTTTTTAATTCAAATGTTATTAACAATTGCGTCAAATGAAAATGGAATTTATAGAAATTCGATTTATATGATATCAAGCATTTTAAAGTTGTCAGAGATCAGTTTACCCCGAAAGCCTGCACCTATTAAAAAAGCTGTGCAAATGTTCAACATAATAAATAAGTTATACTATCGGCTATATACAATTGGCAAATCAAGCAATAATCTAATACATTTCCTATTCCCCTGCAGGGCTCAGTGCGACAACTGCAGGAGCTGAAAGGCTGGCGTGGACACTCGGTGCTCTATTTTGGCGACCATCCCTACAGCGACCTGGCGGATGTGACCCTAAAGCACAGCTGGAGAACAGGCGCCATAATCAGCGAGCTAGCTGTGCGTAAAAGCTAAAACGAAATCTCGATCTATTTTAACTAACTCCAATTGCAGCATGAAATCAAGACATTAAATCGTGAGGATTTTAAGATGAGCGCCAATTGGCTGCAAATGCTGACACAGCTGATCGAGGACACCCAGGACGACGATAGCGAGGCGGCTCAGGTGAGCCTGCGTGCCTGGATGGATGAGCGTGATCACTTGCGGTATGCCAAAGCACTTTAAACAAGCTAAAACTATGGAATTAAAATCAATTTAAATGAATTACAGCAACAAAACAAAGAACGTGTTCAACGAACAGTTTGGCAGCGTTTTTCGCACGTATCACAATCCCACGTATTTCTCGAGAAGATTATTCCGCTTCGCTGACATCTACACCAGTGACATAACGAATTTACTCAAGTTCTCCACATCGCACACGTTCTACCCACGACGCGGTGTCATGCCACACGAATATGCCTCACATTTCATTTAAGCCAAAGAGCTATCTCGTTCACTCTCTCTATCTTCAACCCGCAGCTAGTAGACAAATGTATGTAGTTTTAGTTCAAAAAGTGCCAGTGTTTCTTGTTGTTTAGCTTGAACCTTAGAGAATTTATACATATAAATATATATAGTATGACTGTTAGTCGAATTTGCATAGCTGCTCAATAAAATCGTTGTAATAGTTGACAAAAATCACTTTTGTTTCGCTGGGCAAATTGTTGAGAGCTGCTCGCATCGTCTTCAACTGCGGCACGCTGCATTTGTGCTTGCCCCAGGCAATGAGATCAAAGAGATGCGTCAGCTTGGTCATATACTCGAGCGAGTTGATGCCATACTGCGCCGCAGTGCCCGCCAGCTGGAAGTCAATGATGCGCGCCAGCTGGCCATAATCCAAGTCATCCAATGTGACGCCGTCTGTGGAGTGGGTTAAACAATTGATATTTATCTCCACGGGATTACGCACAGTATACACTAACCTTCCTTGACTGCAAAGCAGGCTACAATCAGCTCATTGGCCAGGCTTAATTTTAAGCTATGATAGTCCAGCAGCCAGTTATTGAGGTTATCAAAGGCTTTGTACAAATTACGTCGTGCCTCCGACTCATGACAGTGCTCCAGCAGCGCCAGAAACTGATCGTACCACGTTGTCAATTGTGGCGTTTGACATGCGCTGCAGCAGATGCCCCCATTCCCGTCTGGCTGCAGCCACCAGCTGAGACTGCTTTGGTTGGGCACAAAACTCTTTCCACATTGCGTCCTCTCGCAGCGATAGCGATGAAATTTTAACTGTGGAGTAAAAAAGAGATTTTAGCATGGAATTGCATAATTTTGGAACACTTCGCATATAATATTAATCCAAAATTATATTAAATTTATGATATTTTGTTTTTGATTCCATAATCTTTATGGATCTCTACGAAATTGATATTTTTGAAAACAAGATAAGGTAAACCAAAAATTCAAAATTCATTAAGTTCGACTTTGCGACATTATCAGTAAAAAAAACTAATATGTTCTTGATTCTACTCTAATCTAAAGAGCAACATATTTATAGATCTCTACGAAATAGCTACTTTTGAAAACAAGATAAGGTATACAGAAAATTCAAATTTCTTTGCGACTTTGCGACTTATCAAAATAAAAATGAATGGAAAATTTGAGCCGATTCAATGATCTAAAGAATGATATGTTTGAAAACAAGGTAAGGCATACAAAGAATTCAAGTTATTGAAAGGTTACCACTGTAAAAACCAACTATAACGCACATAATCCTGATCCGGCTGTACACGCAAGCACTTATCGCAGCAGCAAGTAAATTTATAAATGCTCTCCAGTTGTTGCCGTCGCTGTGCACACATCGAGTTCCTGTAGTCCAGTGTGTAGCAATTGTAGATCTCCTCACCTGCCTCGATTGGCCTGGTTGCAAAATTGCTGACCACACAGCCATCGAACCGGGTGTGAATGGAGGGCGCACAGGCGTGATTGCACAGACTCAGATATGGCAGATTGATAGCCGTTTGGAGTGTTGACTGGGCAAACTTGTGCAAGCAGCCGCGTCTCAAGTGATGGGGTCCTTGCCAGAGTGCAGGCTGGAGCAGCGGGAACTCATTGGCGGGCAGCGAGCAGAGCGAGATGGCATTGCCCACATGGGCGTTGACAAGCAACTGGCCAGCGCTGCGCAAAATCAAAGCAGCAACTATCAAATGCCAATCCTCAAGAGATGCGGTGCTGCCGCTGCTCGATAACTGGTCATAGAAATGCGTGCATTTGAATAGATAAACTTGCAACAAGTTGGCGCATAGCGAGTGATAAGCGAGCTCTGCTGGGGGCAACTTATCCAGATGCGTTAACATGCCCATGCTCTGCAGAGATTGCGGAGCAGGCGAACAGTTCGCATCGGTGGCAGCCATTTGCATTAGGCGATGCCACAATTCTTGGGCATTTGAGGCGCTTCTTAACTGTGGCAGCCAATCCGGCAGATAGGTGAGAAGCAATCGCATGGCTAGATGCGATACGCCCAGCATGATCAGCAGATCCTTTCGATAGGCCGCACACTCGTAGCTGTGAATGTACTTATGCAGATCACGACAGCGGCGGGAACAGTAAACCACCCGCTGATGACATTGTGGACAGGGTATGGGTGCACACAGCAGGCTGGCGGCGCACTTCTGGCAGATCAGTCGCTGCTCAATGGGCACAAAACAATCGGCCTGCTCCGTAAATATGATGTCGCCTTCGCTGAGTCGCTTCGTGGCAATCATGTAACGTCCTCTGGTACTGGAATCCATCGAGCTGTAAGAAGAAATATATTCAACTACCGATTTGTGGTATTTGATTGGTATTTGCTATATTCTCCTACATTTTGTGTGTGTCTCCAGTTAATTTCTGCAGCTCTTGTGTCGACTCCGCTTTTTGACTGCCTTGCAGCATCTTGAGTTGCTGCTGCAGTTCTTCCAATTTCTGACAATAGCTGGGATTTAGCTGTAGTTGCTCCAAGCAAGCCAGATGTTCGCCCAGCTTTTTCGCATCGCCCAGCTTCCAGGCGCAGTGGGCCTGTCGCATTATGAGCTTGTGCTGCAGCTTCTTGGGATAGCCAAACTCCAGGGCACAGACGCAGTCATCGTAGGCCTGCTCGTAGTAGCCGTAATCCTGCAGCGCCATTCCACGATTGGCGAAACTCAAACAGAGTTCGTCGAAGGCGGTTTCCGCCTCCAGAACTGCTTGTGTATACAGGCGACAGGCGCTGAGCAAACATTCCGCTTGGTCAGCATTGTTTTTACTTGATTTCGTTTTGTACACTCGGTTTCCCTCTTCTCGCAAGGAACGCGAGCGTTCAGCACATTTTTGTCTATCTTGTGGCTGTTCTAAATCCTCCAGCAATTGTGTAGACAGTCGGTTAAAGCGTTGACGCTTATGCACCGGCAGCACACGTATCACCTTAATAGTTTCCAATTCATTTTGATATGTGCCATCGTGTGTAATTAATTCACCTTGTTCTGAGAAGATTTCCGCCAAACGATTCATTTGTTTTCCTTTAAAATGTTATAAATGGACAATCAGCTGATGCAAACATCTGTTCAATTTCCAGAAAACTATGGATACCGGTTTAAATAAGCATCTACGATATGTTATCCTCATGTTCATTTACATTTGCGCCAAATAGTTAGAACCAGCTGATTCGACCTAATGGCATACTTGAAAGAGAGTGAGAGAGAGAGGGAGAGCTATCACGACTATCGATAACAAGTAGCTGTGCTCTGTTATGGTTTGTTGTTGATCGTTTATCGGATGGCAAAAGAAAAACTTAAAACCAAAAGTTAATCACAACTTAAATTAAATATATTTACAACTACAATGGATTTGCAACAATTGGAAGAAGAAGCACGGCAAGCAGCATTGAAGGATATACAGAACATGCTTCAGCGGCCAGGGCAGCTGGAGAAGGTGGAGCAATACCGTCATCGCATTGCAAGAAAGAAAGCCTCCGTGGAGGCGTTGCTGAAGACCGGTATGCAAAACCAGCTGGAGGGTGTTCGTGTTGGTCTTAAGCAGCTGGAGACCTGTATGCAGGATGTGCGCGAGGTGCGTCGCCGTATGGTCGAAGTGGAGCGTCTGCTCGAAGGCGTGCCCGAAGTCTACGATGCGCTGGAGGTGGTGCGCGAGGAGAATACAAAGCACTCCCAGTACGCGACCGCGATGGAGAACCTCAAGCATATTTTCAACGTGGATGCGAGTGTACAGAAGACAATGGCGCTCATAGACGAGGACAAACTGTTGAATGCGCATCAGTGCCTGGCGGATCTGGAAAATTCACGCGATGATCTTCTCTACGAGCTGCACAAGCAGCCCAAGCAACACGCCTCCGATAAGATTACGCTCAAGCGTCACTTTGAGAAGGTCGATCAGGTGTCGCAAGCGCTGGAGAAAAAACTGCGTCTCATCATTAGTCGCACTCTGAACACGGTGCGCAAGAAGCCAACAGTAATTGTGACGGCTTTACGCATCATCGAGCGCGAAGAGAAGAACGATCAATTTGCTCTGCAGCAACAGAAAGTCACCAATTTCCTGCCACCAGGTCGGCCAAAGGCGTGGCGCAAAATGATTATGGATGTGCTGCAGGCAGCTGTAGTCACACGCATCGAGGGCTCCAAGCTGGAGGAGCGTGCGGACAATAAATTGTGGCTGGTGCGTGACTTGGAGATACTGCGTCAGATCATTCTGGAGGATTTGCGTGTGGTCAAGTCACTGTGCGTGCCCTGCTTTCCACCGCACTATGATATTTTTAATGAGTATGTCAAGTTCTATCATGATGGCCTCTCGAGCTATGTGAGTATATATCCTGGTATATCCTGGTATCTTTGAATTGAATTAACAAATCGCACAATTCGCAGCTGGACAACATTGTTAAGTCGGGACTGCAGGGCAATGAGTATGTCTCGATGCTGGCCTGGGTGATGCACACATATCCGGGTGCTGATCTTATGTCGCATGCAGATCTCAATGTGGATGTGCTAAAGTTGCCGCATCCGCTGCTGCATCCGGAGCACTTGAAATCGCTGGAGGATGAGTATCTGCAGAATATGGAGCGCAACTATCAGGATTGGATGAAGAAGACCGTCGATTCGGAGAAACAGGAGTGGTACTCAGAAATGCTGCCCGATCAGCGGGATCATTATTACAATAGTGCCGGGCCCGTCATCATATTCGAGATGATTGACCAGCATCTGCAGGTGACGAATACGATACACCAGGAGCTAACATTCAAGGCGCTCGTCCTGAGCATTCAACAGGTGGAGCTCTTTGGCCAGACGTATCTGAAGAATGTCATCGAATTGAAGGAACATCATTTTCGCAATCGCGATCAGATCAAATATTTTACACACTATATCATTACGATTGTAAACAACAGCCAGAATGTTGTTGAGATGGCCCAGCAGATGAAGCATCTGTTCTGGCCCAAATCTCGCACCGAACACTACGAGGACTTTGAGAAGCTGCTGGCAACGTTTCAGCGCATTCGGGCGCATGCCGCCAACTATTTGCTGGAGGAGGCCTTCCTGGACATGGAGTGCCATTTCAATGATCTGTTCACCATCAAGTGGCTGGGCAGCAGCATTGCTGTGGACACAATTTGTGTCACTCTCGATGATTACTTCCAGGACTATAATCATCTGCTGCCAGCCAACTTCGAGATGGTCATCAATGAGGCACAGAAACTTCTGGCCAAACGTTACATTCGCGCCCTGCTCTCCAAGCGACTGTCGAAGACGCGCAGCGAGTGTGATGCGGTCACGCGCAAAATTAACCAGGAGGCAAAGCGCATTAAACAGTTCTTTGAGAAGATTGCGCCAAAGATTTCACTGAGCGATTCTCCGCTGGATTTGATAACGACGCTATCTGCTCTAATTATTGCGGATATTGAATTGCTTGCCTTGGATTTGCATACGCTGCTGGGCAGCTATCCATCGCTCACGGAAGATCATCTGGTGCGATTATTCTACATACGCAACGATGTTAAGGCGGCCGAGGTGCGCGAGAAGGTGCAGGATGCCATGAAGTCCAAGAAGTCCATGGTCAGCATTGCCAAACAGGATTGTATCTTCAAAGAGATCGTATTTAGTGATAAACTATGGTAGTGCAACGAAAAAAAAACTATTTACTAGGCATATTTATACTGCTTATATCACAAGCACAATGATCGCTCGCTAAATGGAATGATATGTTTCCAAAATTGATGCTACATCGCAAACATATACAAAATGTATTAATTTAATGTGCACTTTTTTTAAATAAATTAATATCTCAAGATAAATTTCCTAAAGTTTTTAGATTCAATGTGTCTAATGCGTTAAAAATAGAATTATGATTTTCAAAATTTTCTGAAAAAAGAAAATTTTGAATATTAGTTCTGGTATATACCCAGTATACCCAGTGCAGATCAAGTTTACTTCGTTTTATCGATATATATCGTTTTCCGGTGGCAATAATAGCTGCAATTTGCAAGGCAATGGCTTCTTATTGATATATAATTATCATTAACATAAGATCCGATAAGAAACATCTAATTTATAGTCCAGTTGGAACCGCGTTTCACTCTCGAAATTCATGTTAAAATTATACCCTCAAAAATACTTATACCCTCGAAAAATCGTCTTGGGGATGATTCAAAACTTTCAAAGACCATCTGGATCAGTAGTGTTCGGTTTTGTCGTGTTCTGATTCAAATCTATGTATTCTTTAGTTATTTATAAATTGTACTATATTAGGAGACTTTAATTGGTGCTTAAATAAGTTTTTATACATTTTAAATTTACAATAAATAAAATAAATTTACACGGAATTGGTCAGGAAAGCATTTCGGTGCTTCTTAGATTTAACAACGGCCATTACCAATTGTAACTTTCTCATTACCTGGGCGTTTTTAAATCTTTCCAGCGCGAAAATTAGCGCTAGGATCATTGAGACGGCTTATAATTACCATCATGGTATCTTTATTAGTACTCACAATAGTGTAATTAGCTTTGCTTGTAAAATTTAATTGATTAGGATGCATGCATTTATGTATTTGTATAAAAATATCTTATTTTTGTATATTTTCAAGTCCTCAATCATAATATAAATTAATGTATAACATATATATATATATATATACTTACATTTGGTTGTGCAAAACAATAAAACTATAATATATTTAACAGCTGGCCTTAGGGTATATCGTAGCGAGCTCACTCGACTGCAACATTCTACTTGTTATATTCTTTATTTTGTAATAAAAAAGGTCTAAGTAATTTTCAAGAGATACATTTTGAATGCCTAATGCATTGATTGAATTTAAAATTCAAATTTTGCAACTTATTCAACATGATGTTTAAATTGAATTACTATTCAATTGCAGTTGCTAATCGACTTTTGTGTTTAGATACTTTTAAAGCCATTTAACATTGAACACCAACTCACAGAAGAGCAACAATCCGTTTACCGTTCCATTCGTCGCCAGTCAGCTGTTTTGCATTCTTTGGCGCGTTTTCGCTCGGAGCTTTCTCGCTGCGAAAGCTCCCTGCATGTGCAGACCAGTAGAAGTGGAGCCCCCGGTTGGGGAGGGATGGTGGGGGGAGAAAGCGTGGTGCGCCAGTGGGCGCAGCATAAGTATTGTGAAGCAGCACGTTTCCATATGATTTTCAGTTTTGTTTGTGTCTGTGTCAACAGTGGACGGCTGCCGCAACATTTTTTCAATATTTATTTATGTTTGTAGTGCAGTAAATTTCAAACGTATTCAAACATTTTCAAGCATAACAATAAATAATATACAAAGTACATTAAATAATATTAAAGTGCAAAATATAACAATAACCTGAGCTATTTTAGGTGAGTGGGAAGTGGAGTGGAGGGAATGGAGTTCAGGAAGCTTTAAGTCGCCACATAAATACAATACATATGTATGTATGTATGTATGTATGTATATATATGTAAGCGTGTGCAATCTTATATTTTGTTATAATGTTGTGCATTTGTGAGTGAACCTTGAAAATTTTTTTTTATTTAATTTTTTTGGTCATTTTTGTCAAATTTATATAAAATCAATTTTGGGCTCTTTTTCTCGCTTTCTCGCCACAGAGGCCAAGTGTGTGAATGTTTGTGTGTGTGAGTGTGAAGTGAGCATGAATTGTATAAGCGCCGACTGGATTTTGTGCTGCTGGGGTTGCTAACTAGAAAAGTGACTGGTGGTCCAGCCTCGTCGGTCGGTCAGGCGATGGCAAAACGAATATTTCTTCTGCTATGTGCTCTGTTCACCCATTGAACATCAACTCAATGCGCTATTAATAAATACATGCTGTAAATGCTCTCTCTGTGTGTGTGTGTGTGTGTGTGTGTATGGCTGTGTGACAATTTTCGCTCTCTCTGTCACTCTCACGCATAGCGACTCTTATCAGCAAATTGGGCCTCCCGCGCGCCTTTTTTGCTTATCAGAATTTAAGCATGCACTGTTACCTTATCAGCTGCATTTCAAGAGCTTTTTGCTTTTTTCTTTATTGTTAGTGACCATAACAAAAAAAAAGACAATTGAAAGACGACTGGTCGCATTTTGCCGGCACACGTGTGTGTTACAGCAGATAACCCCACCCCCAACCCGAACCACACACCCTTAACCCCAACCACAAAATGCATATATATATATATATATATATATTTACAAAACAGACAAATACAGTTGCAGTTTTGCCGGCTTTTCATGCGAAATTCGAAGCGTAGGGTATTTTAGTTCTGAGTGGCTTTTTAGCAATTTTCTTCTTTATTTCATAAATAAATATAAACTACAGTAATTTTATTTTGAAACTAAATTGAAATAAAACAAATTTGAAAATACTTCATTTCAGAGAATTAAGAGCAATTAACAATTAAAAGCAATATGCAGAACAATAAAAGCAAATGTTTTGCTTTTGATTAACAAATTTTGAACTGAAAATGTGTTTACCAATTATAAATTAAATTACATACTTAAATGCCAAACTGATTATTCTAAAATGTAATATTCTTTTCTAAATGCTGAAAATGTGTAATTTGATATTTCAAAATCATAAAATTTGCAATAGAAAATGGTAGGCAAAAATGAATTAACATCATTTCAAAAATATATAAAAAAAAGTAAAGATTGTGCAAGGTTTATTTGCATTTGTGTATACACTTTTAACAAGGGAATAGATTCAAAATATATTATAAAGCCATTCTATTCTCAATAAGTTGATTGTTAGACTCTTAACGTTTAATTCGTTATGTTTTGCAGTTGTGGAGGATTCGATTGGTTGCTTGACTATAAGCGATATGAGTAAATTGCATCGGGATCACAAGATAGTCATCATTGGCGCAGGAGCATCGGGAATTGCGTGTGCCACCAAACTGTTGGAATATGGCTTCCAGAATGTGCTCGTTGTTGAGGCAGAGTCGCGCTTAGGTGGGCGAATACACACGATACCCTTTGGGGATAATGTCATCGATCTGGGTGCACAGTGGTGCCACGGGGAGCAGGATAACATTGTGCACGATCTGGCCAGCAAGCATGGCCTGCTGGAGTCGACGGGCCCCGTCTATGAGAACTATCAGTGTGTGCGCAGTAATCGTGAGGTGCTCCCGGAAAGTGTTGCAAGCAGACTGAAGGCAATTGTTGGGGACTCATTGGTTACGCGGCAGTTGGAGCTGCAGCACTGCAGCGGCTCCCTGGGCAGCTATCTGGCCAATAAGTTTTATGAGATGCTGCGCCGGCCGGAGAACGCGGATATTGATCAGATTATTGCTGGGGAATTCTTTGATAACTATCAGAAATTTGAGAACTCTGTGGAGGCATCCGATACACTGGAACAGGTGTCGGGACGTGGCTACCTGGACTACTGGGAGTGCGAGGGCGACATTCTGCTTAACTGGAAGGACAAGGGCTTTGTGGAGCTGCTGCGTCTGCTCATGCGTAGTCGCGAAACGGAACCGGATACAGAGATGGATTTGGGCATTTTGGAGCAGCGAGTGCTCTTCAATAGCACCGTCGCCAAGATCATTTGGAATCGCAATGATGCGAGAGTGGAACTGCAGCTAAGCAACGGCGACAGTTGTGTGGCTGATCATGTGATAGTTACCGTCTCCTTGGGCGTGCTCAAGGAGCAGCATTTGCAGCTCTTCGAGCCCAAGTTGCCGGTGGCCAAGCAGCGACCCATCGAGGGACTTGCTTACGGCACGGTCAACAAGATCTTTGTGGAGTTTCCGCAGGCCTTCTGGCCGGATGACTGGACGGGCTTTACGCTGCTGTGGCGTGCCGAGGATCTGGTCGATATACGTAATACACCACGTGCCTGGCTGGAGGATGTCTTTGGCTTCTATCGAGTTAGCTATCAGCCACATGTGCTCGCTGGCTGGATAATTAATGCCAATGGCAGGCATATGGAATCCCTGCAACCGGATGAGGTATTAGCTGGCTGTATGTATCTCTTCCGACGGTTTCTACACTGGCACATACCGGAACCGTTGAGTTTTCGCACCTCCGCCTGGCACACAAACCCCCACTTTCGTGGCTCCTACTCCTTTCGCTCCATGGACACGGAACGTCTCGGCACCGGAGCCAGTGAGCTGGCGCAACCACTAACCGTGGTCACCATGACACCTCAATCCCCCGGCAGAAATAAGGGCGGACCACAGCAGAGTCGCTGTGATAAGCCCATTGTACAGTTTGCGGGGGAGGCGAGCAGCGAGCATTATTATTCCACGGTGCACGGCGCCGTGGAGGCGGGTTGGCGTGAGGCCAAGAGATTGGCGGACTTTTATGGATTGAGCGAGACAACGACAACAACGACAACAACAACAACAACGACGACGGCGACGACCCGGTCGCAGCTATAACAATGAGTTTTCTGGCCCCTCGGGGCCCTATTTTGTAAGTGCAATAATGTGTTAAAGTATAAACTGAAAAACTGATTAAACTAATGATGAGTTCTCTCCATCAACTCAATCAATCAATTCAACTGAACAATACTTCCTAAATAGACTTCATAAGTTAAACATATATATATATATATATATATATATATATATATATATATATATATATATATATATAAATTGTTAGCACAATAAAAACTGTTGATATCGATTAACTGAAATGTTGTTTGGAATTTAACTTTGTATATAATATAAATGCTTCCGATAGGTTTTTGACAACTTTCAAACGTTCACAGTATCCAGGGAATTATTTATTATTCAAAAATATGTTCCAAAATTCAAAATGATTTTATAAATTTTACAAATCTTGACAACTGAAATAAGTCCAATAAATAACTATGGTTTATGAATTTCCTTGAGTACTTGGACAATAAATTCATCAACATCATTATAGGATTGACTAAAGAATTCTTTATAGGATTCGCTAATTCAGTATAAAGTTTCAAAAGAATTGAGAATTTCCTGACTACTATACTTAACCATATAAAGACTATTGTACACATTCTTCCATTTCTATGTGTAAATGCTAAATCCGTTCATCGTCCATCATCAAAAGATTTACTTAAAAAATTAAAGGAAAGTAAGCTGAGTAAACTGAAAATTACAAAAAGATTTGAAAGTATCGTTAATTCTTCAGTTAATTAAGTTAAGATCTATGGGAAACGTAAGTAAATTGTTTATAGAGAATGCTTATTGACATACCATTCAAAATCCCGCAGTGCTGTTCGAGAAAACGCAATAGTTACCATGCATCCGACGGGATCCGTACGGATCCCAAGAGACTTGGTCAGTTCTTAGAGAATCAACCCAATTTACTCATACTGGGAGCTGGCGCCGCTGGCCTCGCCTGTGCCGTGGAGCTGAAGAACAATGGCTTCCAGAATGTGCGTCTTGTGGAGATGTCCGATCGCATTGGTGGCCGCATACGGACAATGAAGTTTGCCGATAACTATGTCGATTTGGGTGCTCAATGGGTGCACGGCCAGCAAAATAATGTCGTCTATGAGATGGTCGGGAAGCACAATTTGTTGGAATCGACGGACGGAATGTTTCTCCACGTCGATTGGATACGCTCCAATGGTGAGCGCATATCGCGTCCGCTGGCCAAGAAGCTGGTGAACATCTTGTCGGAAATATTCACTAAACGACGCGAAGAGCTCGTCAATCGCGAGGGCACCTATGGCGAGTATCTGATGGAGAAGTTTAACGAGGAGCTCTCGAAACCCTGTTTCAGGCACATCGATCACGAACTTGCCGCCGAGTTTCTGCGTACCTTCAAGAAAATGGAGGGCGGCACCGTTGATACGGATATGAGCGCCGCCGGGTATGGGACATACAGTCCATGTCCAGGTGACTGTTATCTCAATTGGCGGGACAAGGGGTAGGCAATGGGGATATAGTCGAATATTAGAACGGTTCTAAATCAAGTGACCCATAGGTGAGGGAAAATGCTTTGTGCAGACCTTAAAAAATTGGTATAAAGGGAATTAGGAAGCTGTATATTTAACAGACGGAAGACTTCCTCGTTATTTACGTTGTTTATAAAAGATTATGGATCACTTGATCTTATTTATTAATTTTTTTAGATTCCAAGCATTTCCTCTGCTCTCAATCAAGCCTTTCGTATCCTGGGGTTCATTAAGGGCTGATTGAAAGGATTTAACGATCCCCACATTAGTCGTATATGATCTTCCAATTATAAGGTGGAATACTGGAAGATTAATAATATTTACTTATTTATCTTAGAAGACTTCTCTTCCTGATCGTAATCTTACATAAACTACTAAGTGGCAAAATTGATTGTTGTAAATGAATCAGCCAAGTTAGTTTTGCAATTTGGTGGAGTACAAGGAATTTGTTTAACCATATTTCTTCACATTTGTAATAAAAACAATGCTTTCCATAAACCATTTCGGATCTTACGCTCCACTTACAACGATCTCCATTCCATCATTTGTAGTCTTATGTAATTTGTCCCCTAATTGTTCGTTATTTAAATGATTGCTTAAATATATTTGTGCATGTGGGTACAGGGTATCTGCTAGTCGATCTCTCCTAATGATGCACCTATCCCACTTATAGATTCCGACAGTTTCTGCGCGTGCTCTGCAATGGCGACGAGATGAATCTGCTGGGTGAGCTGAAGGATTGCATCGATCTGAACACGCGAGTGCTGCGAATCGAATGGGATCGCCTCGATGGTAGTGTGCTGGTGTCCTGCGAAAATGACAAAAGCTATCTGGCAGATCATGTGATTGTCACCGTCTCGCTGGGAGTGCTCAAGAAAAATGCGAAATTCTTTCACCCCAATCTGCCGCAGACGAAGCGCAAGGCAATTAATTTTTTGGGTTTCGCTCACATTTGCAAGATATTCGTCGAGTTTGAGGAGCCATTCTGGCACGATAATTGGCTAGGCTTTAATGCGGTGTGGCGCAGCGAGGATATTAATCAGACGCAACTGGAATGGGTGCCAGACATCTATGGATTTTATGTGTATGCCTATCAGCCGCGAGTGCTAATGGGTTGGGCGGCCGGCTCCTACACCGAACAGATTGAGAGCATCGATAGCAAAGTGCTTGCCCAGGGCGTGATGTATATGCTGAAGCTGTTTCTGCCCCAAGTTCAGATACCGCAACCGAAGCGAGTGCTGAGCACCAAGTGGAGCTCGGATCCGGCTCATCTGGGCGCCTACTCCTATCCCACGCTGCTAACCCAGAACTATAATACCGGACCCGAGCAGCTCGCCCAGCCGGTTTATATGTTCGCCTTCGAGCGAAATAAAGCTACCCTACCCTGGAATCATATGCCGATTCTGGTGCGACCCATTATATTATTTGCTGGTGAGGCAACCAGCTCCAATTATTACTCAACGGTTCACGGCGCCGTGGAGTCGGGCATCCGCGAAGCTCGACGCCTGACTGGCTTCTACCAGAACTAGTTGCTGTGGGTGGAGGCCAACACTTGACTCTTTTAACTGAATGTATGTATTTGGTTTTTAAAAATGATAAGCTTCTTTCTTTACTGCTCCCTGATGATCTGAGGCTTAAAGTCCAGCTCGGAGGCACGTTGCATTGATTCGGCATAGAGTGGCAGTCGCTGCGTCATGCGGAAACCCCAGAAGTCCTTGACCTGGCGGCACAAATTGAGATCCAGCTCTACGACCAGCAGACCATCGTTGCAGCGGGATAAGCTCTGCGGAGAAATGGGTTTGGATTGAATATGAGAAATAATAGTTACTTTCGACGAAGATTAAGTTCCCTTGCATAAAAGAATTGCAATGGCATCTTTAATCTAATAAATGTTTTCTTATAATTCTCTTTGTGAGCTGTTTGAAATAGTTGTTGATCATTTGTCTTATTCATTGGAACATAATTGAATTTGTAATTATTTATCGGGTTAGCTTTTTAAGGGAAAAAATTTACTATTCAACTTATTGTTCATATGGATCCTAGTCTCTTAGTCGACTTCTGTAGCCGAGAGCTTCTCCAAGATCTAATTTTGCGATCGATAATTCCTATTGTTAGACATCATGTTATCTATAGTGGTATATCAGACTGACAGATATGTATTCTCATAAAATCAACGTCAAATTCTAAAGGTATCCTCTTCAACGTACCGGCGTTCTGGAACCATCTGGCGCTGCCACATATGTGGAGCCGTAGAAGGGTCCGAAATCCTTGTGGGCCGGTTGTCCATCACCAGAGGTGTATTCGTTGGGGAACTGCTCGCTGCCGACACGATTGATGGGCACCGTGAAATAGCTGTTGGCAATGGCCGCATTGCGTGCCTCAATGCCCCACAGCGGCTCCGAGAGTCGCCCAATGGTTGCCGAGGGATTAAAGACAATTTCCGCACCGTTCACACCGAACATCATCCAGTTCTGCGGATGATGGCGACCATAGCAAATGTTGACGGCTATTTTGCCAAACTCCGTCTCAAAAACTGGATGCCCCGTGTTGCCCTCCATGTAGTAGGTGGACTCATTGAAGTCGCCCACTCGTGGTATGTGATTCTTGCGATGCTTGCCCATATAACGACCACTGTTCGAAATGACCACAGCCGTGTTCCAGATCGTCTCGCCATGCTCCACATCTCGCTCCAGTATCGAGTGTATGATGACCATATTGTATGCCTTGGCCAGCTCCGCCAACATTTTTGTTGTGGGTCCACGTTCCGCCTCCTCGGCGAACTCGCACCAAGGGAACTTCTCGCGCGTGCAGAAGGCAAATGGCATGGCTAAGAAGCAGTATAGACAATCATTACTAACTGATTTTAATTTATACATTAATCAATGACATGAAATATCTGAACTTCAAACTATCAATTTAGTATTATTAACCATTAAACATAATTGGGTTGTGATTTGCATAAGATATGATAATTTGACACAACAAGCATTTTTCAAGAATATTAGTTAATTATTTAAATAGAGATGTATATTGTTATATTATATGTTTTTTAATAATTAACAAATTAGTATTGTTGATTTATATCTGTTGCTCTTTGTATTTAAATCAGTGTGCTTTTAATTTTTAATTTGAATAAGCAAATTTCTTCATGTTTATTTTAGGAATTACTCACTCCATGCCTCCTGGGTGCACACAATGTTGCAGCCCGCTTGCGCTGCGGCCTTGATCATGACCTTCACCTTGTTCCAGATACCCTCGCGTTGCTCCCCAATTGGCGCCGTCGTCGGCAGCGCTATGGAATTTTGGATGGCGCCCACTCGCACCAGACGCGGCTGGCGCAGCTGCTCCTCGCGCGCCCCAAAGCGATAGCCCTCGATCTCGAAGCCATGCTGCGCTGCGGTGGCGCTAGCATCCACAGGTAGCTTTAGAATTTGACTGCAAGGGAGAAAGAGAGAGGAGAGAGAGAGAGAGAGAGTTTCGTAAACAAATCGATTGAGTTGTATGTATTTGTTTTTGTTTTGCTCGTCGAATTTTTCGCTACAATCTTTTTATTTTATTATATGATCGGCATATACGTGATATAAGTATATTCTAATAATAAATTTAATGTGCTTATATACATGGATACAGGGAGGAATACAAGCACATGTGTGTCTTCCGCACATTTACTTATCTCTGCAAGCTGTTAAGCTTTACTGTTTTAGATCGTTATCTAGTTAGTGCTGCTAGTTAATCTCTGATAATCGCATTATTTACATATGTACACATATTCTACTTACTCCTCCTCCACGCCATACAGAATGCGCTTGACCTCCTTTAGTTCGTCCTCTGGCAAGTGCTTCTTCAAGCACTCGTCCAGATTTTTCAATTCAAATTTCGACATTGCCTTGCTTTCGAATATTTAAACCGATATAATTAATTGGGAAGAGGTAGAGATATATACACAGAGAGAGAGAGAGAGAGAGAGGAGATAAACGCTCGCTTCCCAGTAACAACCACTCGCGACCGACAACTAATGCAGAATGATCGCGGCAAATTATCGCAACAAATGCCGAAGGTAATCTGACCGCTTCTGCTGCTGCTATTATTCTGCTCTCTGCTCTTTGCTCTCTGCTCTCTTTTTATGTTATGCTGAGCTGAGAGTAAACCAAAGCACTGAGCAGTCAACTGCATTAACATTCTCTGCTAAGCAGCTGTTAAGTTTTATGGCTTAGAACAACAGTTCTCCGTAATATTCCATAATGCTATAAATATTCTTATAATCTTCAGTCTTTTTCAAAAAAAGCATATAAATAGACAAAAGTATTTAAGTAAATCTTCCAATGTGACTTATGCCTAATTTAAAGATTTCATGCCTAAATTAAATGTACAAATGACTACAAGTAAGAATATTGTATACCCTTGAAAACCTCTTATTCAATATGTTATAAACTTCTACAAGGGTGTAAAATGTTGCACGCGTTTCAGCTGAACTATAAACAAAATTACTCTTGATTGAAACACACAATTCTCACCTCTTAATATATATACAAAATAATAAACTTAATTCATAAATGCTGGGTGTTTCAAACCCGATTTTAATGAAATTTTGTCAGTTAATCAATAAGATGTCAATGTAAATTATATTCCAATTATAACAGAAATCGAAATGAATCGATATTATAGAACGGCAGTCATTTTTCGATAAAATGAAGCAAACTTGATTTGCGTGAGATATACGAGAACCTAATTTGAAGTCTCTAGCTCTTATAGTATCTGAGATCTGCGTGTCAATACAGACAGACGGACGGACGGACATGGCTATATGAGCCCGGCTGTTGATCCTGATCAAGAATATATATACTCTATGGGGTCAGAGATGCCTCCGTCTGCCTGTTACATACATTTGCACAAAACGATTATACCCTTTTTAACCCATTTCTATGGGTTCGGGGTATAATTAAGTTCACAATCGCTTATTGTCACTGAAATTTAAATCTATGTAGTAAATATATAGAATATATACTGTTGTGTTACTTATGCATGTCGGAATTAATGCTTAGTTATTTAGATGGCGCCGACTTAATTTGAGAGAAAACTTGTTTTTTTTTTTTATTGTTGTTGCAACAAGCAAAATGGCATCAATTCTATATGAATAAAATCATTTGCATATATGCATGCGCAAACTAATTTGCCAAAAATCACACCGGATCTTTTGAATACTATCTAAATATAAAAATAATATACTTATATTTAAAATAGAGTATACATATATATATATGTACACATTTTTTAATATATATATATATTTATATATAAGGTATTAAACAAGTGTATTGCACATTTGGGTTGGCGTTCCCCTAACTTAAACTAAAAATGCAATGCTATTCAAATTTGCAATTTTCTCTAAAGAGGGTTTTGTCAAAAAAATAGGAAAACTCTAAACTGTTAGACAACTTCGGATAATTCTTTCAAAACTTTGCTTTATTTGATTATTATATATGAAATGTGGTTTATATAAAAAATATATAATTCCACCCGCAAACTTTTGGTGTTTCCATCCCCCTTTTGCGAAATTCTAGTTACGCCTCTATAAACCGGGCACATTTCTTATCTGCTGTAAAGATTCTTGCAGATAATAAACAGTTTGAGTTTTTTTTTGTTTTTAATTCATTGCATGCATTTATTGTCGCTTGTGTTCTAGTGTTCTACATAGGGGTGGGCTTTGATCCATTCAATAGCCTTCAGGATGTAGTCTGGAGTTGGTGGTGGGGTTGGTAGAGGAGGATGGGCAGCTTCCACATGGTAGCCATATTCATCGGCAGAGTATTTAATGGAAACATCCTCTCCCTCAGGAGACTTGTGGCTGTTTTCACCATGAACAACCCATGAGTCCTTATCCTTCAGCTCACCTTGTTGCGTGGCCTTAATGCTGTTGTCCAACTCAAGATCATACTTGAAACTATCCACGTTCACCTCGGCATCGTTTTTCAGGACCTTGGGATCTTCATTGGCGAAGGCCACTACCAACAGGCAGGAGAGGGCAATCTGTGATGGCAAAAAAAGGATTTATTTGAGTGTCTGTGGATGTATTTGTTATCTAGGATCACTTACAATCAACTTCATGGTGTTTACCGAATGACTTCGAAAGGCACACTGATAACCAGGGCTTGCAACCTCTTTGCTTTTATACAGACTGTTCCGATGAGCTAGGAATGTTAAATGATCAATAAATTAGATAAAATATGTCTTTAAGTGCTGCTGAATTTAAAAAAGTGTTTTGTTCTTTCTTCTTTATTGTGTCTGCTATACCACGATACTGCTGCACTTCCATACCAGTTTGCTTTATAAACATAACGAGTTCACGGAAGTAGTCTAACAAGCGACATATGCTTTCTTTCAACTAGAAATAATTCAGACGTCATAATTATTATTAGTTCGATTTTATGGAACTATAATTTTTGCGTCAACCGAATTTGGTCGGAACGTTATGATGCTATATAATTATGAAGAGCTCTACTCATAATGCAGCTTAAGATTTTTGAATTCTTCTTTCTTGAAAATGCTTCGCATAAATGCATATGAAATGATAATTTAAAAATTTAACTTTTAAAAAAGATTGTTTTGTTTTTGTTTTAAGAAAACCATCTCAATCCTTATAGACCTGTTTTCATTTAATCACCACTCCATCCTCAGCAATATTCATAAAACGATTTTGATAGGGTGTCAATTTGGTCGTATAACTTGTATTCTTGGCCAATAATGAATTGTTGTATTGGTTTTTGGCATTTAAATTTCACTTGATTAGCAGGTTTCGAGTCGTGCACCATATATTATTATGGAAATTATTATAATTTTCTAGCCCCGTAACCCCCATTCCGCCATATATCAGGTTGATTTTGTCTATAAAATTTAAACATTTTATATATTTAATATACATGAATTTTGTTTGGACAATCATTGTTTGAATAAAATAATTGTTATACAACAGATTTGTTCATTTAATAAGTAATTTCGCTTCAATTGGTTGGTTATATGTTTTTTTTTTTTTTGGTTTTGTTGTTTCTTGAATTAGTTTACATAATATAATATTTGGTTTCTTTTATTGTATTCTTTTCATAGTTTTCACTTTTACGCAAAAAGGTACATGTTGTGAAAAGGACTAACGCTGGACAGGAGCATCCGGCAAGGACCGTCAAAGGGTAAATTGTGCAGATACCTCGAACTCGAACTCGCAGAGTGTGTGTGTGTCTGTCTCTTTCTAACTAAATGCCGTGCAAAATTGGCAATTAACTGTACATTTAGCTTAGCACTTTTGATGTTGTCTCTCGCTTTAACGGGTTTAATAACAACAGCAACAAAAGAATTATATGGCTAAATTCGTATGGCAAATACTTTGGTGTTTTTTCTGTTCTAACAAATTGCGACGCCCCCCTATTGAAGGGGCGGGACTGCGGGGTAGGAGCGTTATTTACTGCACCCAGATGGAGGGCGCCCAGATCGGTTCGTTCTCCAGTCGTTGCACATGCTGGACGAGCTGCTCGAACGATGCCAGCAGCTCTCCATTGACGATCTCCACATCGAAAAAGTGGCCATAGGTGAAGTCAATGCGTTCCGACGACTTTATCATATCCTCGAACTCCTCATCCGTAAAACTGCGCGCATTTGCCTCATCGAACGTGGACTTGGCACGCGCCTCAGTTCGCGTGGACTTGAGTATGTCCAACTCTGGTGGTTTAATGTGTATGAGGAATGGTTTCAGCTGCGCTGTGCGCAACGTCTTAATCGCCTGATAGTGTGGACTCAGCACACAAACGCAACCGGCATTCACAATCGATTTAACGCTCTCCGCTGAGGTGCCATACAGATGTCCCTTGTACTCGCCATGCTCCACAAATTTGCCAGCTTCAATGTCCGCGTCCATCTTCTCCCGTGCCACAAAAATGTACTCCCGACCGGGCACCTCACCAGTGCGCATCGGTCGTGTAGTATCTGTCAAGGGATAAATGGAGAAAACAATAGGTTCATTGTTTGTTTAGTTAGCTAGAAATTCATTCCACTTACATGGCACCGGACTGCGAAACTTCTCCGGATCACGTGCGATCAGACGACGCCTCAACTCATTGCGTCCAACACCTGGAGCACCAATGAGCACAACTGGCCGAAAGATGCCGGGACGTGGATAGAGTTTGGCGACCTCCTCATACGTAGCAATCAGTTCGCGATCAAAGTCATCGTTCTCTGTCAAATCGTACATGATCTTTTTAGTCTTTGGCTGACGACACGAGGAGCTGCTGCTGCTCGTCTGCAGCCGCGGCGACCCCGGCGGTGTGGTGCAAAGTGAGGCGCATGAACCCGCTTGAGGATTGGGTGGCGATTGGAGTTGAAGGCAATGTTGAGAGCGATGGTGGTTGTTGTTGTTATGAGGGGATTATAATGAAATGAGTCAAACACATGCGAGGATCGATCAATTAATTTCAATTATCATTTAAATTAATAGAGTTATTCCATTGATTAATTGCATTATTTTCATTCACTATTTTTGGATTAATTACAGAGGTGATGATAAGTAGCTAATTGAAAAAGTTTTTCTTATTTCATGGATAAACTAAAACATTAAAATTTTCATTGGGGTCTTAAATGTTTTTTTCTGTTATATATAATTCAAATATAAATAAAAAAGCGAATCTGAATATTCAGAACTAATAAAATATTTCGTTTTAGAGCAACTGAATTTAAAATGTTGTTAATCTTAGTTTGGAAATATGTGTGAAATATGTGCCTTTGTAGTAAGAGGGTTGTGGGAAGCAGCTGTGATGAGTTTGATAATAATTTTTTCTGTTATCCTATTATGATCAGCATGTGAATGAATGATTTGATGTGTGCACACACTGGAAATGGATTTGATTAATACACTTACGCTTAGAGTCCATGTCGTTGCTCTCGCGTTGAGACGCTCGTGCAGAATGCGACGCTCCTGCAGTGCCCGGCTGGGTATGAGGCCAGCACGTGCTGAGCGCTCGTGATCCTTGCGCGCCTGCCACCAATAGGCATCGTCCTGGGCCACAATGTGCAGCACATCGCCGCGCTGAAAGGCCAGGCCCGCCTCCTTGCAGGGTATATACGGATCCACGTCGGGATTGTAGTCAAAGTGGGCACGCACTCGCACCTTGGACTCACGCTGGGCGCCTTTGGTGTCGGCGGGCACCAGTTTAAAGGTAATTGTGCCTTCGGAATTTTGCTACAAATAAACCGAGTATTATATATACACTAATAGATATTATATGGGTCGATCGGTTAATTACCAGTATGGTGAGCACATCGCCAGGCGTCTTGCCCTCCACATTGATGCTGTTGACCTCGATGACCTCGTCGCCGACGTGTATTAAGCCGGAGCGATCTGCAGCGCCGCCGTGCATTATTCTTGCTATGATTATCTTGCCCGTCTCCTCGTCCGTTTTTATGGTCGCGCCCTAAAAGTATGCAATGGGTTTTTAATCAAGCTAACACCACTGCTTGTGCATGTGTATGTATATATGTATATTTATGTGTGTGTACGTTTGTGTGTGTGTGTGTGTGAGGCTGTACATGTGTGTGTTTGGGCTCTGTTTAGTGTTCTTCGACTATTTGCCAAGTTTTATTAACACCAATGCAAAACATAAGAGTACAAAAAGTTTTGGTGTTTGTTGTGTGTGGATTGTTGTTGTTTTTTGTTGTTAATTTGTTGTGGTGCCAAGTTTTGAGAGCAGTCTTATTGAATGGTTGAACTATACAGTAAGGACATTGTTTACTTACAACAATCGGTTCCGCACTTTGTGCTCCTGTCTGTGTTTTTTTTTTTTTTGTTGTTTAGAGTTTTAATTGATTTTTGGTTTATGAGAAAATCAATTCGAATTTATTCGATTTTTGAAATGTTTTTTTTTTTTGTTAGACAAAAGCAAAAATTTACAATAAAATTTGTTAGCGTTACAAAAACAGTTTTGAAATGCGGATTAGGGAAATGAATGAAAGCGCAGATAGGAGCAAAGTTTAAAAAAAAGGAGAAGAAAAACTGAGAGCAAAGGACATGGGACAAGTTTAGGGCGAAAGAAAGGCTCGTTATATCGTACATATGCAGGATAACAATGAGTTCATAGAAATGAGTGCCAGAAAAGCAGCTGAGCAATTAAGACAGTAAAAGCACAATATGCATATGGTCGGCATTGAACAATGGATACAATGACAATGACTCTGATGGGCATGAGTTTAAAATGAGCAGCGATGAGAAAAGAGTAAGCTTCATACTCACCAGTGGCTCATTGCTCTTCACGAGCTGCACAATCTTGATGGTCTCCTCATCCTCATCCATTTCAATTGGCGCCTCGGGCAGATGGGGATAAAAGTCCTTTTGTGCAATGGCATCGTGTGCGAACAGCAGATGCTGTACATTTGAGAAAGTTGCAGTTGAAGTTTTGATTTTTGTTTCAAATGTTGCCTGTACTCACCTGTAAATGCGAATCCTGCAGCAGATGAAACGCCTCCTTGCAGTCGTCATTTAGATGACAGCTCTGCGACAGCTGCTAACACCTCGTACAGCACCTGGGCTGAGGTGGACAATACCGGTGCTAAGCGATCATCGCGACCCACTTTCGCCACCTTTGTGTGCACATTGACCAGGGCATTAAGCTCCTTGGACTCCAGCAGTGCCTTCAAAAAATCAATCTCCTGGTCATTGGACAAGTTGTCCGATTCCTTCAGCGTTGTTATCAATTTGGACAGCGCTGCAATCGACTTGATTAAATAAACAGGCAGGAAAACATAGAAATAGATGCAATACGCTTACCTGGATCCCAATTGATATCTGATGCCATAACTGCAGCTAGCATGCTACAAGAGACCCTCCCACACACACAAACCTACAGTGGTGTTAGTTTGTAACCCTTATGCTTGATGTATAACTGAAAGATAAATAGATGAGGGAACAATTAATAAGTATATAAGACTTAAGGTATATTAGCTTATTCAATTAATATAAAAACTTTTTAGATACTATTGAAAATACAGATTTGATGTTAATATAACTTTGTAATATCTTTGCAACAAACTTCCTTCCCCATTGACTAAAATCGATACTTGAATTAAACTCAATTTAGCCGACATTTTGCAAAGTCGAAAGTTTTGTCAATTCAGTCATAAACAAGATAATCAAATTTTGATGAAAGCGATGAAAGCGATGAATATACAATTTATGCAAAATCAAGAAAGAAATGCTGAAAGTAATTTTTCCTTAACATGCTGAAGGGTAACTGGTAGGGTAAGGTAAATCGAACTCTTCTTTTGCGTTAGTTTGCCCAAATGGGCACTACGAAAATGAGAGCAATGAAGGCAAAAAAGTCGCCAACAAGTCGTATGTGTAATGTCTGAGTAGTTGTGAGCTGTGTTAGCTGTTGGCCAATTTTACTTCTTCATTTTTTGAGCTTAAGCTGGCGTCGAACTGGCGACAATTTCCCCATACCCATTTCAATCTTCTTCACTGCTTCATATTGCTGTGTCTTTGTATATATACTCTGCCAAATGCAATTAGCTGGCATTAGGCCGTGGCCAACTAGGCTGCTCCACTTGGCCCGCAGATTTATGTCGGATTAGAAGCGCCACAATTTATGTACATTGTCGCGTGGGCTGCGCAATTTCCCTTTCTCTCTCTCTCACACTCCTCACTTGCCTCGTTTTTTGTGGCGGCTTAGAAATCTCGTTTTAGCCATAGTCATAAATTATTGTGGACAGACCGAAATGAACAAAACATTGCCGCAGACTGCATACATTAAATGTTCAATGGCTGCGCTTCCTGTTGCTGCTGCAGCATCGTGCTCCACAATGCGCCCAGCCAGCTGGAAAACAAGTGTTTGCCTTCTTTTGCTCTACTTTGAATTGCCTTGCTTTGCTTTGCTTTGCTTTACTTTGCCTCTGCTTGTGTTTCTACTTCTGGCCAGCTGCCAAGCTGCGGCACAAAAGTTCACTAGCACTTTGTGGCTGGATAATGGCCTGAACCCTTTGCTATTGTTAGCTGACTGCCACGGCAATCGTTAACACCGTGCCGGCTATTAGCTGTGTGTTTACGGCCAAATGACCCGACCAAGGCTGCGATAGCCCAATCGGACTTTGCTTTCCTTTCACAAGCAGCTTCCATTGTCATACAGAATGAAGTGCATAAGTATGTAGTTGAAAATGGCGGTAACTTTGTTCTGCTAAAATACAATCTCAAGCAGCGATAAAGATAATTATAATTACAATGTGTGTACTTCTGATCAGTTTCTATGGTAAAGTCTGTAAATGGTATAGGATTATTATTATTATTTTATTGACTACGTACTTTTAAGTAGCAATGCTTAGATTTGTGTACTTTATGAAGAAAACATCATGACTCTCAATTCTTTTGTCAGCTAATTCCGCAAGTAGTTTTATGTTTCTCTATTCAAAAGCAAAGGCCAGATGAAATACTTTCTAAGACAATAATAGTTTTGTTTCATTTGCAGATCATTTTCTTTATAATTATACTAAAGAAATAAAGTATCTATTATTTTAGTAACGATTTTTTTGGTTTTATAAAAACACATGCATGCTTCAGGAGAAGCACCCAGTTTGCCATTAGGCTCATATGGGTATGGCGCCATACTTTTATAAATAGCTGTTGGGCAAGTTGATGAACCCTAAACGACATTCGCATGCCACAATTTCTGAGTGATGCGAATGTGCGGCACGAATAAAAGTAATCAACAAAGGCTCCAGCTTGTTAACATTTTTTGTCCTTGACAGTGGTGAGCTGGGGTCAGTTGAGTGGACACTCAATTTGATGATGCGTTGCTTAGCTGCTGCTCTACTTTCCAGCTGCGGGCGAGTAGCAAAGAAAACATGGAATGACCTTGAACTATATACTACTCATATATGTACTTATATGTGTATGTGTATGTTAACAATATGCCAAAGGTGGCCCCAAAACAAAACCCACAGCTGACGTTGCCAGGGTGAAATGCATCGACGTCAGCAACATAAGTGCGGCGTTGACAGGGTGTAGAGGAGGGGAGAGGGATAGGTAGTGATAGCAATTATCCTGATTGGGCGCACTTTGTCCTAACTGCCTGGAATTATAGTTAGCGCACGCCAATCAGCAAATTATCGTAATTAAAAATTGCCATGATTTGTTGGATGTTTTAAAGCTAGTCAAGCAAATTGAGCTCTAAACTTAATTTCACATTTACTGGTCAAGTACGTGTCTCATATATGGAAACTATATATAATTGGATACATCCCGTATGTATGCTTTTATGGGCATTAAAACTCATAAAACATAAATTTAAAATTTAAATTTTAGATAAGCAAATTCGGTGATGAGTTTAAAAAATAATTAAATTTATTTTTTAATTTTTATATATAACTGTAACTAATTATTGTTTGTAAATGATTACAAACGAAGTAACTTTGAAAGTGATTTTGATATATTGAAATTGAAATATATTTATTGAATGCAAATTGATTTTATTCTTCAAGAAAAAGGCGTACTTATAAACGCCGTAAAATCGAGAAAATAAATTCATTAAATGTTTCCCTCTCAGCAGACTTTTTTGTATTTAGGTTCGACATTTTTCGTCGATCTGTAAACTGGTCTTTTGAATAAATATATTTTGACTAAATTGTTAAAGCTTAATCATGACGGGAACACCCTTATTGTTTTTTTTTTTTGTGAGCAAAGTGCGTGGTGCAAATTGCGTTGCCTAACAATTTGCGAAATTGAAGCCACCAGCTGCGGCTCATGTGTATCTTGAGCCGCAATTACGCTAATTGCCCGTGCGGCCGCAAAGGACTTGAGACTCTGTCAAGTGTTTGAGTTTTATGTACTAGTTGCTGTTGCTTTTTTCTGTTGGTGTTGTGCATAATGATACGTGTCAATGGGCGGAAAAACAAAGGAAGCAACTGTGCCTCTAAGATAACGTAACGCAGGTAACACAATACGACAGCATTGTGTGGCAGACGTGACGAGAGCACAAGACGAGGAGTGTTTGAAAATCAGGGACAAGAATGGGACAGCTTGGCAGATGAAATGAGATTTTTGATCACAATCGAGTTATTATTATTGCAGCAAATGCGGCGAGCAGGCTGCGAATAAATGCAAACAACATGTCTGGCAACGCTGCTCGAAGAGAAACGACGAAGGCAGAGAGAGAGAGAGAGAGCGACTGTGTTTGTGTGTGTGCTGAAGAGAGCGCAGCGACATGTGAAAAATTTTCATTTGGATTTTAATAAAATAGAAAAAAAAAACACGTAAAACATTCACACACACACACACAGAGGCAAGCGCAAGCACATTGCATGTAAATCTGAGCAGCAGCAGCTTACCTGAGATCAAATGGAATTCCACAATTCGATGCTCTCCGTGGTTGTTGTTGTTGTTGCTCTTTCTAGTTGTAGTTGTTTACGCTTATGTTGCATATGCTTAGTGCCAATTTAACGCGCAAGTTGACAAAAAAAAAACAAAACTTTTTTGAAGCTTTTCGCCGTCTCGTCGATGTTTTATTTTTAAACGCAGACACACAAAACAACACAGCACTTGGACATTTATCCGTACATATATATATATATATATATGTAAAATTATATATATTTGTATATATATGTCTGTCAGATTTATGGCACAGTTTTGTTGCTATTTTTAGTCAGCTCCACAAGGATTTTTGTTCAGCGTGTATTTTAATAGAATTTGCTTTGTTTTGCTGTTGTTGCTGCTAATAGAGTTTCAGTGCAGGTGCTGCGGGTGCAGGACCGTGCAACTAACGGCAAAAACCAAAAACACACACGCACAGAGCGACAGAGAGTGGGAGAGAGAAAGAGAGCGCGCAGTCAGACAACGACGAGCAACGACTGCAGCGAGCGACTGACTCGAACTGAGGACAAGTCGACCAGCCAACTAACTGTCTGACTGCCTCGCTGGCTGCCCCATTCAGAAATCAGACATACACACACACACACACATACACACACATTCTCAACACACATACACCACCGGACTGTGGAGGGTTGAAAATGCGCATGTCAGCAAAAAAGTGCGAGCATAACATAAGAATATATACAGGGTGTCCCGTTAGCTTTGGCTTTATTTGTTAATATTTTTTGCGCACATATATAATCTAGTTATAATTAGATTGCTAGCCAAACAGTCCGATGCCGCCCGCACCGCCCAGCAGGCCAGCACCGCCGAAACCACCGACCACCTTTTTGTCATAGCGTGCGCGAAAACCGCCGCCGCCAAAACCTCCGCCGCCAAAGCCACCGCCGCCCACGCCATGTCCAAAGCCGCCTTTGAAGCCGCCGCCTCCAAAGGCACGTCCCCGAATGCGGTAGCTCTCGCGATAGCTGCCAAAGCCGCCACCAAAGCCAGCAAGGCCACCAGCACCACCGAAGCCACCGCCGACCAGTGCCTGACTCTGTGGCTGTTGTTGTATTATAGGCACCTGCTGTACAATCGGCACCTGTTGCACCACCGCTGGCACTTGCTGTAGCGTGTTGAGTCCACCAAAGCCACCCGCCAATCCGGTCGAGCCCAAATCGTGTGCCACTGTAGCACCACAGATCAGCAGCACTGATAATAGTAAGTTGCAGCACCTCATCTTGAACGTGTTGTTGACCACGTTGTGCGACGCCGGCGCAGGCGCTTCAGCGTTTTTATGCCCCCGCTTGGGTGGTGCGTCATGCAGCAAACCCCCCTGCCACTTATGCTGTGTTTGCGCACGCATTAGGCAAGCAATGAGCGGGAACTGACATACTCGTCTCCATCCACGTGGTCCGGTCTGACCTTCACTTGCTGTGTGATGCTTATGATGAGGTGTGAACTACACTGGAGAAAATCCAAGAGTTTATTAAGGTATTATTTTGGTTTGTTTTCAGCTTGATTGCGATTGGTCACTTTGATAAATATTTATTCTAAGGTTGCCTATATCTATTTTAAAACTCTGAAACTTGATGTAAAATATAAATTATAACACTTTTTGTGGGGCATTTTTTTTTTATTTAATTAGTATTAAGTTAACTTATACTTTACAATTTTCTTATATTAATTATTATTATTTATGTATTTTTTTTTATTTATCTTTTTTTGTGTCAACTTAAAGTCAAAAACTTAAATTTAATTTCTATTAAAGAGCAATATCAGCTAAAACTAATTCAAATGTGTTGTGTATATATTTGTATTTATTATGTGAAGTATTTCTTAGTTAAAACTATGCATTTATCACAATGTTTATTAATATAAATTTCATAATTGCAAATTCTAATGATTAAAAAGTTAAAAATTGTCTAGTCAAGAGTTCGAAGAAGAAGATTTGCCAAAGTAAGCTAGTATTTTTTACAGTGTCTCAGTCGCGTCAGCTAAAACCCGAAGCTTACCATTGACATACATGCTTAGAAGCGCCCATGGACATGGATATATATTTTGTTTTGGGGGAATTTTGGCATCCTATTTGTGAATTGGTAGCGTAAACAGGGCAAGTTTAACAGACAGGGACCACTAATTAATTTGCATAAATAACCGACTGGGGTCTGGCAACCAATTCAGTAGTAGATGTGAACATGTTGCGGCAAACGGGTAACTTGCCAATTTTCTTGGCACTGCTCGTCAGTCTGGTCGTGGCCTCGCCCATTGTGAAAGAAGGCGGTGAACTTGTGCGTGAGAAGCGCCACTTTGGCGGCGTCGGCGGCGGCATCATTGGCGGTGGCATTGTGGGCGGTGGCCTTGTGGGTGGCGGCGGTGGTTACGCTAGTGCTCCGCTGGTGCAGACAGTGCCTGTGGTGACCACTGTACCCGTTGTCACCACTGTGCCGGTGGTGTCCACATTTTCAACGATTCCCAGTTACGGCTATGGACTAGGAGGCGGTGGACTGGGAGGCTATGGCCTGGGAGGAGGTGGCTTCGGTGGTGGCTACGGTGGTGGCTACGGTGGTGGCTACGGTGGTGGCTACGGCGGTGGCTACGGTGGTGGTTACGGTGGTGGCTTCGGTCGTAGCCTTGGCGGAGCTGGCTTCCTTGGCGCCGGCATCGTAAAATTCAAAGGAATTGGCTTCGGCGGCGGTTTTTTGGGTTGAACCATATCTCAAGTGTACATAAGCAAATAAACAAAAGTGCTGTATATAAAAACTATATATAATTGTGTGTTAATGTGTGTGTTTGCGTGTGTGTGAGTATGGATTTGATGATGCTGCAGTTTCTCTGTAGTTGAGCGTTTGTTTACGCCCAAGTTTCATTTAACGTTTGTTTGTTCGCTTATTTTGTCATAACTGAAAATAAATAAATAACATAAACAATGCTCGCACTTTAACAAATATCATTTGAGGCAAGGCGCAATGAAATCTACTTATTTCGTGGAAGAGCACTATAAAAGCGTATAACAAGATTTGCCGCTGTACTTAAGATTGATCTATCTCCATATATCAATTACAGTGGATTCAGTTTCGATTTGTAATGATTTTGCTGGGGAAAAACAACAAGTAAATCTGAGGGGCACTCTTCTGATATATTAAAATTACATTCCATTTAAGGTTGTCTTTGAAGATAGAAAATCCATCTATTTTTATAAAATTTCTATTAATGGTATTTTTTTAAAGGAAACTATGAGTAATAAAACCCATTAAGAAGCAATAAGTAAATTAAAGTATTGATATGAAAATTATATATTTAATTGATAAATCTTGTGCAATAAGCTTTTTGGAAGAGTATCTTAATTTTTACAGGAGTTTGTATTTTACATACCAAAATAGAAATCGGAGTCTAATTCCGATTCGGATTGACACCACGATTCAAATAATATCATAGTTTAATACTTTGTATAATAATATATATAAATAGATTCAAATATAACCACTTAATTCTTTAAATATGATATACAAAATATGCATTATTTATGGAATATTTTTGATCTTTTCAATGCCTTTTGTTATTAAAGACAATTTTATCTGCTGTTAGTTTTTTTTTTACAAAATCGAGTTAGCCTCAGGCGTTAACTCCAAACATGATTCAAACATATTTTATGTAGACAGATCAAAAAGAGGTCAACTGCTCCAAAATGCTCTCTCAGTGGATTGTTCCACTGTCTACCCGTCAAGTCTTCCGCTTCTATATCAACATCACATAGAGTACCCAAAATGATTGGGATAATTTCAGACAAACAACTTCAGAGTGGCAGTTAAGCATAATTAGTTTTTGCTTTTGTGCTGAGCCAGAATAATTGACAAAAAAGAAAAGAAAAAATATATATTTATATATATATATATATAACATTCAATGACAATCGAAAAAATGCCAGTGAACTGCCGCCGTAAACAGCTTCTCTCAAATATTTGGCTATAAATTAAAGTGCTACTCGGCGTACTGCTTTAGTGGCTAACCAAATGTGGTTCTGACTGTGGAATACAATGGAATACTCGAATCTTAAAATCAGTTTGGTGCTTTGCATCTGTGTGGTGCTCTGTGGAATGGGTAGCAGTAAGGAACAGGAGCAGGAGACGGAGCAGGAAGTGGTTCTTTTGCCCGCTGAGCTGCTGGAGGCGGGAGAAACTGCACAGGCCCAAGATGAGGGGAGTGTGGAGAGTGGTCGCACAGTGCGTCAATACTTTGGAGCATCACCCTTCTTCAGGCCGCGACCCTATTACGGTGGCTTCGGTCCGCGACCCTACTACGGTGGCTTCGGTCCGCGACCCTACTACGGTGGCTTCGGTGGCGGCTATGGTGGTGGCTTCGGTGGTGGTTATGGCGGTGGCTTTGGCGGTGGCTTTCAACGCACTCGCGTCGTCACCCGCACTCGTGTTCGTGGTGGCTATTATGGTGGTGGTTTTGGAGGCGGCTTCTATGGCTAATGTTTGCCAAAACGCTTTGCAGCTGATATATGTGATATTCCATTGTACTACCTCAATAAATGTGTGATGTTTTCTCGTTTCTTGAATTGGGTGCGAGATTTTATTGGTGGTGCTGTTGTGGAGGGTGTGTCGCTGCTTTATGATGAGAAAGTTTACGTTGGCTCCCTCCGCTTTTGTCGTACTTATAAATATGCTAAAGACTTGGCTCAGTTTTGATTTGGCCTTAAAATGTGGCGTTTCATTTGCTTAACGCGGCTGCTGCTGTGGTGCTCTGTAGTATGCCTGGTCTGTGGTGCCTTGGATGAGCTGGAGTACGATGCGGATGTGGCACCACCAGTTGTGGGTTAGTGATTAAAATGTGTATTCAAAAATATTTATTTGAGACATGAATATTTTATTAAAAATATATTCGATTGTTTCAGTTAATGTCAAAGAAATTGTTGAAAACCTTAAATCTTAGCAAACAAATTCATAAAATATACATACATATTTCAAAAGACTTCAGAGCTATTTTTAATATGCTTGGATGGTATATTACTGATAATATCTTTTACAAGTTGAGTCATAGAATTTAGACAAATAAATGTAATAAATTTATAATTCTTACAGTTAATCGGCATTGCCTAAGACTGACAGTTTTAGAGTCTCAGCATGATGGTAACATATTTATGTATTTCTATTTTTATTTAAGGATTATATTTAGAGCTTTATCTAAAATATATGGAAGGCATATAAGTGATAATATCTTTTAAGAGTCAAGATTTATATTATTCCAGTCACTAACTTCATTAACATAGGCATTCTTTCCCATTTGAACTTGTTCGCTTCTCAACTGCTCTTTCAGCTCCGCGTCCAACTTTAAATCTCTGGCACAGTTTTGTGGTGCAAATGCGACAGGCTTTAAAACGCTTTCAGCCCACCACCAAACAGCCCCACGTACGACTGCGCAGCACCACGCCAGAAACCGATTTTGATTACAACTCCACGCCTGACCAGCAATTCTATGGAGCACTGAACCCCATTTATCAAACACTTAACTTTTGATTTGGAATTTTATATGAAAAACTACAAATTAAACTAATATAATAATGTTAAGGATTAAATGAAGTGACTTAGAAATGCTTATTGAAGAGTCCCTTGAAGCCGCCAAGTCCACCGCCAAAGCCATGACCGCCAAAGCCACCACCAAGGCCATGTCCACCAAATCCACCACCAAAGCCATGACCAAGACCCAAGCCGCCAAAGCCGCCAAATTTGCCGCCCAGTCCACCCAGTCCGCCAAAGCCTCCAAGTCCTAAGCCACGTGCCACACGCTCGTTCTCCGGCTGTGGCGCCTGCTGCTCCACATCCAAGTCCACATCGAGTAAGTTGAGTGGTTCGCTCTCCAGCTCCACAGGCGCTGTCCAACTGCTGCTAATCAGGCAGCTAGCAACTATCAAAGCACACAGAATGAGGAACTTCATTTTCTTCGCTCTTTTTTTGGTCGCTTAGGCAGTTTAGACAGCTGTGATTGCTGGTTTGTACTTGATCGCAAATGGCAAAGATTCAGGCTTATATATGCTAGACACACACATTTCTACTGTCAGCCTTCTGAGCTCTTTTAGGGCAGATAGCTCTACAGCTATGGGCGGGGCTCGTGCATTTAGTTGCTAATTGCGAGTGTCCACATTGGGCGACTTTACTTGCTTTTCATTCCCAAAATGTACTTTCATTCATTGAAATTTTTGACCGTCTATACTCTGTTTTATGTGGAAGAGAATCTGGCTATATTATTTATAAAATATTTCTATTCAGTAAATATGGCAAATTTCGATAGACAAAATAAATATATTAAAACTTAGTCCAACATACGGATTTCTTTTTAAAAATAACCCATTGCTAATAGAATTGCTAATTAAATTAACAAGAATTAACTAAATTAACTATATTAATCTGGATGAATTTTTAAAGTGGAGCTACTTGGACTTTAAATAGTAAGCTTAAACTTTTAGCACGGGAAAATATACATAAAAATAAAAAATTTGAAATAAGAATAAATCAGTTATAAATACAAATAATTTTTTATTAATTATTTATTATTTCTTATTATTAATGTATTCATTATTTTATTCAAATTCAACAGTTTAAAGGTGAGTTTAATGTAAGTTTTTATGTAAACTTCTTTAATTTTTTTTCAACTGAAACAAAACTGTGTATTCCGCAGTCGGGCTACTCTTCCTTAATTCACACTTCAGGTAGAGTTGGATTGGGTTGGTTTGCTTTGAGTTTGGGTTCGGTTAGCTTCTGGCTCCATCTTCATCACTATTTGTGTCTTTTTTTGGCTGTGACTCTTGCGTTTGCTTAGGTCTTTAGCTGATATGTGTTGTGGGGGGTGAGGGGGTATATTTGTTACATCATGTTTGCCGTTGTGCTTACCACCCTGCTTGTTGCCGGGCTGGTCTTGAAACGTAATCCAATTGACCTTAATGTGTTTGACTAGCTAACATTTGTCAGCACAGTTGAAGATTTGGTAATCGAACCAGTTGGCCATTTTAGAAATTGTGCTAATTTTAATTTTCAAATTCTATTGGGAAACTGCTTTCAACACATTTTGGCTGGTTTTATTAGAACTTGTTTTCGAGTATACCGGCCCCCTTATTAGAGTTCTTAGATTTTTTTTAATATGATGACGCCTATCGCTAGTTCAACGCACCTTTTTTTGTTTGTTTTTTTTTCATATTAAATATATATATTAAATTAATATTTTTCTATTGATTGTGCTAACTGCAAATTGATTTACTTAGCAGTTTGCTATGCCTTCGCATATAATTTTTATATTTGTTGCTTTTGTTGATTTTGCTATGATGTGGATACCAGTTGCGTCGGGGCTTTATCCTCTCCAGCATTGACTTTTGACTGATGCGTGGCCTCCGAACTGTGTCCCGGACAAATGCACGCGACCAGACAAGCGGATCCAGACTGGCATCATAGCTGGCTGCGTTGTGGCGCCACCAGGGCAATGCCTCGCACTGCAGCATTGGGAGCAGCAGCAACAGCAGTAGCAGAAGACTCAAAGTTGCTGTTGTATTACTAATTACAAGTGTATAGCGCATCTCGTGAATGTGTGTGTGTGTGAGTGTTTGTGTCCTACTTGCGTCGCGGTTAATTAGAAACTGTCGCATTCGGAGTGCAATGCAGTGCTTCTTATATAGCGTAGAGTAGGCTTGGGTTGCTTGGGATTCCCTTTCCTCTGCAAATGCAACCAAATGTTGACAAATAGACAAAAACCTTTTGCGTACTACACAATTATCTGTAAGACCATTTTTGAGATTACCTGCAGCCTTACACACACACACACAAACTCACTCAAAATTGTATGAATGATCTATGGGATATGTTAAAAATGCTGTGCTGGTCAACAAGAAAATGCTGTTAGCTGGTTTGTTTTTTTTTTCATTGAATAATAATAAATCATAAATCTATTTTTATATGTATTTCTCTATATTTCATTATAAATAAGATGTAATACATACTGTATACAGTTCATTATATACATATGATAAACACTATGAGGCTGTTTTATTTAGTTACCTGAACTATTGAAAATAAATAAAGATATTAGATAAACATAATTAAATAAATATTTATTTGCAATATATTTTGCATTTATAATGAATTTACAAGCTTGCAACCCTTACAACCTTACCTTTCCAAACATAGATACAGGTAGTTCCCAATAACTCGAGAACATTCAACATGTTTATTGACCATGGAATTGCTGTCTGAGTTGCTCGACGGGTAGTTTTTGGTCGCAAATATTTCCGCTTAAAACAGCATGTGTCGTCATTAACAAGAGACAATGGGTACCTAGATTTCACTTTCCGTAATTGCAAGTGAAATGTAGTCAAAGAGCTAACTGAAAACTGACAAACATACATATATGAATAGGTCTTAAAGTACCCGAATGAAGTGTCTGCTCAATATACTCGACTCTGGGCTGCATTTTAGCCTTGCACTTGACACCAACTGTTGGCTGCACAATTAGCATGTTGTGTGTGTGTTGGCCTGTGAAATATGCACAAGTGGCAAAACCAGTTAACAGCAAGAGCAACAGCAGCAGCAGCAGCAGCAGCAGCAACGCCAACTTCAGGGCGGCATACAAACTAATCCAAAGTCCCAGTTAGCCCACTTTCGTGTTGGCTCGCAGCTAACTGCAATTGACACATTTGAGTGAGGAGAAAAATGAAGAAAACTAGAAAGAACAGCTAGCTGTGGCATAACGAATATTATATACACTTCCAGATAATAAAAATCGGCGAACGTATAAATTAAACTGAAAGCTCACCTAATATTTCGATGGGATATGATGCAGAAGTCTACTTATTTATTTCTAGCTTGGTAATCATATGTTCAAAATGAAAAAAACAATTTTGTATGCCAGTATTTTAAGAATGTGGTGAGCACTATAACAAGTATAACTGAGTAATAAATAAGTTCGATCAAAAGTCTTATCAATATAGCCCATGAATCAATGAAAATGTATATATGCTTTAAGCAGATGATTTCTTTAGTAGTGTGATAAGAATGCCCACGATAAGGGTATCGAAATTGACACAGAAAATGTTGCATAAAAGGTGCAGTTGCCGCCAGATTTGGTCACAGTCTGCCACCAAAGTTCTCCGAAGAAGATGTGCAACAAATTACTGCTACTGCAGCTTTTAGTAATCTGCCTTATCCTGGCCATTCCGGCGCAGGTACAACAGACGCGACTCCGTCTGCCACCTGGCTACAATATGCGATTGGGTCCGGTGCCTGCGCGATTTGTGGGGAAAGGAGCTTACACGCTGGTCGGCAAGCGAGCATCGCCTCCAGCTAAATGGCAGCAGCAGCCACAGCAAGTGCAACAACTTCAACAACTCCAGCAACAAAAGCAACTCCAACAACAACAACAGCGACGCCAGCAGCTATTTCAGTGGGCCACAATGGGCGGCAAAATGCACAACTAACTTAAATTTTTGAAAATGCATACGAAATTTATTTAGCTAAATAAATAAAATAAATTAGTTTTGAATAGGTTAAATTTTGCAAGTGTTGCTGCTTCAAAAAGCGGGTGCATAATTATGCATAATCATGCTGTGATCGAGACCACCGCCAAAGTAGCCAGGCATGCCAAGTGGGCCACCAGGCTGGCCATAGAGTCCTCCTGCATTGAGTGCACCACTTAAGCCGGGCAAATTAGCCTGATTGACAATATTATTCAGTGGCCCAAAGTTGTCCAGCGGAGGTTGAGCGCCAAATCCCTGACCTAGGTGAGCGTTGGGATACAGCCCTTGAGAATTGCCGTACATGAAACCAGCATTTGGCGGATTGCCCGGATAGCCGCCCAAGCCAACTCCAAGTCCCAGTCCAAAGTTAGTGCCAGAACCAGGTAGACCCAGGCCCAAGCCCAGACCCATGCTGGGATCAGCTGGATAGTTGTTGGCAATATTCGATTGCGGGCCAAGCTGTCCTGGCATGCCCAGGAATGGTGATCCAGTTAATCCACCGGCGCCAAGAAGCATGCTTGGATAGTTGGGATACCGTGCTAGCTGCATATTTGCCATGGGATTCATGGACAGTCCAGTCATTCCCGACATTCCTGGCATCTGCATGCCGGGCGTCATGTTGGCCATATTCCCAGTCATCATCTTTACATCCGCTTCGGTTGTGGCGCCTTGACCCTTGAGCTGTCGCTGCTCACGTTCCTGATGCTCCTTCAGGGGTTGCGCTGGGCAGCTGGAGAGGAGCAGCAGCAGCAGCAGCGAGATTGGCAGCAAGGATTTCGGGTCGACAGACTTCATTTTGCTTAGATTTGCTTTGCTCAACTGTTTGCTTCCGGCTACTTTGAGTCGCCTTTTATGCGAGGCAGAGAGCTGGTCAACTTTCTTTCATTTGCCAATTGGTTTTCTTTTTGGCTCATAAATTGTTACCAAAGCGACTTCTTTTTTATGAGTGCGCCGAACAGAGCAGCTTGTCTGCGTTTGGTAATCTCTTTATAAACAATTCGCACATTTTGCCTAATGCCAACCGCAAATAAGGTGCTAAATGTCTCAGACGATCGACGAACGGTTCGACGCTTCGTCAGCAGTCAGGCCGAAAATTGTTTGTTGACCGTGGTGAATTCGCAAAGTGAAATGCGAACCGTGCCTAAGTGAACAGTTTTTTATTTTTTTCAGCCAAGTTGCTGTGTTTGTGCATCGAAAGACTTGGGCAACGAACTTGCTGCTTTACTGCATGCCGAAAAGTATGCAGTACTTTTATTTTACAGAGACTTGAGTCACACTTGAAATCTAAACTAGTTTCTCTTTTTAAGGATGAGTCAAAAAAATTTTAAATATGTTATCGAAAGAATAAGCATATGCTAAAATTGAGTAAACAGCTTCATTTCATTCGTGCGTCAATTTACTTCGGTAAAGTTTTAATAAGTCTTAAGTCAATATTGGCTATTTATTAAAAGAAAACAAAGAATAAGGTAGGAAAGATAGTCAAACAAAAAATAATATGCTTGTCTGCATATCTATATATATTATAAATAAAAAAGATTTATAATTAAAATATATTTTTTACTAAAACAGAATTGAATTTGTCAAACGACCGCCAATATTACTTGCGTATTTTAACCTCAGATCATAAAATTCATAAATTTTAGGCACAGCTGTGCTATTCAAAACAATTGCAGTCATTGTCTATGCTACAACTTTTAACAGTTTTAAAGGTAAATAAATTATTTTATTCAAAAAAAGGCTTAATTGTTGGTGTAAACATCTACATAGTTAAATAGCATTTGAATAAAAATGCCAACAGCTGAAAACAATAGTCAAGCTCAATTCAATTTAATTTAATCTAATTTATTTTTATTTTAAAAATATATTGGGAACATTTTATATTGTCAAAATACAATTTAAAATTTCTTACAATCTAAACGGCTAACCTTAGTGTTCAAGTATGAAGCAGATAGCGGACTCGTGCGGCATTCTCAAGCATTGTCATTTGAGGCTGACCTGCATGGGGTCATGCAAGTTTTGAAGATAGTAGAGGAGATACTAGCGTCTGCATTAGATAAGAAAAATATGTATTTAGGTTTAAGAATTTAGAATAAAAGAAAAGCCTGCTCGTCAGAGCAAATCTAAACGTCGTCTCATCGTGATGAGTATATTTTCCTCGTGTTTCACCCACCTAGTCTAATTTGTTTTGTCTATGGATCCACAATTAGATTTCCAATCAAATCTAACCTAATGAATACATTAACAATAAATAAATATTGGGGTGCTCCTAAAAATTACAATTGAAATACAATTTTCTCACACAAAATTATCATATTTCTCCGCGACAAATACATGTAGATTTTTTGGTAATGCAAAACTCGTATGGAAAATTGTTTACATGTATTATCCAACAAACCAAGAGATACAAATACACATATAATTGGATACTTTTAATTGTTGTTATTTAATATTAGATATTTTATATATATTTACATAGTTATGACAAATAAATATTACGATTATGATAATAAGATTCTTTTGTACTCAACTTAGAGATCTAGACCTGTGACAATGCCTTAATGACTAAATATACACACTAGTGTTCCAGCTGAATTGTTCAGCTTATTTGCCATAGCTGTCCGTGTAGGCTTCGCGTTCTCTATCCGCTTTATCCTTGCGTTCGTCGAAGGAACCGTAGGCACTGACAAGATTGTCTGCCTGACCGGAACGACGATTCGCGCTCAAAGCATTTGGGCTGTTGTGATAGCCATAGACAACGCTGCTGGGATAACAGATGAAGTAGTCGCCCTCACGCTTCGGACGCACAGACTGACCGCTCAGATCAGTGGGTGACTGAATGGCCTGGTAACGATTATTTCTATCAAATGGTGCCGATTGACACAAGCACAAGGAAGCCAGGATCAAAGCAAATATAATTGTGCAGTTCATGTTGATTGCGTTTCGATTTGTTTTTCTTCTGTTATTTATCAGTTGATTACTACTGCTGCTGCTGCTGCTGCTGATGTGCTGCTATTGAAGTTTCTTATGATTCTGTTTGGCTGCTGTATGCTGTTGCCTTTTTATATACATGAGATTTTCACACTATGCGCTAATTACAATAGCAGACAGACAGCCAACTCACACCACTAATTCAATTTGTTATACATATTTTAATCTGATTAGCACCCTATATAAAAACGTCGAACATTTCCGTCAATTGTCATCTTCGCTTAAGGGGCTTATCTCTTGTGACGTCAAAGCTGGAGTTGATGATCCATTGGTTAGAACCTAATTTGTGGTATTTTGTTGCGGTAGGCGCTACAATATTCATTCAGTATGACTCAGGAGCATACCAATACCAAATTCACTTTCATCATCAAAGTCATTGGCTTATAAGATATTTCCCAATTTAGTTTCCTGTCATAAAAAACACTTCTTAATATTACGAATTTAAGAGTAAAGCTGCATCAATACTAAGCAAAAATTATACGTTTTATATTTAAATCACTTTGACACAAGTTTCTTATCTTTTTGCTTTTAATTTGTATTATAATTTTTTGCACTTGTATTTAGTCTAGTTTCTATGCAACTAAGACTATGTCTAATTATTTATTTTGCATTTCAGGGAACCTAAATTATTATTCGTCATATTTCACATACAACACAATAGGCGTTAATTACTAAGTCTTATTGCCTCGTTGCTAGATTGAACTTATATATGCAATATCTATATAAATCATATTCCCAGAACATTAGTTATTTCCGTGTAATCTACTCATAAAAAAAGTGCAAATTGTTGTTTTCAACAATAATGAATGAATCAGTCCGGCTAATTACAGGGGCATATATGTTACATATCTCAAACAGCCACTTTATTTTTTGAATCAAACAATTTTTACAAGTCCACGCAAAGCGAAAATAACTTTTAATATTTGGGGAGGGTATCGTGATACTTGCTAAATTGAATTAAATTTATTATAATTATCAACTTCAAAGCAACTTATATATTCCAGATCAAATGGGCCTGCGCTGGAACATTTAATTAAACGGGATTTCATGGTTGGTTTTCGTTTCTTTATGTGTCATACGTAACTTAAAATCTCCGTGGCGAAATATATACTTCAATAAGTTAAGAATTGTTTTATTTTTTCTTTTTGTAAGTATGTATATAAAATGATTTCGATTTCCGTTTTATACAAGTCATGAAGGAAGTTTGAATAATTTATAAATAATTCATGTAATTTTATACCCAACAAATGTAAAAAATAAAGTAGTAAGCACTGCTGAAAACCCCCAAATATATCTAATTACCATATTTAATAGTCTGCTTAAGCAGAAAACATGCTATGACTAATATCAAACTCATTAATAAATATTGTCTTTCATTGGTAAATTTATTTGAAGTCATAAAAATCGTCAACTCGACTCTGCTTAAAGTTAAAAGTGATTCCACAAATTTCACAATACTATCATAAAATTGGCGAAGATCACAACTGATCCGCTGCCGCCCACACCCCTTAAGTAGTTCTCACATCCAATATTTTTATGGATGCTTTGTGCCGTTTTAGTATACAAATACTTTCAAGTATTTACGTCTTTTTAGTTTTTACTGCCAATTGTTGTTTTGACTAACGGAATGTTTTGAACTTTGTCTATTCCATTGGAATATTTTGAAGAGCTCGTCTCAAGTTGATTTTGTGGAGCGCTAAAAATAAAATTGACGGCTCCCCAAGATGTTTTTTGATTAATATTATTATTTCTGTTTTTGAGAGCAAAACAGGCTTGGAGAAGGTGTCAACATTTGAATTACATATTTGTGTTTGGACGGGTAATCAGTCAAATGCGAATACGTAGAAGCCGTGACGTTCCCCAAAAACTGGTTCATCTCTTTCTGTTATTTTTGTTGTTATACTTTGATTACGGCATCCATCAGTTACGTAAAAGTTGTAATATATACTCGTATATATTCGCACTTAACAAATTAAATTAATTAGTTGGCCAGGCAAGCCGGGAGTCGGAAAATGCGATATTAAATAGTTTAATAGGTGGACCATTCAGATTTTAACATAAGAAAGAAATTCAGTTCAAGCGGAAAGTTAAAAGTGTTCACATTTATAAGTTTGCACAGCTCTGTGCCAGAAATTGAAGATTATTAAATAAAAATTTTAGCTAAATATAATTATCGAGATTTATTAGACGTTGCAGCAAAATATTCCGAAAAATGTTTCTTATGAAAAATGTATGAAAAATTAATAATTTGAAATGAAATTTGTAATGTTTTCATACTCTTATACCGAAGGTGTCCAGACTAAATTGATTTTGTGCAATATCCGTCATGCTGTCTGTCTGTGTGTGACACAACTTATTTCGAGTACTTGTAAGCTATATCCTTGAGACTTGAAAAATGTACAGGTCCGTGACCCCGTTAGACAAAGTGTGAAAATTGGAGTGCTACATCGACTAGGATGTTAGAAAATCAATAAAATCGATAATTTCAAACCGATAAAACCACATATCTCCCACGCTTTTAACGCTACAGTCACCAAATGTGGTTGGTCAGTTGTTGGCGATGCCCTTCAAATAAATATAAATATAGAGTCAACAAACACGAAAGCTGCCAATCTCCTTCAACGATCGGCATATACATTTCTAGCTTTAGCCAATTTGTGTATATTTATTTACCATAGCTTAGAATTGGTGGTAACAATTGAAACATTTATGAGCGTCAGACTGATTTACTATTGATGCTCACGTATGATATGATATGGTTAGCCGAGTCAGTTTTTATTACATGTGTTATGCTGTGTGTTAAATATAGTAGACGCGTTTATCTGAACTGCGGCAGTTAAAGCTGGACATATAAATAAAAATAAATAAATAAATGACCCTTCTGTGAGTTCTGCTGCTCGTGCTACTGGTTCTCCTACGGATTATGCTTTATAGTTTCAAAAATAGGCTGAACTTAAGGGTAAATGTGCAAACCGGCTTTTTTGGACTATACTACTTGCAACGACTTCAATATTTCAAGCCGACTGCCTTTCCATAAACGCAAAGCTCTCCTGCATACATTTTCTGTCATTTTCCAACTAGGCTTTCTAACGCTTTTTTTTGATAATGTATTTAATAAACCATTTATCATCTGGTGTCAATTAAACCGGGACTTCCGCTTACAAAATTTCACAACCGTGCTAATTGTTATCTAGAAATTGTATTCGTAAGACACGTATATATAACATATGAATCACATTCCAAAAAGTCAGCTTTTTCCGTGTAATTTACTCGTTCAGCTCGTTCAAATGCAAATATTTATTTTAGGCAATAAGGAATGAATCAGAGCAGCTAAGCAAAGTATAGTCGGCTCTAGATGCAAGTAGGAAAACCCTTGAGCTGTCTTAATACTCCCTCACACGCTGCGCTGGGCAGCTGGGGTGCAGCAGCAGCAGCAGCAAGATTAGCAGCAAGAATTTCCGATTGCAAACATCACATTGTTTAGGTTTGCTCTGCTCAACTGTTTGCATCCCGCCGGAGCCGTGTCTTATGCGATGCAGTGAGCTGGTCAACTGACTCAAAGTGACATGTTTTTTATGACTACGCCAGACAGAGTAACTTGTCTGCGTTTGGTTATCTAGTGATAAACAACTCGCACATTTTGCCTAACGTTTAAAGCATTGTTAAACGAAAGACTGAGGCAACGAACTTGCTGTTGGAATGTATGCCAAAAAGTATGCAGTAATTTTAATGGTGCATATTATGGAGTTTAATAATCAGGCATGAAATTAAAACAATCTTACAAAAAGTATATGCAGATAAATATGATATTAGTAAGTTTAGTAAAGTTTTAATAAAGCTTTTAATCTGGCTGGTTTTAATTTGATGCTGGTTATTCTTTAAAAGACAAAAAAGCAGAAGGAGGAAAGGAAGGCAAATAAAAGGTTAGAGTGTTGTATGCATACATTTTTGAAAACTTCCCGATAATATATAAAGTATAGTTATGGTTCACACACAATATTCTTACACTCTGAACTGGTGTAAAGAAGGATTTATTTTTTCGAGTGACTCGTTTGTGATCTGCTTGCATTCTAATATTCCAATCTACCCTACTTCCTATTCATTTAAAAAATGTACTATAAAGTCTAAAAATATGAAAAATAAGTATTCTTGACTGTTATCAGAAACAAATTAATTTTTTTTGTTGGGAAAATTTAGTATATTACCACAAAACAGACAGTACATGTATTGACACAGGTAATCCAGAGAGTATAAAAAACATTTAAGCACTTTTAATTTGTATCAATAAATTATTTAATTATTAATATTTATAAATAATTAATATTTACATAGCTATATGAAATAAATAGTTTTTTACATAAATGTGAGAATGCCTTAACGACTATACATAAACACTATATTCCAGCTTAGTTGCTCTGCTTACTAAAAATTGTTGTTTATGTAGGCTTCACGTGCTCTATCCGTAAGATCCGCGCGGTTATCGAAGGAGTCGTAGGAGTTTAGAAAGCTGGAACGGCGACGCGTGCTCAAAGCGTTTGGACTGTAGTAATAGCCGTAGACAACGCTGCTGGGATAACAGATGAAGTAGTCGCTCTGACGCTTCTGACGTACAGACTGACCAGTCAGATCAGTGGGTGACTCAATGGCCTGATATGCATTGTTTCCATCAAAGGGTGCTGATTGGCACAAGCACAAGGAAGCCAGGATCAAAGCAAAGATAATTGTGCAGTTCATGTTGATTGCGTTTCGATTTGTTTTTCTTCTGTTATTTATCAGTTGATTACTACTGCTGCTGCTGCTGCTGCGGATGTGCTGCTATTGAAGTTTCTTATGATTCTGTTTGGCTGCTGTATGCTGTTGCCTTTTTATATACATGATCATTTCACACTTTGCACTTAATATAATGGCAGATAATCAAACAAACAACTGACCGCAGTAATTCAATTTGTTATACATACAACGTACAACATTTTTGACAATTCTCAACCGAATTTACGGAGCTGATCACTTAAGAATGCGCTGAAAACAAAATCGCTTTCATTTGCTTATAAGCTTTACAGCATTCTAGGTTAAATGATTGTCACGTTTTACTGTTGCTACTATTGAACTTTATAAGCATTCAATCTATAATATATAACATAATCTATATATATTCTGATATACTAATATATATATAGCTTAAAAAATATTTACTTAAGAGCTGTTAAATGTAAAATTATAGTTTTAATTCTATTTACATAGAGGAAATAACTTCTCTCCTCATGATGAACTTATTCCTAATTCAAAGGCAGATCTCTTGGTTTAAAGTTATATATATTCTTTAAGGAACAATCTAGAAACAAGTTGCCAGTCTTCTTACTTCACAATTTCACTCAAATTTGTTCAAACCCATCCTTGACTCATGAATCAAGAATTCAGACTTAGGATGCTAAGGTCCAAGTTTGATTATGCTTTTATTTGAGTTTATTTGCATCTAAGAATAACTCTAAATATTTATATTGCATTCGAGTGGAACTGAAGTTTTTCTTCGTCATATTTCACACACAATACAATAGGCGTTAATTACTAAATCTTATTGCCTCGTTGCCATGTTAAACTTATATATGTTAAATATATGTGCATGTGTATATGAATCACGTTTCCGAATTCTCAGTTATTTCCGTGTAATCTACTCATAAAGAAAAGTGAAAAATATTTGTTTTTGCTAATTATCAATGAATCAGCCCAGTTAAGTTAAGGGGCATATCTCTGTGTAGTAGACTGTAGTAGATTTAATATTTCGAATAGAAATTGTGAAACGTGTTTAATGTGTATATTTGTAATCAAAATATCATATCATATAACGGGTCTGCACCAGAACATGTGACTTAAGAAACGTTCCATCATGAATTCGGTGTGAATAATTATAAATACTTTATTTATTTGTGCATGTGGTATTATATATATATAATATACAAATTAAATATAAGGTTCTATAAGTATATCTTACTTCACATAAGCCCACATATCAATGAATTATCAATTTCAAATGATAAAATTGGATGTGATCTGCCGTTTTAGTAAACATCCATTTTTTTGACTGCCAATTGTTGTTTTGGTTTTGGTTCCACTGGAATATTTTGAAGAGTTCGTCTTATTTAAATATTATATTAATTATAATTAGTTGTTAGTGCGTTAAAAATAAAGTTGAAGGCCCCCAAGCTATTTTTTGATTACTTATTATTTTTATTTGTTATTATTGTTGTCATTTATTAATGTTGTTTACTATTTCTGTTTTGAGTGGCAAACAGGCTTGAGGAACATTGTCAACATTTGAGTTACATATTTGTGTTTTGATGGATAATCAGTCGAATTCGAATGCGTAAAAATCGTGATGTACCAGCCCCCAAAAGCTTATTTATTTGTTTCTGTCTTTTAAGGGTATTATACATTTTTAATGAAGTTCGTAACAAATTCGGAAATACATCTCCGACCTCTTTTTATCAGCACAAACAGTCGAGTCGATATAGCTTTGTCAGTCTGTCTGTTTCCATGCAAATTAGTCAATCATTTCAAGACTATGTTGAAATGATGAAATAAATCTTCTTTTTTTTTGTGCAGGCAGTAAGCCAGCCAGTAAGCGTTAGAGGATGTTCTTAGTAATCTACGTTCCAAGTTTGGCAATTTGGCTCCTAGTGGACGTAGTAAAACCACTTTTACACTTGGCCTGACGCGGGCACAGACCAGTAAATGTTCTAAGGGTGTCAGACAGCATGACATTGCACAAAACTAATATACATGATACATGATGCATGCGGTATCAGAGTATAAAGATATTAGTTCAACAATTTCGGCAACGTGTACTAAAAGATCTCGAAAGACTCACTGAAAGCCACTGATCGCAGTCAATAAGCTTTTATACTGATTGACCCAATGCACCATGAATGTTACAAAAATCATAAATTATATCAGTTATAATTTTCAGCACGAAGTATATAAATAAAGTGTTGTTTAATTTCTTCGATTCATGTTTTGTTATTTTGTACAATTGGATAAAAAACGAAAACCGGACCAAACTCATCGGCTAAGCGTGTTATTATGACCAACATCTGACTGCTCATTGCCTGAATCCATTAAAAATTGGTAAGAAGGGTATGATGGTTTTGTGCACCTAAGAGTCATGCCTGTTTGTCCATCTGCCTGTCCTTTCATCCGATCCGCTAAAGGAGTTTGAGAGTTAAAACTTGGAATATAAGTTTTTGTCTACCACGCGCAGATCAATAATATTTTTTTGATCAATAACTCCCCCCGTTTCGCGAATATCGATTCATATAGATAGCATTAAAAGACACAATTTTAAAGGTTGAACCTTTTCATTGATATATAATGTACATTAACATATTATTTATCAACTGCACAAATTTTGTCAAGATCGAATAAAAAAAACACAAGATGTAGTGAAAACATGTTCTCAAATTTAACATTTTTAGGGGAAATTTTACAATAAAATGGGAATATATTTAATAGCTGGCTCCTCTGGGTATCTAAATGTCGATCTCACTCGACTACAATATTCTTACTTCTTGAATGCAATTTGATTTGAGCCGAATATATAATCTTTGTCGTGCAAACGATATTTAATTTTGTTGTATTTCTTCTCGTTTTTATTTATTTAATTTGTTTGTCTTATAATTACATTAAGTTCGTTTCACTTTATTTGCCGTATCCGCCGTATCCGCCGCCGGATGCCGATGCTGAGGCTGAGGCTGAAGCACTGCCACCACCATAACCACCTCGACGTCCGAAGCCACCGTAGCCACCTCTGGGGAAGCCACCGAAGCCACCGTAGCCACCTCCGGGGTAGCCACCGTAGCCACCACCACCGAAGCCACCTCCGGGAAAGCCACCGTAGCCACCACCACCACCGCAGCAGAAGCCGCGTGCAGTACGACTACCGGCAACATCGTTGACTGGCTTGGCATCCACATCATCCAAGGTGAGTTGCGGTTCCTGCTCCTCCAGCGGTGTAGGATGTCCGCAGACGAAGGCCAAGGCCATGCAGAGAGTTAGTGCGAGCACCACAAATTGTTTCATCTTTAAGTTAACAATTGTTTCTATTTGTTGTCGATTAGAATACGAGATCTTTTATACTCCTCTAGGCATGTGGGGATGCCCCCCATTTGGGTACCAGGTGATTCTGATTGGTCCATCCTTCATCCCAAACCAAATCATTAGCTCTGGCATTTATCATTATTTTTTTGTGCTGATGATTTCAATCGAGTTTATAAACAGCCGGCAAACGGAATTACCCGACCCCTAAGGCGCTCGTTCAAACAATTTTAGATGCTGGAACGCACTACACCCCCCCTCAAGCCAGCCGCATAGAATAACGAATAGCATCCATAAACTGATTCTTAGCACATATTCTTTACAAAGGCAGACCTACATTGAAGCATGTTTACCTTGGAAGGAAGACGAAAAAAATTAAAAGCTTCTCACATATTCTCCATAATTCGTTTGGCGAACACTTTGGCACTTTGCAATTTGGGGGACTTACTTTTCTAATACCCTGTAATAAATATACAAACGAAAAGTTGCTTGTGCGCGAAGTAATTGTGTAAAATTAAGTAAAGCGAGAGAGAGAGAGAGAGAGAGAGAGAGAGGAGAGATGACTCAAGAATTACATCGAGAAAATAAAGATAATGAAAATGTAGGAATTAGAGTAGGTTAAAGTAAGTAGGTTAAACTTCTTCATCCCATTTCATAGGGTATTTTTTGGCAAAGAACAGTCCCCTTCTTCGAACTTATTCTTATTGTTATAGCTTTAGTGCGTCAGCCATTTGAATAGACTCCATATTTTTTTTTGGTTTTTTTTCTTTGTCTTTTAATTGCTACATCACAATTGAGACTTTTTGAAACTTGTTCAGACTTGTGATCACTGACCTTTCAAAATGTCAGCTGAACTGCGCAGTTGAAGTTCGTATTCTACATGTATTCTTTGTTAATAGCCAACGAGTTTTGGCGAATCAATAAATAAGTAGGATTCACATTTGCTTAATTTGCTTCTGTTTCTTTTTTGTTTCTATTAATTCAAATTTGTTAATGATAACCAATAACACAAGCCTAAGCTGTGGTTATAATACTGAACGAATCTTATAATTCCTCTTAGACACTTGCGCAAAACATGATTTCAGAATTGGGATAATAGTAATAATTAGACTAAACATTAATATAGAAATATGTAAATATGCCTATGTAAGTATGTGCTTTAAATAGTTCCATTGTAATACATATGTACTTAAATTAATTTAATATCATATAAAAAAATATGAATCCTTTTCATAGCAGATAATAAGGCATCATTTAATATCATTGAATTACTTTCAACTGTAAGAAATTATACAATATATACAACTGAAAATAGGGCATCCTATAGTCGGGAACCTTTGGCTGCTCAAATACAGACTTGTCTATGTAGAAAATTCGTAATTAAAATATAATTTAGTTAACATACAAAAAAAACAATCTGGTTGGTCAATTGTAACCAATCTTGAGACAATATCTAACTTCAACGTTTGCTCAGTGGCTGTGTACTCTTCTTTTTCGCAGTGTAATCGCAGGTGCACACTTTATATTTAAGTAACAAACATTACATGAGCACAATTGTGACGTTTATTTGACGAAGCAATCGGATTGATGACTGTAAACAAATCATAAGTTTTACTGATGAGACGAAAACCGGTTGATCAAATAGTCCCCAAAAAAGACGCTTTGCATGAACTGAGTCAATACAAGCAATAATTGGTTGATCACATGATAACGATGTTGTGTCATTTGTATTCATTCAAGTGCTTATTTTTCTACAGTTGTACGACGTATTAATAGAAATATATTTAAATGTACACATGTTATCTATATATATATATATATATATATCTATACAATAGTTAATGGGTCAATTTTCGAATTGAGAGGCAGACATATTGAAAGACTTAATCAAATTAAATACAAAAATTAAAGATTTTCATCATGATTCAAATACGTAGTGTGTCGGAACAACTACTACGAAAATCTTTTACACCTGTACTAATCATAAGACTAACTGGGTTATTCTGGTATTAATCAAGTTTATTAGACAAGTGTATCTTATTTTTCCAGCAGATGTCCATTGAAGGCAAATATATACATAAAACTATGTCTAAAAAAAGTAAACAAGTTTCATAAAAATAATCAAGGGGCAAGAAAAACCCGCGGAAGTTAAAAAAAAAAAATCGCGCTGAAATTAACGGTGTGAAACAGTTTTTTATTTCTTTGATACTCTACCAGAGTATTTTAATTTTATATGAAATGTGTAACGCCTCAGAGAAAATATATTAAACAAAATTAAGTTTATATTTACATTTTCTTGATCATAATTTCCACTATGATAAAATATAACCATTGAACATATTTGTAATACATCATTTAATACAATTAAATCTACTCTTTGATTTATTTTTGTCTATATTTTTAATAATAATAATAATAATTTTATATTTAAGTGAATCAAATTTACCATATATTAATATTAAATTTAAATTTCGGTGTGAAATTATTTGGAAAACGGTTTGCAAGGGTATGCAGTCGTCGGCGTGGCGAACTTAATTTTCGTTATTGTTATTACCAATTTAGTGAATATTTGCCGAAATGCTAGTTAGCAAGGTCAATGTCAGTTGAAGCAGCGTGAAAGCATGGAACCAGAACCAGTCCGTGACGCGACGACGCGACTTATCAGCGACTTAGTAGCGACTTGCTAGCGATTTGGTAGCGACTTTGTGTTGTCTCTGTTTGTTTGTTTTTGTATTAATTTTGCGTGTGCGTTGAAGTTTCCGTTGAATGAGACATACATTCACAAGAAGACGAAGGTCTGCCAGTTGCCAAAACACACATCGTTCGTATTTGGAAATTTGCTCAAGAACAGTTTGGTTTGGGGCTGGTCAAGGCGTGGTGGCTCTTGAGCTTGCTTATAAAACTAAATTTGAACGTCTTCTGCAAATTTAGTTACCAGCTGCTGCTTGTTGCGGCTTTAGTTGGTTTTTTGAACGGAATGTTTTTGCCGGCACGTTGGTGCCTGATGAGTCTGCTCTTTGGCCTGGCCACATGCCAGCGGAGCAGGCCACGACCGGATCGAACTCAAGGGCGCACTTTGGGCCTATTTGCACCGTTGCTATTTGGCAATGGTGGTTCATTATATGATGTGCCAGTTGGTAGCCAGAGTGGCGGTGCTGCTGCTGCTGCTGGCAGTGGTACTCAGTCGGATCCGTACTATGGAGGAGGAGGAGGAGGAGTAGGCGGTGGCTACAACAACTACTATGGTTATCGGCCAAACTACGGCTACGGCTTTGGCTATTCCGGCTTCGGTCTGGGCTTCCCAGGCCTGGCTCAGAGCTTTTTTGGCTATCCTGGCTATGGGTATTATAGACCCAGCTATAACTACAACAACTACGGCGGCTATCAGCGACCCGTGCAGTATCCCAGACCTAGTTATAATAATTATGGCAATTATGCCAGCACCGCAGCTGCAAGTCCTGCTTCCAGTGCTGGCCCTTCACCTGGCATTCCTGGAGCTGGAGCTGGAGCTGGAGCTGGAGCTGGATCACAGTTGAACATGGCACAGGCGGCACAACTGGCGGGACTCTTGGGTCAAGCGTTGGGCAGCAGTTTGCGTCCATTGCTAGCCAATGGCGGTGGCGGTGCGACAGGTGGTGCATCAGCTGGTGCTGCCGGTGCCAATCCGCAAGCTCTGAGTAGTCTCTTGGGCTTGTTGGGCTAAGTACAATTAAATCGACAAAAGTATTTTTAAATTAAGCGCTGTTAAACTATTGTTATTAAGCTGTTTTATTGTTGATATTTCAAAAAGAATCGAAAATGTGAAAAAAATGTCGGTCATAAAAATGTGATTATCAAATGCCATTCAGTTGCAACAGTGTTTCAGGTTATTTGCTTGTCTGTGAACATTTCTTTGTTTTCAACAATAATCTGCTAATTGCTCAAGTTGTTTATTGTCTTTAATTTTGCTATATTTTTTGCATTGATTTAATAGAAATGGCAAAAAATAATTGAGTTGAATGTACTCATAATTAAAGTCTCAAACGTTGGCAATCAATCATTTTTCGAACAGAAGTATTTATCGCTTTTAATCTAAACTAATGATATATGTAATATAAGTATTTTATTTGCAATTAAGCTAGTTTGCTATAAACATTTTTTATAACATAAATAATAACCTAATTTTTATGTATTTTTTTTTAATGTAATAGCAAATTGGCTTGATTACATAACTTTTTTAAAACTAAAACGATTTTGTTAAATTAATTTTTCACATGTTTTTTGGCTTTAGAATACTTCAGCATACATTTTAATGATTATTATCAGTTTTTCAATAATTGTAAACAATTTAATTGTTAATTATTTTTTAATAAACAAATTTATAGCATCTACATACGATACATGCGATACTTAAAAAGTTATTGTGTTTGAGTTTGATTTTGGGTAGCCTAAAAGTATGTGCCTCTTTTAGTGAACTTAACTCAAAGTTGCTAATTGGGTGATTATTGGGATATAAATATAATTAGATACCAAAAACCCAAAGTTCTTACATTGTCATTTACATCTCAAGCATTGTGTGAGAAGTAAACAGAATATGTTTGCATTGCACTCTGGAAAGGCCCGCAAAACGAATGCCAAGTCATTGAATATACATATGTGTCGGTCCATCTGATTCTGCGAATAAGCCAATAGGTAAGACTTAGTTGTGAAATACGGTGGTGGGTGCAAATAAATCTAATTGAAAATACAAAGTGCAAGATCCACAAAACCTATAAAAATGGCAACTGGCTAACAGTTTGAAATTCAGTTCAGTTCAGTTCTCTTCTCGGTCAGAATGAATCTGTGCATTTTGCTTTTACTTACCACAAGCCTCAGCTTGGCTTGGGGATGGCCTGTCAGCCAAATGGAACAGATGCAGAAGCAGCAAGATCAGGCGCAAGTTCAGCTGGATATGCCCAATACGGATTCGATGGTCAGCTTAACGGATGTCGCTGATATTGGCAGTCAGCACGACGGAGAAGGAGCACGCAAAGCTCGCTTTTTATTTGGCGGCTATTGGGGATACCCCTATTATGGATATTATCGCCCCTATTCCTATTACGACTATGGCTACTATCGCCCTTGGGGCTATAGGTATTGGTGGTAAACTGCTTTCTCTAAATGGAAAATGAGTGATTATATATAAATATTATTTAAATTGTGAAACTATCATTTTTTTATTTAATTCAATTAAACAATAATAATGAAAAAGAATACATTCAATTCAAGCTATTAACATTTCAAACTAACTTAGAATTTGTCGTCATATTATCAAGAATTCAAGACAATGATTTAATGACTAATGTTGCTCATCTTAAACATTTATTCAACTACCTGACTTGTCGCGTATTCATGTTAATTACACGAACGGGGCGAATCACGACTGAATTATTATAGCGTTACCTATTTACGCATCTGCTCCAATGCCCCATATGCCCCAACTGAATAAGCCATAAATGTAAACAGGTTCACTTCAAGTAAATTAAAGACGCAGTAATAAAATTGTTAACTGTCCACTTTGATCATTTGGAAATATTCTTGATATACCATCACAAATCACAAAACAACTCGTTTTAGCCGTCAAATGTCAAATAAACGGTAACAATATATGTATTTGTATGAAACCAAAATTAAATTTACATTTGTATAGGTCTAAGCTCTTCAATTTGTATGTAAACAAAATAAAGCAAATAACCTTGCCGTAGACGAGTGAGTTCAACTACGACGTACCCAAAGGAGACAGCTTTTAAATTAAAGAGTTTTATATTTTACCCTATAAAAAGTTTTGCACACTCTGGTGGAGAAGTGCTCTCATTTCCTATAATCGGCACAGGTACTGAAGGAGTCCGAACTGAAATCAGCGGTTTGCGACAAGAGCGTGCAAATACATGAATATATATATATATATATATATAGGAATATACATCGTTAGGAATATACATCGTTATTAAGGTCAAATTTGAAAATTGTCGCCTTTTGTTCTGTCGGAAATCGATTTTTATCAATATTCGCGCAACGGTTGAAATTATTGATAAAATTATATACGGTACTTATATTCCTATTTTTAAGTCTCAAGCTCTTATAGTTGCTGAGATACGCGAAGTTATACATGGTCAGGAATATATATATAGCTTTTGGGGCCGGAGATGCTTTCTTCTGCCTGTTACACACTTTTGCACAAAACTATTATAGTGTTTTTAGCCAATTTTAATGTGTTCAGGGTATTCAAATATAAATAAAATCAAATATATAAAAATAAACCGAATGACAATATAGTTCGAGGTTGGATTGACAAGTACACATTATAAATATCTTTTAATATTTTGTAAGTTTTTGAGAGCGACGCAGCTGTTTGCGCTCCTCAATCTGAAAGAGTTGCGCCCGTTTGGTGTCCAAAAGGATGTGTTTCGTTTCCGCATGACGATATTCCTCCGAACTTTCACTGCAGAGAGAGAGAGAAGGGAATGAGAAGACAAGAGGGAAATGGTATAAAAGTCAAAAGATGTTGTGAAAATAAATCAAGCTCAGACTTACATCTCACGCTGCAGCTGCTTCAGCTTGATTAGATCGTGTTCTGCCTGCTCGCTATTCATGAGCGACATTTGAATCCATTCAATGCGTTCGTTCTGAACAGCATCCACTCTCGCTTGCAGCAGTTGTGCCATCTCCACGTCCAGCATTCGCTCCTCGCTGTGCAATTGATGCGCCAACTGGCAGCGACGCTGCTCCAAATCCTTGGCGTAATTAATGAGTCTTTGCTGCACCTTGCAATCTATTTGGTAATTTCTATTTCGACGATTGGTGCGATTTAGAAATTCAGTTACATGCATTTTGCAGCTTTGTTATTTGGTTGTCCGACCAAAGCCTTGGTAACAGGAAGCATAAAGAAATCAATTTTTAACATTACGAATGTGTTGTATTAACTCGAAATGGCTCTGTTAACGCACTGTTAACAAGCATTACAACTGTAAACAATTTACACTCTTTAATCTCACTGATATCCATCGTTAAAAATTTAAGTATTTGCAATACACATTTTTCAGCAATAAAATGACGAAAAAGCGTTAGTAATGTATGCAAAATAGTAAACAAAATAATAAATTTTATCAATCAAATATTTAGAATAAATTGGATAACCATTGAATACTAGAGAGGTAATGATAGTGCAATTTGTTTACAACTAATTAATTGTTGAATGTGCACAGTCAAGTGACTAGTTTTACACCGATACTTAAAACAAAATAAAGTTCCCCCGAATTTTGAATAAAAGGCGCTGGCATTACAACAGATAGAATCAGTCACTAAATAAACCTTGGCCTTAGTAGAAACACCCTGAAAGATGCGTTTAACTGTTGTGCTGCTTCTTGGTGCTCTGTGCATTGCATTTAGCGACGCGTTGCCGTTGGATGAAAATGTCCAGGATAATGCCCTAGTGTCGCTGCTCAGTCTGGCCGATCAGGGCGAAGCACACGCCAACGAGGGAGGACGTGAGGAGCGCGCCTTTTGTTGTGGTGGTGGATATAGGCGACGTGGTGGCTACGGTTACGGTGGTGGTTACGGTTACGGCTACGGATACGGTGGTGGCTACGGTGGTGGCTACGGCCACGGTGGCTACGGCTACCGTCGTGGTGGCTATGGTCGCCGTAAATGGGGTTATGGTCGCTAAGCCAAAACCCACATTGCTGTTTTGTACATAATGCAATTATAAACAAACAATAAAAGAACAACTATGAAATTAAGTTTCACAAGAGCTACGTTTTATTTATCCTAAAGAAGATTTACTCATTTCATCACACTCATATTCCTACATAGAGCAACTTTATAGCCAGATGATTCACTATTGAGTCACTAGTTATCTATGTCTGTGTAGCTTTTAGCTACCGAATAATAATTTCACATAGGTCAAATGAAACACTTAACAAAAATTATTCACTTTGGACAGTTTAAATATGCAAGCTGTCAATTAGCATTTAACCAAATATTAATAATGAAATGCTCGCCTCAGCTAAATCGATATCAATCGAAAAACCAGTTTGAATAAATATGTTTTTGGGTATTGAGCATTTTTTGTTTATTCACATATGCATTATATATGACATGCACAATTTGCATTCTACGTTTCAGGTAATTTATTTTCGATATTTGAACGTGTGAATGCGATGTTAAGATGTATAATAAGGCATCAAAATGAGTCTCGCGAATTTGGGTAGTGTTTTTTATTTGTTTATTTTTTATTTTTATGACGAATCTTTACGTATTCAGTTGCCGTATTATGCCTATACTTATCTTCTTCGCAACATTGCTCGGACTTAACACAGCTCGTATTCATACTAATAATTTTTATGGGGAGCTAAGCACATTTTATTTATTTGCAAATTAACATATTAATTAATTAGAACATTATCCGCATTATGTCTAAGCTCAGAGATTGGCAATCGTTTTTTTTTTTTAACTGCAAACTGTCCGGTGATGAAATTAGGCAACAACAAGAACAATAAGAGAAATAACATTCGCAGCAACAAAGGGTGTAATAATCTTATGGCGATAAATAAATAAACAAATATATATCGTGAAAGTAACAATAACCGACTGAACAGACAAAAAAAAACCCCTATTTGGCTCTAAGTACTGTGGATGTGTTGATATGACAAGCACTAAAAATTAGGTGATGCGTTTGAGAACTCATCCGGTTATTTCCAGACGTAGAAACCAAATAAAAGGCCACTGCAATGTCAGCGAATGCATCAGTAACACAAACACACTGCTTCAGACAGCACAATCCAACAAGATCCTAATTGAACACCCGAGTTTATTGACAAATTAATCAATCAATCAACAATAACTCAAGATGCGTCTAACACTTCTGGCGCTTATCGGCGTTCTGTGCTTCGCCTACAGCTATGCCCTGGATACGGAGGAGAACAACGACAATATCAATATCAATCAGATTGGCCTGCTGGACGTAGCCGATCAAGGACAATACCATGCCAACGAAGGCGATCGTGATGTCCGCCAATGGGGTGGTCGCAGAGGATGGGGTGGTGGCGGCTGGGGTGGTCGCGGAGGATGGGGTGGTCGCGGAGGATGGGGTGGTGGTGGCTGGGGTGGTCGCGGAGGATGGGGTGGCCACCGTGGCGGTTGGGGAGGCTGGGGACGTTAATCCTGGCGAAACCAACAGCGCCTACTACTTACCATTTACCTGCCAACGCACCACAGCGTCATGACTCACTTGAATGTTTGTTCATTTTGTGTTTGTAAATAAAGAACATTGCAAAAAAATATATTTGTGATTTGGATTATAATATGCCTGGGAATCCGCCACTCCTATTTTCATAATTCACACATTCACATGCACACGTCATTCAGTCCAGAAACTTACAAAATCTACATACTTTTGGCACCAAGTGACTCTCAGTTCTTTTTTTTCAGATAGTATATTTGCAAAATGCATGTTTGGTGGTCAAGTGCTTTATTTGTTTAGTTCGAACGTAGATTTTTCTAAAATTAAGCAAAAATATTTGCCAAAATATCTCTTTCAATTGATTTTTATTAGTTTAAACAGAATTATCTCTCTATTCCACATATACATATATGTTGAATCGACCTTCCAAATTTCTTAAGGTTGACCGACAAAAATAATGATGATACATTAAAGGATATTTTCAGTAATTACCAAAAAATTTGTTACCCTCCAAGTTTGGGAACATTTGTTCTAAAATTGGGGAAGATGCTGACAGAGATATAGGATTAGGACTTTTTTTGTGGAAGGTGTGAGAATTGTTGAATATATTATACATTTCAAGGATCTAGCTTCAATTTAAATGTAAATTTTTTTCTTGTTTACTTAAATGAGTTGAATTGTATTTAGAAACAAAAAAATAACTTTATAGTTTTAATTTTATGACTCTCTTATAAAAAGACATTCGCAATTAATTTTTATTAGATTTATACCTGTAAAAATTGCAAATTCACTCTTGAAAGTTCGCATGAAATGAAGAATGATGCAAAGCTATTTAGCGTAGCTGCTTTTATGTACTTTTTTAAGATGTATGGCCATTAAAGTTAAATTTATTTGTAGATTATTTTTGAATCCTCATGTTAATAGTAGCTAATCCGAATATTAGTAGAATTGTCTCTGATGAAATTGTTTTACTGTTTAGCATGCTTCAAATATGTTCGAGCCAGTTGCGTTTGATTTATCTTCCAAATTCAAGTTTAAAGTTCAAATTCAATTCAATTAATGTATCAAACGATGGAATTTATTGATTCGAAATGTTAAAAGATTACCTATTCCATCATATTGAACACTTTAATTCCAAGCTAATATCGCCCAAGTTTTGCCAGCTTGCTAGAATTATTAAAGACTTCTAATCGTTGGCTGCAAACATTTTAGCGTTTGAAAACATTGCATAGGCACAGGCATAATTAATTTTTAAAAAATCAGATTTCGAAATTGTGCAGTAGAAAGCTAAACGTCATAATACACTTGATTTGATACAAAAAAAAAAAAACATTTTCGTTGGCAAAAAGAACGAATTGAGAATTAAATATTACAATCTCAAATATGTGTTAATATTTTCTGTGCTTGTCTGCTGCTTAAAGAAAAAGTTTGTTTCCCCCTCATAGTAAAAAATGTATTATTAGTTTGATTAAAATATGGAACAGCTTATTTTTGAATATTCTCCAGATACTTGTTTGCTATATATATTCGTCTCACTTTGGTTTATTTTGTTTATTTACTAAATTCACATTTAGCAGATTCATTCATACACAAATACTTACTAAAACACTCTCTCACCGAGCAACCGCCTCGAATCCATTGACATTTAATATGATCCACTTAACCAACAGTTATGGACAGCATCTGGGAGGAGCAACTTTCAAGGTGACGGCTAACAATAAAAAAAAGAGTCGCGACAAAATTGAGTGTAATGACCTAGTGGCGTATAATTAATAAATAAACAAATGCTATGTACAAAGAGAATAACAATACCGACAAAACAAGACCTGAAACAAAACCCCCGATTTAATCTATATGCGTCTCAATGTGCACTTTGAATTAGGAGATCCATGCGAGAACTGAAACGACAACTCATCATTAGCCACATGATTTTTAAGAGCCATAGGCCGGCAAATAAAAGGCTGGTCTCTCAGGGGCAAAAGCATCAGTTACAAATCAACCTTCAGACAGCAACCACAAAGTGAATCCAAAAGGAGCTCCAAGTTGAATATCAAAATGCGTCTAACATTTCTGGCGCTCATCGGTGTATTGTGCCTCGTCTACAGCCAGGCACAGCTACTGGATGACACGAACAAAAACAGTGATCAGGTCAGCCTGCTGGACGTAGCCGATCATGGAGAGAATCACGCCAATGACGGCAACCGCAATGCTCGTCAATGGGGCTATGGCGGTTACGGCGGATATGGCGGATACGGCGGTTATGGCGGTTACGGCGGCTGGGGTCGTCCGCGCTGGGGCGGTTGGGGAGGCGGCGGTTGGGGAGGCGGCGGCTGGGGAGGTGGTGGCTGGGGTCGTCGTGGCTGGGGCGGCTGGGGCTGGGGATAAGATCTACTAACCTACATAAAGTTACTACTGTCACCCATAAAAGCCAACATAAATTACTGTTTTTTTTTTGTCTGTGTAAATAAAGAACATTCCAAAAAAAAAAAATTGAAAACAAAATTTGAATTATGAATTCTATATAGAATATTCTATAATTATATGAATATAATTCACCAAGATTAATTTGTTTAGCTTAACTCCAGCTAAACAAATCCACACCCCGATTTTTATTTTAGATTGCTTCGATTTGATATAATCTCTGACCGCAGCAAGCTCTCCTTGCCCATTGTCCTTGGGACATAATGAATAATTATATATATGCGTCAGGACTTTCGGCTATTTATTGATAAATTGCTCGAGTTTTTTATTGAGTTATGGAACTTCTGTCTTAATAGTTTTTGTGTGTGTTTGTGTGAACAATTCAAGAGTGGGAAACTGAGATGCCTGCTGAGATTAGTGGATGGAAAAATCCCAGTCTAACTGGGAAGGTTCTGGTCAATACGAACTATTCATGTCTGAATTACAAAGAAAATCAAAACACATTTTTTTTGTGTTAGAAGACAAAACAAATTTGGAAACACAGAAACTTATTCGAAGAATATGGAAGAATATTGAATAGATTTCTACATTTCTAAGGTTTAATGAAATATCTACCTTGGAAATAAAAAAATTAAAATCATATGTCTGTTTTGACAATTCACCATCTGTTTTAGAAAGTATATTTTTTAAAAGAGTCGTTTTTCTAGACTTAAGGCCGGATTTATTTCTGAGACTAATCATGTTATACTTGAGTCCAAAATAGCTATGGACTTTAATCCACTTAATACCGAACTTCAGTCGGAATCAGATTATGATAATTTTCCATAAAATCAGTCCAACAACACAAAATTACTGAGGAGAGAAAATAATCCTTTAAATTATAGCAGTAAAATGGAATTAATAAAATTTCATGAAAATTAATTCAGTAAATATTTAGAAAGAAGATTATTATAATACAAAAATATGAATTCTGAATTAATTAAATAGTCTTTGAATATTCATAATATCAGTTGAGTTTTGATGAACTCATTGGTAATCCGAATCAATCAGAATCATTATAATTTCGAGCAATTTTCGTTTTATTGCATAGCTTGCGTTGTCGTACGACATTTAACAATCAAACTTACATTATGTACAAAACATATTTTACACAGTTCGTTAGGCGCTAGATACTTAGATGTGAAAATTGGATTGGAAAAGTGGAAAACGCGGCAAATGCATAAATACACACAGAACGGTGTGAGAGTGGATTAAGGTGAGTGTGTGGTGGGTACAGTATGGAAACGATAAGAGGTCTGTAAACTTGTTGCTGACGACCAATTGAGCTGCTGCTGCTGCTGCCCTCAACTTCATCCTGGATGCTATCATACAAATTAAATCCAAACAAACACACTTCTCGACTGTCAATTCAATTATTTGAAGAATCGGCGGGGAGCGGCGGCGGCGGGGCTGACGGGCGGGGGTGTGGGAATATGGGCGCCCTCGGCACGGAAGCCATTCTCATCAGCAATATAGGTAATGGTGTAGAGAATGCCATCGGGTCCGGTGTAGGAATACGAGCCTTGCATAACCTGGAAAATGAAATGAAATCATTTTTATGCCAGCTCCTAAAAGTATACCACACACTCTCTCGCAGTTTTTGGAATTGCGCTCGAAATTGGGCAAAACTCACCTGAGCCTCCAACTGTGAGCCGGGATTTTTGAGATAACCTGCCTCATCGGCGCGAATGCCATTGCTCGTCTCGTAGCTGAAATATAAAAAGAATGACAAATATATATAAATATAGAAAAACGATTGCTTTTATAAAACAGTGCTTTTATAGAATAATAATTAATAACAATTTAAAATTTATTCTATTTTTTTTTTTTTATTTAAATATAAGATTATTATTTGGTTCTGTAAAATTTGTATCGATTTATGTTAACGGATTCAATTAAAAAGATTAGTTTGCTTTAGAATTAAGATATTTTTTGTTACCGTTAGTATTACATTTATTATTATTTGATCAGTAAGTTAATATTATTCGAAGATAAAAAGCTAAGCTTTTATTAATTATGAATCCGAATTGAAATATTTTATAAAAAATTTAAAAAAAAAGAAATTAAAGAAATTACGAGAAATAAAATATTTACTATAATAAATATAGAAGACTTAGATGACTTATGCAACATGAGCTTAAAAGTTGGAAATACAACACAGGGGACTTGAGAGCTAAACCACATACCAAATAATACTTTTAAATTGTTAAACATAAACTGATAAAACTTTCTGCAATTGTAGTTATTATGGGTGATAGCAACAACTCACTTGTACTGATAGGAACCATCCGGGTTCAAATCAAAGTCCTGCTTCAGTATCACAGCATTCGCATCGAAAGTATTGCCTCGAGGCTGCGGTAGACCGCGCTGCGGCTGCGCTGTGACGACGCAGAGGGAGCAGATCGCTAGGGCGGCGACGGCGTAGGAGTAGGTGAGCAGCTGCATGACCTTTTCGTTTCGATTGGGCGCCGGCGCCACCAGCAGGAGAGAGGTAGGCAGAGAGAGGAACAGAATGGAATGGGTTAGATTAACGAATATGAGACGATTGCCAAGTTGCGACATAACTAGTTAATAACAAATTGGCCGTAATCTGTGCATTTTTCGAAAGTACATTTTTAATATCAACAAGAAGGTCGCAAGCTTATGAAAATATCTGAACTTGTCAACTTGTCAACGATGTTTGAGAATAATAAATATTTGATATACGTTGTACTAACAGATTAAAGTTTATATATAAATATATATTCTTTAATATGTTTCATAGATTATTTTAGGTATTGTGTTGAAGAATTATTTTGAATGTAAACAAATATAATAAACACCAACAAAATATATTTCAAAGTTATGCTCTATAAAAATAATTTAATATAATTTTATACATTTATGCATGTTTTGTCTTTGGTAAACAATATATGTTAGCCGTAACAAAGACTTGATGTTAAAATTATTAACATTTGCATAAGTTTTGTAGAAATTGTTGTTCATAAATTTGTTTGCTATTATTGTTATTATTATAACAAAGCACACGATATAGATAGGCCAAAAGTATAATTTTTAAATAGCTCTGACTAATATGGTCATCGGCTCTGACAATAATAATATCCATACAATAGCCTGGGAATCAAGTTTGAGTCCTGCTTAATTAGTTGCCAAAGTCTATTGATTACTGCAGGTACGCAAGATGGTCTTAAAAACAAAAAATGATGTTATATAGAATCGCTTATAGTTTGTTCATTTAAATTAACTTTCGAGTATTCTTTTTTTTTGCTTTTGTTTTGATTTGATTGTCTGATTTTTAGTCCTTTATTGTTATTGCTGATCCTTTTGATCCTTTGCACAACACAGAACACAATAAAGAACTCACTTCAAACTTGTACGCGACTTGTTTGCGAATGGAGTGTTTTTTTTTGTATTGTTTCTTGTACTCTGCGCTCGAAAGGCTCGTCAAAACTGTTTTGACTTGAATGCAGTCAGCGCCAACGTTTTTATACCAAAAATGCATTCACTGAGCCGCAGCAGCAGCAGCAACAGCAACAGCATCAGCAGCAGCAGAGGCAGCAGCAGAGGCAGCAGAGGCAGCAGCAGAGGCAGCAGAAGTAACAGCAAACAGCATCCGCAATGAGAGCAGTACAGCAATAATCAGATTGCAATGAAGAAGCAGAAGTAGAAGCTGAAGATTTGTCGGTGTATCTGTCAGCAGTGGCAGTGGCAACCGAATCGGAAGAGGCTGCCACTTGTACCACGCGGTGGATGCGCAACGAGTTTTTCAAATGCAAATGGGCGTTGCGCATACGCCAAGTGTATTTAAATGAATAATACGAGTGTGAGTGAGTGTGTGTATGTTGTGTGTACTATCAGTTAAGCCGACAGACTCATTCTATATATACATATATATATATATATATGTAAATGGGCGTGTGTGTGTTTGGCACGCCAGCTTGTCTAGGCATTAATTTATGGGAATTAGCAATGCGAAGTTCATTTGATTAACCCACGCTGGCGTTAGTTTATCTGTGTGTACGAGCCGATGCGCCGCACTATACTATAATTTGTTAATTCAAATATTAATTAAAAGATTAATACAGCAACAGCTGAATACTCGTAGATGTTGCAATTGCCACAGTTGATGAATTGGCCATTTGATATTTTTTAATACCCAGTATTACTAGCATTTTATTGACATTTGCAATGCGAGTGCCGCGGGGCGGGGATTGCCGTAATACTTGCAACAAATAAAATTTTTGCTCACTTGTTGGTGAACTACAATAGAAGAGAAGAATTGCAAGATGTTCAAGATGTGCCTCTATTTATTTTTTTTATGTGCCATTGTTTCATCTGTAGCAGCAGCTGTTGTTGCTGCTGTTCGCAAAAGACCAAATGCAATTTAGACATTTGAAACGTTTTGGCAGTTGGCTAATTTGTGCTGACCAAACAAATAGGTGGAGCCGCTCCCCATGCACCAATTCCCACTAAAGGTGAACCAAATGACATGCAAAATGGAGGCTGGGGTGCGAATGGAGACGGGGTATGCTTACGTGGCGGGGGGTGTTGGCGCCTAAGCCGGCCGGCGCATTCAAAATTGCAATTTTCGGCTTTAAACTTTAAACTTTTACAGACTCTCTGCCTCGTCGGTGGCAGCGTGTAGGAAATGTCAGTTGCAATTCATAAAAATTGCAGCAATAGCTACGTCCACAGCAACAACTAAAACAACTAAAACAACAACAAAGTGCGCTCTGATCACGAACATGCCATGATGAACATCGCACGAGATTAACGCGCCTCCAACAACAACAGAAACAGCAACAGCAACAACATTAACATCATCGAAGACGCCTTCTCCAGCTTCAACTACAGCATCAGCTGAAGCTGCAGCTACAGCTTCAGCTCCACCTCTGACTTCACCTTCACCTGCCCCAGCTTTGGGTCCAGCTTTAGCTCAAGCTCTGACTCTTTAGCAATGCCACCCTTTTGTAGCTGTTCAGTTTTCATACCCTGCACCCATTAGAAATGGGTAAGAAGGTATAATAGTTTTGTGCAAAATTATGTAACAGGCAGAAGCAAACATCTCCAACACTTTAAATCATCTTGATCAAGATCACTAGCCCTGAAATGAAATGAAAGTGTGAACACTCGGATCCCAGAATTTATAAGGGTAAGAGACTTCAAATTTGAAATATAAGTTCTTGTATACCCCGTGCAGATCAAGTTTATTGAATCGATAAGTGCCCCCGTTTCGCGTATAGCAATAAGAGCAACCATTTTAAAGGCATTTTCACTGAACTGGTGAACTGATCAAATTTCATCAAGATCAGCAGGCGCAAGGATTTCCCGTATGCATTTGGCAATAAAACTTGATTATATTTATCTGCTGATCTAGGGTATGTAGTAGTCGAGCTCAACGCTTTTTGTATCGTTGCTCGCTGTGCGATTTTTCTTTAGATTTTGCTGTGTTACATGGGCCAGAAAAGTCGCGTTTGTGAATTGCCCGCGTTTTGCTGGCCTTCGTCTGCGACCGCATCTTTGTGCTGCCTAAGTGCATCTGCATACCCTGCCCGTTGTCAGCATGCACATCTTGTTGATTAATTTGTAACTCATGATGGCAAAGTTTTTCTTTAAGTGCGACGAGATGAGTTCCATAATAGATAAAAAGTGTGAGCCAAATATGGCCAAATATGGCCAAATAGATATAAGGAAACTTAAATATTTCTACGCAAACTATATTTCAATCTATTTTTATTTATATCTTCAGCTCTAACTGCCTCAATTCTTTTCTTCTATTTGTCAAAAGAAACTGGCTCGGCTTACTATATATAATCATAAACATGACCATCAATGATGTTCTCAAAACTATAAATCAAATATGCAGTAATCAGACTTAAAGTGAATAAATAAATGCTGCATGGGTAAACTTTCCGGAATGGAAATATTCACATCATATAGCTGTCATATTATTATAATGATGAAATGGAACAAATGCTCAATAAAAATTGATTACTTTACAATTAACCTCTGGTCCAAAAGGGTACTAAAAATTCTGTTCAATGTTTTGTGACATTAATTCTAGTTCACATTTGACATACAATATTTTTGACTGGTTGAGCTGCTCATACAGACTTTGGTATTTGCAATAATATTTCACACTCGTACTATTTCTAATTTATGGTTTTAACATCCAAGAAGAAAAATTCCCGTGTGCTCAGTGGATCAGTTGCTTAGTTGCTTAGTTGCTCAGTTTCCGTCAGTTTTCGCAGATTATTTACAATGATGAATGAATGAATCGCATGTGGTGTTTGCGATTGTTATTCACATTACTCGCCGATTCAAACAGTGCATCTTAAGTGCGCTTAAAATGTATCTTAATTTATGTAGCTTTGTTCGTAGCCAAGTTTAATACAATGAGCCATGTTTGCCATATGCTAATTGAGTGCAATTTCCAAGAGATTGCCTTACGACTTCATCATTCTGACAAATTGTTATTCGGGTTAGATCTTACTGTTTTGGGTATTTGAGTCAGACTTAAACGTGTTTGTGACGTCGATGAATTATTAGTAAGTGTATTTCTGTTCCAATGGAGCAAAAAGACAACAGCTGATTTATTGAAGATCTAGACTCAAGTGTGACCAGCGAATTTGAATGAGTTTCTACCAGACTAAAAAACAATAACAATAACAAATAAAAAAACTAAACATAACAAGATATTTTGTAACCGCATGTTTTTCCACTCGCTCATCATTGAATAGTTATGCAAATGGCGCTGTGAGTGTTTTATTAAAATACATTTCGGCATCATTTCTATAGAATTTCTTTGAGGGGTTTTTATGTTTTTTTTTGTTTCTCTTCTTTTATAAATAACCTAATCGATGCTAATTTTTGGGAGCTGCGCCATATATAAAGGAACGCACTTTGGGACTTCTAGCCAAGTAAAGACTCGACACAACACGCGATATGTTCAAGCTGGTAATTTGTTTGTTTGTGGTGGCCAGCGGTGTCAGTGGTGGGCCGATTGATCGAAAGGATGTAACCACCGAAAAGCGTGAAATTATTCCACTGCTGAGCTTCGAGTCGGAAAGGAACCCCGATGGTTCGTTTAAGTTCGCTTACGAAGGCGGCGACCAAACCTTTCGCCAGGAGTCAGGCGTAGTGGAAAATGCTGGTACTGATGAGGAAGCGCTCGAGATATCCGGCTCCTATCGGTATATTGATGCCGATGGTCAGGTGGTGGAGGTGCATTATACAGCGGGCAAGAATGGTTTTGTGCCCTCCGGCACCAATATTGCTGGCGAAATTACGCAACTGGCCAAAAATGCCGCCAGTCTGCCCAACTACACCGAGGAGCAAGAACGGGAGAGTCGCTTGAGTCAGCGTCGTGCCCGCTCCCAGTCGGAGCCAGAGCCCGTGATAAAGACAGAGACAGAGGAGAAGAAGGAGTCGGCGCAACTCACAGCAGCAGAGCCTAAGCCAGCTGAATCCCAGACGAAGACGGTGACCGTGGCGAAGGCGGAGGAAAAGAAGTCGGAGGAGAAGACGGAGGAGAAGACAGAGGAGAAGAAGCCGGAGGAGAAGAAGACGGAGGAGAAGAAGCCGGAGGAGAAGAAGGCGGAAGAAAAGAAGGAGGAGAAGCTATCCACAGCAGTAGAACCTAAGGCAGCTGTATCTGAAGTGGTGCCCGTACAGGTGGTGGTGGAGCAGAAGCCAGTCGCTGAGAAGCTGGAGAGCGACAAAATTGAGTCAAAGACAGCATAAAAATTTCATCAATCGAAATTTAAGTGTTTAACTACTATATAATAGATGTACTTATTGTGTAATGTGCACGTTCTAAATTAACTGGTTAGCAATAAATAAAAATTAAAAAAAATCAATTTCTTAAACTATATTTTTACTTCGTGAACTTTCTCAAGAATTGACTAATCGCATCTATGTATAGTTCATGATATAGCCCCTGATGTATGCTAATTGTTAACTAATGATGTCATACACTTCATAAAATTTCAAAATATATCAGCTTAGCCAAAAAAAAAAAAAAAAAAACACGTTAAGCAAAAGATATTTTATTGAATTTACACACATAATTGAAAGATTAAGAACTCGTGGATCTCATATTTGGTAGCCAAAACGTAAGTTGTTTTTATCCCACAAATTTGCATAATTATCTTAACCATTTGTCATTTTAATTATGTTCAATGAAAATGAGGCGTAAGACATTAATTGATAAATGCAGGTAACAATTCATTATTGCTTCTTGATTAATTTTTGCTCATTTTTTTTTTCAATTAACTTTTTAGTTCGCTCTGTTGTGAGTGGTAAATTAAAAATATAAAGTATTCTTAACACCAAGCATTGAGCGATATCCGTATTGATTGGCTGGGATTATACTATTGACGCGTACTGATTTCTTGCAAAGATTTCTTGATTGATATTCGCATTCATTGGTTAATTTTTATATTAATTACTTTAATGAATCCAACAGTGCTGAGTTTCACTATGCTCTGCGCAAAGTAGCTAAGCGATTTAATTAGTGGAGGAAGAGATTATTCTCGAATGTGCCAAGCTATTTGTTTTTCAAGGTCTTCGCCAGGCGTGAATTTCTAAACGGACTTTCGAGCAAAATCTGCGACAAGTTAAAAGAGATTGAAAGACATTTGGCGCTCATCATAGATATGCAAATTAGCAGTTGAATTTGTGAGGGCATTTGAGTTTATGCTAATAATAATATTTATTTTGGATTTGCGATTTATTCTTATGCCTTCCTTTTATTCGTTTGTCGCTGCCACTTTAAAATTAAATAAGAATTTCAATTTCGCCATCTATTCTTGATTCATGTCCGGTTTGGGCAGATCTTTGGCTGCCTCGGCGGCTGCTGTGATCTCAGGATTAATGATGGAACCCTTGGGCACAAAACCATCCACGCCAGCCGTATAGCTCACCTCAACCGTTTCGCCATTCTCATTGATATACCTGTAGCTGCCTTGCACCTCCATCGCCTCATCTTCGGTGCCGGCATTCTTAACGACAGACGTTTCCTGATGAGATGTGCCATCGCTATTCTCATGGCTGTACTGATAGGAGCCATCCACATTCTTAATATGCTGCATATCTATAATGGACACAGTTGGGATATCCTCGGTAGTAGGCGCTGCAAGAACGCTGCTGCTAATTAGGACACCAAGGATGAGCAATGCCAGCTGCAAAAATTCCAATGCCAATTGTTAAATCCATTTCGTGTTTCTAATTTTTGTGGTTGCATTCACTTACGATCTTGAACATTTTGTGGGATGAAAAGACTTAGACTGGAGCACCGAAAGCGAGAGTTTTTAATATGAATCAGTTTTGTGTGTTGCGTCTTTTATATGCGACACGAAAGCATTGCGCATTGCGATCAAGTGTTTCAATATGCCAAACATGATTTCCACCCAGTTTATGGCAACTGCTGCTGCGACGGGCCCAAATTTTAAATTACTCAATATAAAATGTCAGGGTCATTCCGACACATATCTGCACCAGAAGTCAGGAACAGGAATGTGTCACTCAGTTATTCCAGAGCAGCAGCAACTTCCGCACATACTGTTTATACATACATATATTTGTATCTGTGAATGTATCTTTCGGATTGATGGCATCAGTCAGCGCATCTATTAGCTGGCTCAATGCTAACAATTATCTTTCCAAGCAGTGAATTATTCGCTGCTGCTTCACCCACTCAACGTGTTTATTTTTTCTGCAATTAATTGCCACTTGACAGTGTGTTTCTGTGGCATCCCAGCCGCCAAGCCCACAAATGTTTTCATTTAGCATGTAAAATGTCAGCGCTTTGTGTAATGCTTGTCGTAATTTATTAGTAAGTATCTCCATCAGAACGCGAATCGTGTAATATGCAAACCAACGACACCTGAGCAGAGGAGTAGACCCAGTTCACCAAACAATAGCAAGAACAGCACCCACTTTTCTGATTCAGCCTAATTTTCAAGGTGTGCTAGCAATTTGAATACAAGTTACAAAAAGTTTTAGTTTTTGTGTTCATATTTGACTTTTGTGGTTAAATCAATAATTTATATATGTTTTTCTGGAATAGAATTTGAGAAAACTAATTATTCAAATATCTTACAAATTTTAATACAAATAAATAGTATTTCTACATTTAGAAATTCATCTCTCTTGCACTTCACTCTCTATATTAATTCTTAAACAAAATTTATTTTTTGCATTACTTATATTTATGTTTAAAATATTTTATAGGATATACATTAATAAAACAAAACAGCTTGTTAGAGTTCTGTGTACAAGTCGAATAAAAAATCCCTGTAAATATAAAAATTATAAAATGTGCCCATGAAGTAGAATATGAAAAACTCTGGTTTTTAGAAAGACACAACCTTCCGTTTAAGAATTTTCTGCTTAGTGAGGTGAGTTACCCTTGCCAAAAGTATCGATTTTCAAAAATTCTAAGTCATTTTATATTAATTTTGACACATGGTGGTTCAAGTCACAAGTTCTAAATCAACGTTGTGTAGTTCCAAGGCAGTAAAGTATATTGCCAAGAAAGGCAAATTAATAATTTTCTTATGCAAATACAGTTAAGTACTTAAAAATGCTTTAATTAAAAATTCCAAAGACCTGCATAAATAATTTTCAATGGATTTTATCACATAACACTATTCAATAATCAATTGAATTAATAATAAATACTGAAGGCGATTAACTGAGTCGTGGATTTTATTAATATTATAGATTTAGAAATTAATTTCTAAACATTAATTAATGAGCAGACTATCAAAATTAATTTAAAGTCACTCTTCTGGTGTCAACTCGGACGACATTTGGCAAAAGGGCAAAACTAAGGCACAGTTCCAGCTGCCTCGAGGTGCAAACTGAGCCCCCAAAATTAGCATTTTGCAGAGCGCTGAAAATTGTGTTGCCAATAAAAATTGCAACAATTTATATTTCTGACAGCCAAAACGAAACTGACGATGCTCCAACTACGATGCCAACTAAAATATGTACACGATGATCATCTTTACGACTAGTATTGGGAGGTGTTTGCAGCTGCCCAGTTGGCCAACACTCGATCCAACGGCGCTCCCCATTGGCATAGTTTGACGCTGAGCTGGTACTGGCTTCTACAGTTTTTGATTTGAATTCATTAGCCTGTCGATGTCTGGTATAGTTTATGAACCGTTTATTTCGATAATGGTTTGAATAACATTTACAATCACATCGCACACTTTATAACTGCTTGCCTGCTTGCACTTTCAGCGCCTGGACAGCATTATGTGCCGTCTCAGTTATCTCCTTGGTTATGTGTGTGCCCATTGGCACAAAGCCATTCTTGTCGGCCACATAGCTGACCTCCACATGCTGCCCATTGTCATCAATATAGCGATAAACGCCAGATACTTCCAGCTCCACTTGGTCATCATCATCATCTTGATCATCAGCTCGATCGTGTCTATGTACGTGATTATTTGAGCGTCGCTTCACGATGCCCACTTCCTCGCGGTAACTGCCATCGGCGCCTTCATAGGCAAAGAAATAGGAGCCATCGTTTTTCTGTTCAGCCAGTGACTTAATAATCGCCACCTCCTCCTGCCCCTCAGCAGCATTGCTAATCCAGCTGGCGCACCAGCACAGCACCCAAAACAAGCGCTGCGAAAATGAAATCAAATTAACCGAATGAGTAATACACTAATCACATAGCTCAAACTGTTAAAAAAAAGAGTAGTTCTGATTATAGGAATAGTGACTATTGAAATGGTACAAAAGTTGACGACTGACAACTGAGATATATTAAATAATATATATTATCAATAAAATACTATTAGAGATATAACCATTTTGATTCAAGAAAAATCGAAATTAAGAATTATCATCTAGAATTAAAATCTACAATCTGACAACAATGCATTCTCGAAATTGAAATTAAAAATGAGAATAGAAAAACAATAACAAACGGTTGCTATTTCTAAAATAAGTGGAATTGTGGATACAAATCTTTTACGAAGAATATATATTCTTAGACAAAGTCCACAGAAAACATGTTCTTTGTTAAAGATTTGTATACCCACTGCTCATCATTTATTTTTTATTTTATTTTATTTCAATTCCTCATGTATTCAGATTTGAAAGTCTCTAGTTTCAAGCAAACGTAAAGTACACAAGCCAACATACCTTATTTAGCCTCTCTTAAACGGGGTATATCAAAAGAGCGGGCAGCCAGCAAGGGGGAGATTTAAACAGAGATTTAAGTCATAGTTGTTGCTGTTTGCTTACCAATCGAAACATGTTTTATGCCTGGGTCCAAACTTATGCTAATACTGTTCACGCTTAAATAAGTTCTTAGCTTTTTATACAAATTTGGTAGAATTTCGCTGATTATGCTCCGTCAATAGAAAGTTGCGAGACGAGTCGAATATAATTGGAGAAGTCGCAGTTTGTTGAACTGTTTGCTGCAGATTTGCATTTTAAGCTGTTGTCGGCCAGAATGCCTGACTTGGCCATGTTATGTAACTGCTGCCAAAATTTGCCACTGACTTGATGTGTTAACTGTGACACATCAGTTAGATGCGTGCGTGTATATGCTGTGGGTGCTTACAATGTTGTAGTTCGCTTGTATCTCGTATCTGATGGGTGCAGCAGCTAATAAAATTTGTCAAATAGTTTGTACAAGCATATTACATGTCGCTGGGCATGGCCCGCCCACCCAAAGCGAAAGGTGCTGAATACGTAACGGCTGAGTGGCTAAGAAAACAATTTACAAGCAACTGCAAAACTTGCTTAAATGTTTTCCACTTGACTTCCATACAAATTCCTCTGTGTCTCACTCTCTGTCTCTGTCTCTGTCTCTGTCTCTGTCTCTCTTTCTCTGTTTTTTTCTGCTTGCTCTGCGTACGATTTTGGCCACATTTGAATTTAGCACTTTTCCAGTTGAGTCGCCTCTATTTCTTGCTGTTACAGTGGGTGGGCACTGAGAAGCGACTAACATTTATGCCACAAAGAATTTAAAAATAATTTGAGCAATTTCGCAACCTTACAAGAGCTGCAACTGCTGTTTTCTGCTGCCTGCAATTGGCAGCATGTACACTCAAAAAACCCATTGCTAATACCCTGTATTTAATATTTTGGGCATATTAAAGTTGCAACTTGTGAAGGTCACAAGTCAGACATACTTATATCTGATTCTTCATAAAGTAATAGTTACTTTATCTAAAACATAATTTAGTATTTCAACTAAATTCACTATTCTCAATGGAATTTTAGAAATGCACAATAACTTGATTTGCTTTTAATATTATTTTGCTTATATACAGTTATTTTTGTTTCTATAATTTTTAGCTAATGTTTGCTTTATTTGAAAGTATAGTAAGAATACTAATTGTCCGATTATCTAACTGGATACAAATATCTAAAAATGTTGCTTTAAAGCAGTTTTTAGACCCTTGGTAACACCTTGCTACGACATTTATTAAAAGCTACATTTCCCTATAACAATCCAATACAATAATCAGCAAGGCTTTAATAAAAACTGGCTAACAAGGCATCTTATAGTCGTGGCTGCTTATCAAGCTGCTCTCTGATTCAGTGTTGGCATTTGCCTTGGCGCATTATGGGCGTTGCAATCAACACGCCCAGTTCCACAAAAAAAAACACTAAAAGACAGTCGGGCTTGGAGGCTGCGGCTTGAAGATATATTAATAAATTGATTCTAAGACGATTTCAAACTAGTCGGGCATTACACAGAATTGCCGATCGTTACAATTGCTGGAATGGAAACTCATTAATGTTGAGTCGCAATGCCAACGAGTGCATAATTCAGATGCGACACATTAACCTTTAGCAAACTGAAGCTGCAACTGAATCTGAATGTGCAGCTGATGCAGACTGAAACCGGAACAGTAGTTGGGTATACGCACACATTGGGGAGACATCAGATATGAAGTATAGAATCAATTAACCGTAACTAACTTGGCCTGTTGCAATTACAATGCAACCAATGCAACTCAGGCGGCCAAATGTCAAAAGCCGTCCATTTCAAAGACGATTAATAATAATAAAAGTCGCCGTCACAGCTGAGGAGGGAGGTGTGTCCATCTCCGGCTTGAATGTAGTTTATTTCTCAAGCGATTCACAATTTTTCATTGTTGTGTTTCTTTGCAAATTAATTTTTGCATTAATTTTACTGAATTGCACCACTTGAGGAACATCTCTATTATTCATAAAGATACAACCACAGGTTGCGATCTCATGCATGTGGCTTTATCATTTGTTTGAATTTAACACAGATATTCAAAAAATTTCTCATGATCGATAGTTGCTTATATATAAATAAAGATCTAAGAGATAATGTTTACTTACATTTTTTGCTATCAAAAAAAGTAAACAAGCAAACCTTTGACATAATATTTAGAAATCAAAATTAATCAAATATTTGTTAAGTAATTTCTATATTGTATTCTTATTTTGTAAGCTTACCAATTTGTAAAAAATATCCATTTGAAAATCAATCAATCAATTTGTAAAAATAGAATAATAATAATCTAAAAATATTAACATTTTCATAACAAATTTAATACAAATTGAAGACTTAGTTTGATGTTATCTTTTCTTTATCTGTCTGATGTCATCAGTTAAGGTTAATTGTCTTTTTTTTCTTTGTTAGTCTTTTTAATCATAAACTAAAATTAAATTTGCGTATGAATAACTTGAAAATATTGACAAAGACGCAAAAAATATTTAATTTTGTTACACTTAATTGTTACAAGTCTGAGGAGATAGGCCAATGAAAGGAGAACAAAATACGTCTTAAGAAATGTAAAATAAATTGAAAATTGGACTAATAAGCAGACTGATGGATCGACTAGTGCTGCTGATCAAGAATATTGATAATTTATACCCCTTTTAATGCTTTGCAAACTTGGCAATAAAATTAGAATGCACTTTACAAGTGAATATAAATACAAATATATTGGGAAGGTAATTAGTTACCTATATTATTTTACTAAATATATATAGCTATTAGATTTTAGGTGTAGATCATTTAAATGTTAAAGTAGCCCAGCAAATTCAATTAACATTTTCTACAGCCTACTTTTAGGAGCCTCTCAAATTTCAATAAAGCTAAGGCATATTACGAGGCTGAAGCAGATAAAAAATTACAAAAAAATGCCTGCTTAGATAATGAATAAGCCAGATTATGAAGATCACTTGTAGATTAATGACAACATTTTCTATTGTCTGCCTTTACACCATTAAAAAAAAAGGTGAGCAGTTTTTTGGGCATGCCCAATTCTTGTTTTTAACCTTGCTCAAAAGCACAGAATGAGAAGCCTCATCAAAATTAATATATTCAATTAGGCAGCAAGCAGAACATAACATGAAAAATATGTGTTAAAAAAATGAATAATTGCAAGCCGAGAAACGCATGACAAATGTGAAAATCACATTAACTTAGCGCAATTAAGGCTGGGCTGCAAGTTATGAGTGACTTGTGGCAGTCGTAACTGAACAGATCAGTCCAAGCAACGCCTCAAAAAGCATGACGAATGCGAAATGATAAATGAGACTGGACAAACAATGGAACATTGGAATGGAATTCACAGGCTAACTGCAAGACTGCCTCCTTGATAAATTGCATTTAATAAATGATCGCAGTGAATGATATCGTTAAGCCCACATAATTGTTTCTCTCAACTGAGCTCAACCTTGACCATTGGGGTAAAAGTTGCGTATACAACCCCAAAACGCAAAGCTGAGATGAGATCGAGAGCAGTAAAAAGCCGTCAGCACATAACTCACATAAACACCTTAAGAACAAAAGATGCTCCAACGCTGAAGCAAAAAGTGGCGGCATTTGCATACGGCAATGTATCTAGTGGGGCATACTGCATTGAGAGCCATGCATGTATCTGATGGATGCAACATCATAAATATAAGAACACATCATGTTGCGGAAAAGCTCATGCATGGCAATGCCAGCTTAGCACTGGCTAACAAATTCGTTTGTCCTTCCGTCAATGGCCAATAAAAAACCAATAAAGCTGCCAGTTACGGTTGCTAGTGTTGCGGCAGCAATACCCTGTACCCCTCTATAAATGGGTAAACTGGGTAAAATATGTATAATAAAGCTGAGGAAATCTATGTAACAAACTCAAGGGAATATCTTTGCCCATATAAAGTGAATTTGTTTCTCACAAACAATAAAAGAAGATTTAATATAATATGGTATATTTAAATTAATGTTTATTCTATTTATTTTATTGTCGATAACTCATCCACTCAGAAAATGTTTTATTATTTTATCTTATTTATTTTTAAATTTTATTGAGATGCTGAAGGTCTAGTCGATATTGATTTTTATGAATTGAAATATTATTTGTATAAACATGTATGAGAGTTAAAATTAATGAATAAATATATAAAATCGGATTGAATTGAAGGATCGATTTCAAAACACTTCTTTTTGGGCATATGTTGAAAAATTAAGTTTCACTAATAAATTATTAAAATATATTAATATACTTATCTAACTACCAATTTGTAATACATATTAGAGCTGATTACAGGGCAGCGGCGACATCGAGCACTCTCGACCAGAGCACTCTTATTTGTTGTTAACACGATTCGCATGCAGATAAATTACAGCTACCGTAGCATCAGCCGCTGTAATAGCAACAAGATCAAAATCAAGATCGCCAGCACTCGCCCAGATATGGCAGATATGCTTAGAGTTCGAAGCTGCCAAGTGGACAGGAAGCGCTGCTGCTGGGCACTCGGGCGATTTTCTTATGATCGAGCTGCGCTTTAGGGCCCAGCCCGGCTGGCTGACTGCTTGACTGCTTGACTGGCTGCTTTGTGTAAGCTGTATAAATAGTTCTAGTTAGAGTTGCTGCTGTTGCAGTCGTTGCAACTAGTTCGGCTAGATCAGTACTCAGTACTCAGTACTCGATACCCGACACACACCCCCTCTTCCAAGTGAAACAACATCAGTTTTATCGAGCGTGTAATTTGTGAAACGTTTTTCCGCGAGATTTATGACATCGGCGACAGCCTAAATGCCTTCCAAATTCAGCGTGCGCCATATGCGGGTAAAATTTACGTCTCCACCGCCCAGCACAACCCAGCTCATTTCTATCTAAACATCTACAGGGAAATAATATTGTGATATTTATATACATATCTTGATTTATAAGTTTTCGTTTTCCCTACTTACAAGTGTATAAAAAATATATTTTTATTAAGCATTTCCTTTTTTCATATTTAATATTCAAAGTGAAGTGGGAAGATATTTAGAATATAACAAAAATCACTTGCTTCCTTTTCATTTGCAGTGCTTGGTGTTTTGTGTGCTGTGGCTGGCACTAATTCAGGCTGGAAGCGCCCAGTTGCCAAGTGCACCCTTCCAGCAGTCGCCATTCCAGCAACGGCAGTCAATCGCACAGTTGCCACAGCAGTCGCCATTTCAGCGCCAGCGTCAGCAGCAAACGGGGCAGGGTCTCTTTGCGGCTCAAGGCAATCCTTTGAATCAATTGAGTCCACTGAATCCTTTGGCAGCGCCCATTGTTCCGCTTGGCCAGAATCCCTACGGTCGCTACAATCAGTACTCGCAGCAGCAGCAGAACTATGTGCCCATCACTGCCTACCAGAACGAACTCAATCTTGATGGCAGTTTCTCTTACGGCTATGCGTCAGCAGATGGCACCATGGCCCAGGCCCAGGGATATGTCAAGAATCTCGGCTATGGCGAGGGCGTGGAGGCTCAGGTGAGTCTAGCAGTCACTTTTCATTGCATCATTTTATGTGGCTCACATAATTTGGTGTCATTCTTTGGGGTCTACTTTAAGGCTGACTTTAATATTCTTCAAGTATTTATTTAAATAGTAACAAATTATATGCTATTAAAGAAGAAGAGCTAAATATTAAAAATACAATTTTCTTAGCCTTTTCTTTATTATAAGACTTAAATAGCGAGAGTAAAGTGAAAGTAAAACTGAGACACAAAAATGCAAAACGGGAGCAATACAAAACTGATTTTTAAAGATTAAGAGCAACAAGAGCTAGAATAAATATGCTTGAATTAAATAGTTAAACTAATAACTTCTGAATATAATTGATAAGCCAACAACTTCTTTAAATAAATATAAAGTATAAATAGGATACAGCCTTTCGATATATACAATTCAGATATAATACAAATTTTTAAATTTTTTTGATGAAAATATTATAACAAAGAAAGATTTTTTCACACGTTTACTCATCTTACAGCCCATAATTTCCATTTTATAAAGTGTTCACTGTTCGTGAATAAATGACAATACTCTTAGTATAAAAGAAGGTCAAATTGGTTACAGTATGGCAAGTTATGCCCCTCTTTACAGCTGATTTACCACGCAAAGAATATATTTAATATCAATTGTTTTCTGACCAGGTCATCCAGGGCTCGTATTCGTATACCTCGCCCGAGGGCACACCCATCACGGTGCGCTACATAGCCGATGAGAATGGCTTTCGGGCCGAAGGCACTGGCATACCTGCGACTCCCCAATACTTTGTGGGCGCTCAGACGTATCAGCAGGGTGTCATCAATCCCAATTTAAACCCCTATCAGACGCCGTTTCGACAACTGCCTCAATCGCCAACATCGCCATTTCGCCCAGTGCCCGGACAACAACTGACGCCACTGCAGCAGCAACAACAACAACAGCAGCAACAATTGCAACAGCAACAGCGCAATTTGGCCAACACTGGACAATATCAGCCAGAGCAAGGACTTAACTCCTTGCTTTCGGGCAATTTGCCTGCCCAATATGCGGGTCAGTTTGGCAACAATTTAACACCACAGCAGCAGCAGCAGCAGCAACAGAATCTCAACCAACAGCAGAGTCTTAATCAGCAGCAGCAACAACAGCAACAGCAACAACAACAACAGCAACAAAAGGATCAACGGAATGAACAACAACAACAGGCGTTGATAACACAACAATTGAGAGGTAGACCCAATCAGCTTGTGGACCCATCATATGCATATAACCAGTACAACAGGCGCTTCAAGAAGTCCTCCAAGATTTGAGAAATCAATTGAACTTTTTTATATTGCTCAGTATTGTTCAGTATTACGAAATTCATTGCGAATTAGTCGATTTAGTCGCATTCAAATGCATGAAATACATGCGCCTTAAAAAAACCAAACGAAACATTTGTTTTTGTTTTTTCTTCTTCTTTTTTTTTGATTTAGTGATCCCTGGGAAATCATCACTATTAGAATTAATAATTATTAAGAGTCCCTTAATGGAAAATTAGATATATTGGGAACAGTTTTATTTTGGTACTCGGCAGTTTTGAAGAAAGATTGGTGAATTTGAATCACTTGTCTGTCATATATTGTTTGGAAAGATAGTATCTCTAGAAATCAGACATATTATATTTCAAACACAAAATAATTCTAACTCAGTTAGACTAGGTTTTTGTCAAAAATGCTTAACTGCTCTCCAATTTATTCTCTTCCCAATTATATTTTTCATAATTGAAAACACACTTTTTTAATTTCTTGCATTTGAATTGGTTTATTCTAAAAATCGTTTGCAACAATGAACAGTTATTAAACACTGGCAAGGTTTTATTTGCCACACTTTGAAAAACACTCGAAAACTCTTTAATCTCTATTGTCATCTTAAACATAAGTCGCAATTTTGTTGGTTCACTTAACGACCAGGAAACTTAGATAATAATTTTAAATAATACCGTCGGATATCGGATAACTTTCTTATGACCTGAGAGCTACGAGTATTTTGCGGCAGAATGAATTGTATCGAGGTTTCATCCGTCGACCTTGGCCTGATCTAATAAATGTAGCCACTCTGTGGATCAAATTCCCCGTTACCACGTCCGCCACCAGTAGAAGGAGGAATGTACTGCGAGCCAGGACCGCCAGCACCGCCGCCGCCGCCAGCACCTCCTCGTCCTGCTCCACCAGGTCCTCCTGGTCCACCACCTCGACCGGCACCACCTCCAAATCCTCCAGCTCCACCTGCTCCTCCCGCACCAGCACCGCCTCCGAAACCGGGGGCACCACCTCCTCCTGGGGCACCACCCCGACCTCCAAATCCTCCGGCTCCACCTGCTCCTCCTGCGCCTCCGAAGCCGGGGGCACCGCCACGACCTCCGGCTCCAGCACCTCCTGCGCCACCACCATAACCTCCAGCGCCAGCTCCACCAGCGCCTCCACCACCGCCTCCTGGTGCGCCACCACGACCGGCACCACCTCCGAATCCTCCGGCACCTCCTGCGCCACCACCATAACCTCCAGCTCCAGCGCCTCCAGCACCTCCTGGCGCACCACCACGACCAGCACCACCTCCGAATCCTCCGGCTCCAGCACCTCCGCCACCTCCACCTCCAGGACCTCCAGCGCCGCCACCATAACCTCCAGCGCCACCTGCACCTCCACCACGACCGGCACCGCCACCGAATCCTCCGGCTCCAGCACCGCCTGCGCCACCACCGTAACCTCCAGCTCCAGCACCACCAGCGCCTCCACCACGACCGGCACCTCCTGCGCCACCACCATAACCTCCAGCTCCTGCACCACCAGCGGCTCCAGCACCTCCGGCGCCACCTCCATAACCTCCAGCTCCAGCACCTCCCGCGCCTCCACCACGACCGGCACCTCCTGCGCCACCTCCATAACCTCCAGCTCCTGCACCACCAGCGCCTCCAGCACCTCCGGCGCCACCTCCATAACCTCCAGCTCCAGCACCTCCCGCGCCTCCACCATAGCCTCCAGCACCACCAGCGCCTCCACCACGACCGGCACCTCCAGCGCCACCTCCATAACCTCCAGCTCCTGCACCACCAGCGCCCCCAGCACCTCCGGCGCCACCTCCATAACCTCCAGCTCCAGCACCTCCCGCACCTCCACCACGACCGGCACCTCCTGCGCCACCTCCATAACCTCCAGCTCCTGCACCACCAGCGCCTCCTGCACCTCCTGCGCCACCTCCGCGACCGGCACCACCTCCGTAACCTCCGGCTCCAACACCACCAGCGCCTCCTGCGCCACCTCCGCGACCGGCACCACCTCCGAAACCTCCCGCTCCAGCGCCTCCTGCACCACCGCCACCTGCGCCTCCACCGAACGCACCGCCGCCTCCTGAAGCGCCACCACGGCCACCGCCTCCTCCATATCCTCCGGCTCCAGCGCCACCTGCGCCGCCGCCTCCTGCACCTCCAGCGCCAGCACCACCACCTCCTCCTCTACCACCATATCCTCCTGCTCCCGCACCACCTCCATATCCATCAGCTCCTGCTCCTGCTCCTGCGGCACCTAAAATAAGAATAGTCAAAGCCACTCAAGAAGCAATAAATTTTGTAATAATCTCACCTGAACCACCGCTGAAGCCACCGCCAGGAAGTGGAGAAATGCCCTGAGCAGCCAGTGCCTTTGCTATGGCATCCGGAATGGGCGGCGGTGTCGGTAGAGCCGCACCGGAAGGCACGAAACCGTTCTCATCGGCCGTATAAGAAATCTCCACCAGCTCACCCTCGGGATTGGTGTACGTGTAGGAGCCCATCACCGAGGGTATCTCGTTCGCAGATCCCTTATTCTTCACGGTGCCCTCCTCCTCCGCCTTGATCCCGTTGCCTGTCTCATAGCTGAAGCGATAGTTGCCATCGCCATCGTTTTCGTTCACAAACGATAAAATGGGTATAACGGGTCCGCCGGCAGGTGGCGCTGGCGCGGATGGTACGCGTGGTGGCGAGGGCGCCGCTCCAATCGGTCGGCTTGGTCCACCGCCTCCCGAGAAACCACCAAGTCCATTATTAATGCCACCCAGTCCATTGTTGCCACCACCAAAGCCGCCACCGCCGCCGCCACCCGGTCCTTGTAGACCCGCTCCCACACCACCACCCGCACTGGCCGCATTCGCCGGCGGTGGCAAATATTTATTATCCAGCCGAGCTGCCTGCGTCAGCGTCAACAGCGACGCCAACAGAGCCTGCAAGAGATAAGATAAATTCACGCAACTCACGTTACTAATTTATGCAAAAATAAAATGCAGTGGTGCATGTCAAAGATTCAGTGGGGCAACTAGAAATCACTCTCAATATACACATTTGTATATGCCATCGTGATGCACGACTAGCAAGTTATGCAGATCAACGAATCACCATTTGGGGGCCAGTTATTCATTTCCACACAGTTCAGATGTCTGCTAAAGATCCAGACTCTGCCGTGTATAGTATTTTCCTATTTTCCATTGGGTTCTCTTATAAAGTATATTCAAATATGTTTAAAATATGAATTTGTCTTGTGCCGATCTAAATTCTGGATGCAGTGTGGTAATTTCTAGGTGATCAAAATTCAGTGGTGCATGTCAAAGATTCAGTGGGGCAACTAGACAACACTGTCAATAATAAGAAATAAATTGGATTTATATTTGATTTATTTTAATTTATTCCTGTTGCTATAGCGAATAAAGTAGCTTTTGTATTTTCCGGCATTATTAAACTTAATTGTAATTGTTAATAAATACCGCATCGAACTAAGAATTGTATATTTTTACAAGCCATACATTTTTATATTAAATGTCTAAACAGTTATTGCAAATAGATTGTAAGAAAATAATAAGAAACTGATATTTATTGATAATAAGTTTATAATTATAGGCATCAATAATTACAATAATAAATAACACTGTCTTCATAATTATTTATGTTTAGCCAAGGTCTAATCGTTGTTTTCGTAAAACAAAAATCACAAAAATTATAAAAAATATTTTAAATGCTTACAATTTATATTCATTATTTTTAAATTTGTTTTAATGAAGTTTTCAACTTCAAAAGGTTAAAAGCTGTCGAAACAAAACAAAGAAGAAGTCAAAGCGGCCTAATACAACTTATGATAATAAATAAGAAAAAGTCATCAGAGAAAAAAACAAACATAAATATAATAAATAATATTTTTGAATTTAATTCAAAATTGTGTCACGCTTGCAGTCCTTTAAATTGTCATTTTACCCGCAAATCGAAGTCAAAAGGTTTACCATTGACTTTTAACGGCTGACATAAAGATGTTAAGTTTACCAAATAAGTTTTGTGAGTTGCCATTTAATGGCACGAAACGGGCAGCCAAAATTAAATGAAAACCACATAAATCTTTAGAATGACATGCTCTATAGCACTACATATTCATTGGACCAAGCATCATGAATCATAGAATCATGAATACGAGCAAACTGACAGCTGGCATGCAAAACATGGCAGATGACAGCATCAACAGGTAGCTGACAGTCAGGCAGTCAGGCTGGCAGACTGGCAGACTGGCAGGCAGACGCTTTATGAATGAAATACTTAACGTTTGGGGGAACATTTTCAGAATCGAACAAAATATGAAAAACGTTTGCCATATTTACAATGCGCTCACGTTTTGCATTGTTGTTAATAGCGTACTTATTGCTGCTGTTGTTGTTGTTTTTAATGTTAAATACAAACGATTAAACTATCGGCAGCAGCATCAACTTTGTGGCAATAAAAACAAAAATAGAAGAAAAACCTTAAGACCGGGCAGAGGAGTTGGTGAAGGAGTCGAGGTCTATGGACTGACGACGAACTCTGATATTTGTGGATGCGCCTGGGAGTTGCAGTTGCAACTATGGTTGCGGTTGTTGTTGCAATTACAGCGTGTGAACTATTGAAGAGGCATTGATGCCACAGAAGGTTAAGTAAGCGTACGTTTCGTGGCTAGTCGCAAGTGGCAAGTGGCAAGTGGCAAGCTACCGATTTCTTGCCAGCCAAGTGTCAAGTTTAAGTTTAAAGCGTTTAGTTAATTGGCCATAAAATAGAACAGCTTGATAGGCAGCCTCAGTCAAGAAGCAAATCGAATCTTCACTAGTTAACTCAAATGAGTGACATTTAAGTGGCAACAAGTTTGAGTCATCTATGCCTGCTTCTGTTGCATGTTGCATGTGTGACCAGTCTGGTTGGGATCGACCAGTTCGTGACCGAATCACTGTCTGGATTAATTGGGTTCCCCTTAATGTTGAAATACTACTCTCCTCAACTCCTCAATTGTTGATTGTAAATATAATTGAAGTAATTTCAAATAGGCTGACAATTGGGTCGTCGCTGCATAAGTCTTAACGATGTTGATCTTCTCTATTGGGGAGTGGGCGGGGGCATGCACGATGCCACAGTGTTGCACAGTTGCTCTTGGGCAACTTTGCGTGATTTTTCATCAATGAGGCAGCAGACGCTTTTTGGGATTTTTTGATAATTTTAATGGTGTTTTAATTTATGCGTTCTACTGAAGCCTTTAGGCCATGTTGAAGCTACTCTTGTTGTTGTTTTTGTGGTTTTAGTTGCTGTCGTACCACACAACATGTTGCAGCAACTTTACAGCTTTTGTCTTTCTGCGTTACGTGTGCGGCAAAGAACGGAAACAATGATTTGGATTTGGAGCCCAATTGGCAAATAGTGAGAAGAATATTTCGATATCAGATATTATGTAGAAATAACTGTGAGAATTGAAAATTAATTTACAAACTGAACTTAATTAATGTGTGATATAATTATTTAAGCATTCCACATTAAATCTCAGAAAGAAATTAAAGAATGAAAGACAGTCAGATTACAATCATGGATAATAAACTTAAGAACAAGTTTTGATCTGTCAATGATTGTCAAACTGTAAGTCTCATTATTTTCGGGGCCCAATTAATTCTTTCCACTTTAAAAAAATTAAATAAAGTCAAGACAAGCGTTATGCACATTCATTTAAAAATTATGTTGATATATCTACATATATTGCAAAACTAGTAATTCCAAATTAGAAAACTAAACGAATTTTTTAAAGTATTGCCTTTTGTTGCATTGGAACGAATCTTCATCGTTTTCTTACCTATCTCAAAACTGAAGTTTAAAAACTAACTTTCTGACATTTCGCCAAATTTATAAGAGACAAAATCCAAGCATATTTTAATTGAACAAGTCAAAGTTATTCATTAAATTTTGAGTTTTATTTTGATACAGTCACAAAAACCAGTTTAAATTGTATAACGAAGAACATCTGTGACAATAAGTTTTGTTCGTTTGTTTCCACATAATATATATATAATTGAATATATGCCAAACACAATATGTCATTTTATTCACAGCTCATTGTCACTTTCTTAACTCACCAGTTTCAGATGCATTATTGTCTGCTGTCTTTTCAACAGTCTGCAAGGATTTCAAAGGAGTTCGAGAACACACGCACTTACGCACACACACACTCGCACACACAAATCACAAAAACTGTTGTCTCATCTACGGGGAAATCCCTTTTGTTGCTGCCGGGAATCTGTCGCGAGTTGTGGCCTCGTCTATTGTCACGGAACTTGTGTGCCGATTGGAGCGCAGGTTCGCCTGCTTATATACAAATGCACTACTACGGCCAGAGATCGCTTGGCGCCAAATGCAATCGAATGGAATGGAATGAACGAAAACACTGCCCAAGCAAAGGCTGAGGTTGAGCGGAGCTAGAGCGGCTGCTGAGATTTTGATACTTTATGGCATTTATTGCAAACTACTGTGGGAACCAATTCGAATTCTCTGGCTAAAAAATTGAAGTAAGTTGAAGTGACTCGTTTCAAAAATGGTTAAAAAACAGTTTTGCAAATTGGTACTAAATAGTTGTCGATACACTTGATTAATTTACATTCTATCCAATTTTTGAATACCTATGCAGGGTTATTTTATCAAACTTTTTATTCTTTGCACATGTTTTTTTTTAAATTATTATCTTTATTAATTTTTTTCAAATATAAATATATAATAAAGACTCCCCCCAAAAAAAATGTTTCTAAATTAATACATTTTATGCACAAAACACATGCCATTTTTAAAGCTAAGCTCTGATCATTTTTGAAGAGCCTAATTTTTGGCATAAAAACTGTATGTTTATCCCATAGTGAAAATGTGTGCAGCTGGGTTTGTGAGTGTGTTGTGCTGCAGCTGGCAAAAACAATTGCATGCCAAAAGGGAGACAGACACGACAGCTTCGCCTTAGTCGTCGTCGTAGTCGTCATCATAGTCGTCTCTGGCTGTGTGGCCATTGTGTTGGCGTTTGCTCAATGCAGTTTTTCCTCTCAGCACTCGCCGTTCGCAGCACGCCTCTCTCCCTCGTTCACCATTCTTCGTTCTCCGGCACATCTGCCAAATTAACAAGTTGCAAACTGGCAGTTGCCAAGCTTCCATTTGCCCAGTTGGCAGTTGTTAAGTTGAAATCCAATCGAAGTTGAACGTCGAATGCTCTGAATGCTGATCAGCACTCTCATCTATACTCTGTATCCCATCGTAACCCATCCCATCCCGCCTTCCCATTTGATAGCACGCTTTGCCCAACAACAAAATTTGAATGCGCTATTGCAAATTGCCGGCAAAGCAAAGTATTTTAACAACTTTACAGCTTCATTATGAAACGGATGTCAATAAATCACCAACTAGCCCTTTGAAGCGTGCACTACATATTCTTTCACATACATTTTGACAAAAAAAAAAAACCAAAACCAGTTGACCAATCGGAGTATTGTCCATAGTTTGACCTTTTGCTTAGTGTTTTTGGTAGTGGTCATAAATACCATTAATATCGACAGCAACACCCCAGAGTCGCCTGCGGGCAGCAACAACAAATTGCCACCAATATATATATATATATATAAATGAATTGACCCCAACAACAACATAAGAAAAGGGCAGCTGTTTACGAATTTTGCCAAGTTTTTGGCAACAATTTTGTCATTTAAATTTTCTACTGCCAAGTGCAACAGCCACAACAACAAATATACATGCAACAAAATATAACTTACATACTCGTATACGTGTATCAAAAACCTACCGTAACCAACATAGAGATTGCTCATTGACATTTGAAGAATTGTTATTTGTAATTTTTGTTATTTTTTTTTATAGTGATTTAGAAAGGCAGCGACAACAATTGAAGACGAGCATTTGCTGCATGTTGTCAACCGATTTTTATATACTTATTTTTTTCCCCCCTGCCAAAGCCAAAGTTGGCTTATGCCATTCTTAAAAGTTGGGTATATAATGAATAGTGAATATATTTATTTTATAATATTTAATCGTACGACTGTTTTAGCTTGTGCGTAAAAATCGTGTAACAATTATAATAATAAATATATATTATATAATAATACAATTATTTTTCCATATAACAAATCAAAAAGTTATAGAATAAAATATTACTGCACATGCCGAAGAAAATGAGATTCTCTATCACTCTCTTACATATAACAGGGCATCTCAAACAATACCCGCTAGTTGCTTCGTTACCACGATGTGTGCTCATTCACGCCAAAGCAATACATTTGACCAATTTATTTGTTCTGCCTGCAATTGCAATTATTGAGTCAAACAACTGTGAGATACACACAAGAGCAACAGCAGAAAAGACAACGATTTGATTTTTTGTGTTCTGTTTTGTGGCCAACAGATGTCTTGGCAGCCTGGCTCAGAAGGCCAGCCAAGTGGCAAAAGGAATTTATGCATGCCACACAGTCTGAGGCAATGAAACGGTGCGTATGCATGATATATGCTGACTGCCGGGCTGGCCGTGCAGATATTAATCATACGCAGTGTTTGGCCTTGCCAAATTAACACACATTAGCACATAAATGAACTGCACTCAAGCGCAATGCATACTTAGCTGCTGATCAATCGGATTTCAATCAGTTTTATCCACAATATAATTGATGCTTACGGACCTTAATTAACCCGTGACTCAACGTCAACAACTCTGATGCAATATATCTTAGTGATGATGATGATGATGACGATGATGATGACGATGAGTGAGGCAAGGCAAGGCAAATGTTTGCCGGATGCCCAATGCGTTTCTCTTAGAAGTTTAGTTGTTGGTTTTTCCGTTAGCTCAAACAGTTCCTGTTTGAGAATTGATTATTTTTAGCGCAATTGTTATGGCTTTTAATTCTAACTGGCAGCTGTTTAAAACTGCCTTGGCTCGAACATAAAACAGTTAGTCAAGCTGTATTATTCTTTAATTTATCTACACTCTGTTGGGTAAATGAAAATATTATTTTATATATATGTACTTCAGATACAGTAATTAAATAAATTTGCTATCCATCCCGCTCCCGGAAAGTCTATTTTTCCTCACTTTTTAAATAATAATCAGCAAATTTGGCTTGCTAATAAACTAATAATTGAAATTTAAAAACTATCTAAAATATATTTGTATATGTGAAGTCTTAAAATACTAATTTTTAGATTATTACTAAATTACTAATTAATGATAAAAATTAAAAAAAAAAAAATGTACACAGATTTCATTTAATTTTTGGAAGAACGCACCCAAGAAAAGAAAATTACAATTCCATTTTTTGGAAAGACTCCAAATTGCATTTCAGAAATAAACTATCCGAATAATAAGATAAGTTAAGCTTGGCGCCAAAAATAAGGCGACCTTATAAAAATCAGGACAATTTGTTTGCTTAGTTTATGCTATGCTTGAAATTGTTGTCATATCTACAGTTGTAATTCCAGCCAAATTTTGCTTGTTAAATTGAAAAACAGCCAAACATAATCTGCTACAATCCGAAAGTCGTCATATTTGATTTAATGAATTTTCTTCTTTTTTACTAATTAAAAAGGAGAAATGCCACACCCGTTTACAGAGTATTGTTTTATTCTTACTTTATTTATTAAAGACTTGTGTTCATTTTGTAGAAATATATGTGTATGGTGGTGGTTAACTTCAAAGCTGTGCTGCTTACTCGCCCGTCATCATTTCCATGAATTCTGTAAGTGAAAGAAATAATATAGATATCTAGAATTGCGGGAAAATAGATACACAGAACAAGAAAGGCATCCAAAAATAGACGGAATACAAGGGCAGAAGAGTGTTGTTCTGTACAAAGTAAGTGAACAGTGGGCATTTAGCCTGATTTATTTGCTGGACGAGCAAGCGGCGCAAGGGGCGCAAGGGGCGAGGCAAACAAATGGTGTCGCCATGGCCGTCATTTGCATTGGCCTGTAGCCAAATGATATCAAATGAAAGGCAGGAGGGGAGTGTGAGGTCTCTTACTAATTGGTCTAGTGCTTACCATCAAAGTCCACGGTGCCGGAGCCATCGGAATCGATTTCCTCAATCATAATGTCGAGTTCCTCGTTGGTCAGCAGGTCGTCCAATTCGCGCAGAATCTCGCGCAGGCAAGAAGTGGGAATGTAGCCATTGCCTTGCTTATCATACAAGCGGAACGCCTCACGCAGCTCCTTCTGCATGGCCTCATCATCCTCCTCCACAATGAATTTGGCAGCCAGTTGCACAAACTCCTCGAACTCCAAGCGGCCCGATTCTAAACAAAAAATCACCAGGCATTTCGATTAGTATTTAGCTGATACTGTAGTGGTTCATTACTTACTGTCCTCATCGACCTCATCGATCAGCTCCTCAAGAATCTTCTTGTCGAAGGGCTGACCCATGAGACGGAGAATATCGGCCACCATTTCGGTGGGTATGCTGCCAGTCTTTTGGTGATCAAAACTGTTGAATGCCTTTTGGAGCACAGCAATTTGCTCGGGCGTCAGATCCTCATCCTGTAAAGCAATTACCATAAGACATAAGTTTATCGAATAATCCTCACTCAACTCACGATGTCCATGTTTGAGTTCTCTTTTTTCTTTGCTGCTCTTTGTTGTTCACCAGAAAGATCACCGCTAACGACTGTGCACCCAACTGAACTAGTTGCTCATTTCTTCATATGCTCCAAATACAAACAAACATACACACATATATCTTTCATCCCCATACACTCACATACAACCACACACACATTCACGTCACTAAATGCTACATTCCAAAAGTAACAAGCTAATTTATGGTTTTCAACAGCATTTCTAAAATAAAAGCACACAACACAAACAACTATGACCATATACAAACTCACACACACACACACACACACACTCACACAACATACAAACGCACATGTTGGGAAATTTTTGAAATTTTCGAAAAACACTGTAAAAGCATTGAGCACTTGGCTGTATTTACTTTGGTGCTGGCCACCAGCTAACCAGCAAGAGTAATATCAATTTTTGTAGTGGTTTGCTAAGCTTAACGTGGAACAGTAAAATTATATTTATACTACACAGCAAGAAACGATGCACTTCATTGAGCTACAAATATTTTTGGCTATGATTGGAAGTTTTAGCTTTTGTAAAAAATAGGACGCGATATTCTGGAAATGTATCAAACTAAGTTATTTTCTAGTTTTAATGCCGAATAAGTATAGATAAAAACACTGCAAAACGATTAAATGTAACTCGGAGATCGGACCATTTTTGGCAAAAATAAGATAATGGAATGCTTAACTTTTCTAAAATAAATTAAAATAATTAACTAAAATAAAATGAAGCACTACAGAAAATGAAATATAATTCGGAGATAAAATACGTCTGTGGCGAAGAAACGGCAAGATATTTCATCTATAAAAAAAAAGGAAATTTAACTAAAAAAAGATAGATTTACTACAGAATTAAAAATGGTAATTATTAAATCTGTAAAAATTACTTTAAAAGTGTGTAGCCAATTCTCAGGGCTATTTCCAAAATACTAGAGAATTAAACATTGGCGTATTATTATGCATTGATTATAATACATATACATATTTCTGCTAATGTGCATTGAAAAGCTCGACATGAAACTTTATTATAAGTGGATGTAGTACTAAATATTATATACAACATATCCAACGTCCCATCTTAAGAAAAGATGACTCGAATTTCTTGCAGTGTATAATATAGCGGTACGCGATGTTAATTGAATTACAATCACAATGGCCAATTCATACAAATAATTGGAGAGAATCAATCAGTGGGGAGACTCGGAACACACATTTTCATTAATTATCAAATTGCAGTTAAGCCAATTAATTAAATGGTCTCACACGTTTCGCCACCCACATGCCTAAAAATTTTCCGATTGAGCCACCCACACAAGATTTTCTTACTAGGCGTAGAAAATTTTATAAACGATTAAAAAATCGTTTCATTTCCGTCGAGCTTTGCTGTTTAAAATAAAATTCTAAACGACAATAAGTTTTAATAACACAGGATGGATGCATAGGTTTAATTGATTTATAGTGGCCATTTAAGTGTATTATATGTTCCAAGTGATATTTAGATTCGTAAAACACACAGTAAGACATGCTAATTGTGTATATGCTATAAATACTTATATGTATATATAAACATATATTTGTAGATTTAAGAAATTGACTAAGAAATGGAAAGGAAAAAACGACATCTTGTTTATGAATTATGATAACACCCACAGAAAAGAGAGAACTGACAACAATTTTGACGTCACTTAGACATATTGGTCATTTGTTTTAGTTCCTTTAGCTAATATATTGCACTAATAACTTAGTCTGCTATCAATTAGTTATGGCCAGCAGCTGCTTGATAGTTAACTAACTCGTCTTCGTCGACTATTGAGTTGTTCTTGTGTTGGAACTTAACATATAAGCTGCAGCCGACTATTTTCCATACCAGTTCCTACTGAAAGTTTAAGGTATATTAAGTCCGTCAGATCTTCTTATATATTCTTATTTTTAAGTTTTTCTTGAGAAAGAAATATTCTTACTGATTTTGCCTGATTACTTCTAGATTCTGATAATAATTACAATTTGTTCCTTTATCCCTTTACTAAAACGCTTTTTGTATAAGCTACATTTACTCGAATATTTTAAAGCTTTTTTCGTATTCTCTAAATCTTAGGAACATACACCTTATTAAAATATCCTCGTTACAATTATGAATCATACACTTAGAGATTTAATAGCGTACTGAAGCCCTGTTCACGTATTTCATAGTTGAGCGCATTCCCGCTAGTATTCTTTTGGCCAGAACTTGCTCGCATGATGGACAGCGTCGACATCGGCGCTGGCATGTTGACGTCTTGGCGTTTTGGCATCTCGGAATCGCCGCATGACGGTGGAAATTAGTTTTCGCTTACACACTGTCAATATTTTCATGTTCAGCTTCTGATACGATTAGCTGCTACGTGTTTCGGAAAACCAGAACAAGCCGTCTGCGGCCAAAGCAACAATCTCTCAATGCTGTTTGCTGTTTTGACATTTGACGGCGGCAAACATCAGCTGCGAGATAAAATTACCTTGATCGTCGTTAAGATCACTTTTACAGCTACAGCCTAAGCTCAGAGGTTGCTCTTCCTTGGCTGTGTAATTAATGTTGGCAACGGCGGCATTCACTTTGTCAAAGCCATTTGTTATAATTGCGGTGGCAAATGCTAAACGATCTATCTATCAGCTATCTACTAAATATAATACTTATAGCCCAATACAATAGCCGTTTATAATGGGCTGTCACAATAACATTTAATCCCGTTGAGATCAATTAATATAACTGGAACGAATTTCGAAATATGAAAATATAGAAATGTATGTAAATGCGGCATGTTCTGAGTTAAAAAAAACATTGCATACTTTTTAGCTGAATAGTTAAAAGTTAAAAACTTTGCATTGAATCACTCAAGTTCTCATTATTTATTTTTAATTAAAGTAATAAGCTAATCAAATACCACACTTAGCAGTTACATTTGATAGCGTTGATATCAATAGATCTAAATGGAACTCATTTCGAAATATGAATACATAGTAGTGTATGTAAATGCGACATATTTTTCAAGCGTCCTAATATCTTATGGTCTAAATAAAGAAGTAGCATACTTTTTAGCTGCACAGTTAAAGACAAACTTCGCGTTATTGAATCACTGAATTTCCGCTTCATTCTTGTTAATTGAAATAATTATTTAGAAATGTGCTATCAAAATACTTACAGCGGATAATTGCGGCTTGTGGAAAGGTGGAAGTAAAGAAATACATTATTTCTAAGTGTAATATAAAAGAATACACTCATAAAAAAAATTGCCCATAATTTAAAAAAAAATCGCAACACTTTTGAAGCCAAGGGCAACTCACATTATTATTCAGAAAATATATTTCTAAAATTAAAAAGGAAAAGAGAGTATTTCTTTTTTGAATTTTAGGGTGCATTTTTCTAAAACTTATAAAATACTTTGTTTTTTTTCTCAATGTGTATTACATTCGTATTTTTTGCCACTCAAATAGTATGTAAATTCATATAATTTAGTTTAAAGAAAACTTATCATATAAATATAAACTTAATGAAAGTATCTCTAAAAATAATGTAAACTTTATCATTTTTCGGACGATTTTATAAAATTCAATTCTTTTTTTCTTCGTGTATATTGTATGTAAATACGAAACGAAAACAAAAGTGAGGCGGCATTTTCGACAGAACTAACAAATATATACCTCAAATAGTTCACGGCCGCTGCTTACCACTGAAATCGAATTTACTATTTATAATAGTTATTGTCTGTCTATCTGGCCACCACCTATGGAATACATAAGTGTCGGATTTGAAACTCATTTATTTGCAAGGTGACAAAACTTGTTTTTTGTTTGGCACCGCCATAAACAAAGCAAAATCAATAATAAACGAATATAAATCTGTTTGCTAAGATTGATTTGCATGTGGGATCATTATCTATTTGCTGAGTGTATCCCCAACATATCAGAACCAATAAATATTGCGTAAATATACAACTAATATATTTATATGCTTATACAATAAATGTACACATCGATCACTGAATAATCATTAATATGCCATTTAAATTGTGTGCCTCGAGTAATGTTCCCAATAATACTGAATAACAATTACCTTCCAAATTTAGCGACTTAGAAACGATGGAAGATATATTTTAAGGAGTTTAGATGATGGTAACACGCCAACTGTAACACTCTGTTTATTCAAACTTTTAAGCTTCTTCTCAAGTTTCGCTATTACGGACTGACAGTCGGGCAGACAGCAGGACGGACACTACACAAAACCAATATACTCAAATGTGTTCAGTATCAAAGTGTAAATATGCAATGAAATTCAAAGACTCAAATTTTTAGACGACGTCTCTGTCATAATTCATTACACAAATTATACAGACGTGTTCAGTGACAATGCCAGTGGCAGAGGGGCAGTACCCCGCCGCCCTCTGCCCAAAATAACTTTACACTAGCGTATCCGATTGATCGCAGAAGGAAAGTTTGGATACATATTAATTATACCAAACCAATTAATATATGCAAACCACACACACACACACGCTCTCTCTCCTTCTTGTTCGAAATTCTGCACAAGGCATTATCATTTTATGTAATATACTATCCAAGGAAAAGAGATAAGGGAGTTTCCAGCATTTTGCAGAATATATACATGTGAACATATCCTTCCACAAAGTATAAATGCACCTAAATCACCTTGTAAATAACAAACAATTTGGGTATTTTTCTTTTTTAATTCTTTGCGTTCATTTATTGTTAACAAAACATTATTTAATGCCTGTCTTCTTGACTTGGGTGGTCTCTGATATAATCAAGAGCCCTCTGGATGGCCTCTGGAATTGGTGGTGAGGTTGGTAGGGGAGGATTGGCACCCAGCACTTGGTAACCATTTTCATCGGCTTGATATTGAATGGAAACTTGCTCTCCCTCAGGAGAAGTATGACTGTTTTGACCAGTAACATACCAGATGTCGGCTCCCTTCAGCTCACCTTGTTGATCGGCCTTAATGCTGTTGTCGAACTCATAAGAATACTTGAAACTATCCACGTTCACCTCGGCATCGTTCTTTAGGACATTGGGATCTTCATTGGCGAAGGCCACTACCAACAGGCAGGAGAGGGCAATCTGTGATGGCAAAGTAAAAGATTTATTTGAGTGTTTGTGGATGCGCGTGCTATTCAGGATCACTTACAATCAACTTCATGGTGTTTACTAAGAGACTTCGAAAGACAATCTGATAACCACCGTTTGCAGTTTCTATGCTTTTATACAGATTGTCCCGATGAGCTAGCAATGTTTAATTTTCATTAATTATGTAAATATATTATAATTTGTAGTACTAATGACTAAAAAATTTTTTTGTCTCTCTGCTGTACAACGCATTTCGTTTTATCACTTCAATACCCGTTTGCTTTATAAACATAACAAGTTCGCAGTTGTAGTCCAACAAGCGGAAACTCATATACATATACGCCAAACACCATCTGTCAACTAGAAAACATTCATGCACGTCATAATTATTATTATTTCGTTTCTATGGTATTCCAAATTTAAATTTAATTAATATATTTAATTATTCATTTTTTCTTATCTATATTATAACAATGAGCTTTAATCTTTAATTTTACGTATAATTGGACTCATACATGCGAATCCTTCGCATAAGTGCAATATCAGTTATTTTTTAAAAAAGGTAAAAAGGGCTTTTTTAATAAAACAATCTTGATCCTTCTCGAAAAGCCTTAGTATAAGAACTCCATTCTAAGCATCCTATCTCGTGAACGACTTTTCGCATGCATTTGTAATGGGCCCTAATTTATTCATACTAACTATTTTATTGGTCTGATGGGGATTTTTCTGGGATGTTTCCAATTCATGCTACAAATTTTAGACCATTTTGCATATAAATACCGCCAATAATCTTATAAATATTTCTTATTTTTTGAATTTAAAATATTTTATTTGTAACATAATTTAATTCAATTTGTTACTTTTAATATATTTTTGAGTCAACTGACTTTAATTGACATTAAATAAATAAATAAACATTTAAATATATATATCAGCATCAAAAGCCGATTCGATGTAGTCACGTCCGTTTATCTTTTTCTTGTCTCTTAAGTTTACAAATTATCTTGTGGATTTTCTAAATTTATAGAAATTACAGTGATCTTTGCAAGGGAATATTACAATTTAAATATCTGGTCCGCAGGGGTAGGTAATATTTGGTGTTCTTGTGAGTGTTCTTGCTTGTTTTCATTTTCTTTAACAATAAATTTTCATTTAATTTAGGCGGTCCGTCACGTGATTAACAGGTTTCGAATTGTACAACATGTATTACTCGTCGAATCTTTGATTAGCAACAGTCTTAGATATACAAATTTCTATACATTTAAAAGCTATTTGACGCCCATGAATTTTATACTTCTGATCACATAATCTACATACTTCAAGATCATTACTTAAATATGAATATGTTAAAAATGACCATGACTGTTGTACCGCATGAATATTTCAAAGCTATCAGCTTACTGACAATCGATTCTTAAATAAGCTCGGTGCTATCTGATCATTAATGAAGACAACTTATATCATGAATATATATTTATTAACCGGCAAAAGCGGGAATATAAAAATTTATGAGTGTATTTAGATATTTGTATTGAAGAGATATTTATTTAACGTCGACTAAATTCAGTCGACACAAAAAAAAAAAACAATAATTTTTTATTTCAAGTTAAAAATAAAATTTCAAAATAAATTTAAATTAAAAGATATGAGATAATTATAAAACATCTGAAAATCTTAAATGCACTTTGTCCCACATTTGTTGCATGGATTGCGGAACTCAGAAACTCAGAAAAAACTCAATCAGACCAAGAAAATAGTTAGTAGGAATTAGTTAGGCCTTATCAATAGAATATTTAATTCAAGAGAAAGACTGTGTACATGTTTTAGTTAGTTTAGAAAGTTTAGTCGTAAGACCTGTAACATTCCGATAATCTAGAAAAATAAATGTCCTTAGCTTATTGGTGCAAAATTAGAAGGAGAAGCATCAGAAGGATTTACAGGCAGTGTAATAGGAAGCCGAATACGTTTTTTATTGGGAGAGTTGAATCGGAAAACACGAAATGGGATAAACTAGCGCCACCACTATTAACTACAGATGGTGCAGGAGAAATAAACTGCTAACTATTATCAATAGCATGCGTCAGGGGAGTAGGCGGCAATAACAGAAACGGCGCCAGTAAATTTCAGCGTGGCACTTGCAGCTTTTTAAATGGCACGCAGACATACTTAATGTGAAAACTAATATGCGCGAAACGTAGAAAACTATTTCAAAGACTTATAAGATTCAGTATTAAGTTTGGTTAAAAAATAAAAACAAGAATATAATTTTAAGTCTATATTTCACGTAAATGTACACATATGTAGCTGGGTACATTGAAAATACTTTATATTAGTTAAATATTGCCGCTCATAAGTTTTTGGACTGCTCGGTCAAATTTCCTGAAAATTAGTTGAGATTTAGTTACAGAATTCATATAACACATTTATAACTTACTTTGAGGTCAATTGTTCACCAGGAATGTAGAATGGATTACAAACAGCATCAGTATAGAGCATGTGCAAATTTCGGAATATCTGTAATAGCATAAATAATGATAATCAATTATTATAGTCGAAAGACACCCCAAAATCATTCACACTTACCACACGCACTTCGTTCTCCCGCAAAGCGACGTTGCACGAATCTATGACGACAATGAATTTAATTCGGGAATTGGTCACAAATCCGTAGCTAAAATTAGAGGCAGCTTAATAATGGAATGTGTAAAACAATATGCCACTACACAGCTCTCACATTTTGTGATTTTCCGTTGAGAAAAGTAATCCCAAGTACAATTCCTTTGATTCGGGTGCACCCTTTCCGATTAGGCACTTTTCCTCCACAACGTCAAGTGCCGCATGTACATGATATTGAAGATCCAATTCCCGCTCTAAGTCAGATGTGGTCAGATATAATGGTGCATTCTAGAAGTGTGTTTTAATTTTGTTAAAATTAAATGTGTGTGTAAATGAAATAATACCAACGTCTTTGCCAATAACAGCAATGCAAAATGCCATTGTTGTTCCGAATGCAGCTAATTATTGTTTTTACTCAATTGCCATTAACAGCTGTTAGCATACAATGCTGCCAACTCGTATTAAGAACTATTTGACTGGTCTTGTCGCCGTAAATTGTGAACGACAAACATAGAAGAAGATAAAAACTGAAACTCGTACACTTATACTAAATTTAAAAACAAATTGCAAACTTAATTTTAATTAGTCTACTATATGATACACTAAATATTCGACATAAAATGGAGTTGCGGATTGCGCGCAGCAATTACAATTGGAACGACCATCCAGCTGGACAGCCACAGGTGGAGGAAGAGGTCTACGTGCAGTTTGTCAACACAACAAATCATACCGTCAATTTGTTCTGGACTTCCGACATTAATGCGGAGTACATTCAATATACATTGAAGCCAAAGCACAAAGTGCCCGTAAATACTTTCAATACACACATTTGGTTCTTTCGCGAATACTACACGGGCGAACACATGCATGTGCGAAGGAAACGATTGTTTTACCCTGTGCGCATACGCATACCCAGAAATCCACAGCAACCAGAAGAATTGCGCGATGTGCGAAGTGAAATATTGATACACCTTCCATTGCGAACACTCAAAGAGATGTGCCTGTGCTGGATTGCCAAGCGTCTAAATCGTAAGTTGGCCAAGGAGCCACGGCAATACATCGATGGCTATATGATTCCCACAACGCTGAAGGAGGAGTTGCTCGCCAAGCTGACAACCATCGAGGCTTACACGCAGGAGTTCAGGCGTCAGGGCGTCATGAATCAGCTCAGGAGAGATAGCGCCAACTCCCGGCCGTAGTTCATTGGCCATCATCATCAATTTAGTTATAGCCACACATTATTTGAAGAGGGAAAGAAGAAGAAGCCTGCCTGTCTTCACTTAAAAATAATTGAATAAGAAAAGGTTTTGATAGATTTTTGTAAGTTTAAGTTTTCTTTTTTACTTATGTACAAATTGGCTTGCATATATGCGTTCATATATATTTTCTACAATTGCATTGTTTTTTTTTTGTGTAATTTATCATATAACAGAATACTTACAATTAATGTATGTTTATTTGTATATGCTTATATGAATCTAAGTAAACAACTGAATAACGCTGACGGATGAAATACATACACACATATATATATATATATATTTTAATGCGTCGATCTCTAGCTGCTTTTTAAAACTGTTCACAGACGGTGTTTTTCTGTTTCATGTGTGTGTGTATCATTATGTAAATGGTATGTATATAAGTGTGTGAATACAGTTATATATCAATGTTATATAAGGCTGCAAAGCCTCAATGTCGAACTGTTTACTATCCATAAACAATGAACAAAAACGATGCGCGTGCATTTCGATTAGGTGTGTGAAATAATAAAATTGGTACAGTTATCGGTCGAAAATTAGAATTTGTATATTTCGATGCACTTCTTGTTTTGTGAACATTTATTTTCCAACAACCTTATGAAATTGGTCAATAGAATTTTTTCAACTTAAAAAATGTTGATGTACTTATTTGTAATGAAATTTAAATTACAGCAACTTGAAAGAACAGTGTTTGAAATTTCGAACGAACAGAAATGATGAAATACACATGACAAAAGACATATTTCTCAAACAAATAGTACATATTACTCCGACAAATAGTACATATTACTCAGACATACATACAGACAAATCAAACAGATCAATTTTTAGCCCATCTTTGAATAACAAAAAAATCACATGCGTCTGTCGAAAGCAACGCCATATGTAAAGCACAATACTCTGGTAGATTCGGATCAACTTCGCGCTTTCAATACTTGCGAGTGACGCGCTCCAAGCTATCACCGATCGAACCTAGATTGGGTGGATAAATACAACTAACAATTAGACTATAGATCAATTAGTAATTATCATAAATCTCTTGGTGTTTTGGTTGCGTGTGCGTGTGTGTGCGTGTGTAGATTGTGTATGTTGTATGTTGTATGTTGGCATTTTGTATTATTTACCATCAAAGTTAAAGTTCTGCTTAGCTTTATATTGAAATGTTAGATCAGTCGATTGCTTCCATATAAAATGACGCACTGTACGCAAATCCATATTCGGATCAACCACCTACAGATAGATACAGATGTTGTACATAGTATAATACTCCCGCAGGTAGACTCTGGTTTCACTTACCACATCGTTGCACCATAGCTCAATGCGCTCTTCCGCTGGAAGCTGAGATCCCTCCGAATTGGCATCGCTTTGACTATTTTGTAATGAGTTGTTTGCGTTGCCACCACTGGGAGTTGTTTCTGTATTGAGCACCTTTTCCAGCACATGCTCGCACACCTTGCGGCACTGTATAAACTCATTGGCCACCAGACGATCCTAACAAGACATTCATTCATAAGTTAAATGCGGCTAATGCGGTTTCCTCGTCTGCGTTTGGTTGAGCCTACCTTTTTGGAGCGCTCCGGCTTGGTCATCTGTGGATGTGGTTGCAGGAAGAACGGTATTTTCAGGAATTTCGGTATATTCCTTTCGATGACAACGTCCGTCACCCACTGCGGCGCCGTCTCATGCAGCAGCGTACTCTCACTGTCACCGGCGGCATCGCGCACCAACAGCCGACATACTGTGCGGCCTCCGACCTCACTGTACATCGAGAGGGATTAGGATTAGTCGATTAGCACTACATATGATTTACTCTCACCTGAATATGACTGGCGTGTGTTTGGGCACTTGAAAGTAACCATTGCCGCGCACATCGGGTTCCATTTCATTTGGCGGTATACTGTGCGGTGGCGTCCAATACTCAAGCAGTGCCTCTAACAACAGTTTGCCATAATTTATCTGCAATACGTATTTAATATTGTAATTAAGTAAATCTCTCAATTTAGATACCAACCTTGATCTCTGTTGTCGGATCATCGCACTCGGGAAGCCCGGCTTCTATGGATACCCAGGCAGAGAAGCAATCAACCTCCTCTTGACCCAAAACTATCGTGGGCATCTGCACAAAACAAAATTAAACTTAATATACTCAAGATATACATAAATAAATTTGAAACGTACGCCAGTTTTCAGGTCAACCGTAAACCAATTTGGAATGTAGACTTGTTTATTACGCTTCATAACTTCCTTTTCGTATTCGATGGGGCCGAGTTCTTCTTTTTTGATCACGCGCAGCACATCATAGACGACAACTTTATCCTGCGAGTCTTTAGTAATGATATATCGTTTGTCGTTCAGCACAGTGCATTCCTTAATGGCTGCACCACCTCTAATACAGGCCATTTCGGTACCACCCAGCGTCCACTGGGCATCCATGCCACCAGAGGTGAGGATGCATCTGTCATACATGGGCAGCTTCCAGCAACGGATGTCCGAGTTCCAGGTGGTTGCCCACACGCCTGTCTTGTCGATATTGTAGCCGAGACTTAGCACTGGTGCCTTCTCCTCGCACACGAGCATCTTGTTGCTCGGATTGCGTATTTCCGTAACAATGATATTACGATCCCTGCTGCCCGATATAATATACTGGAAATTCTCGCTCATTAGCAGCGACCACACACCTTCCTTGTGCACGTGTATCGTTTGTATGCAACGCTGCTGGCCTAGATTCCATACCTTGATGGTACCATCCGAACTGCCGGAGACCACTTGATTACCATCGGGCGAAACAACTAGGCAGCGCACATTCTCCGTGTGCCCGCGCAATTTCATGCTACGCATGCAAGTCCGTGGATCCCATATGCGCAATATGTTCTCTGTCGAACCGCTGACAATAACGGTGCCGGAGGGATTCATGGCCAGGCTGTATATCGAGTCCTTCGAGCCTGTGAGACTAGAGGTTGTAACGGTGTTGTTGCTGGCAGTTAATGCTGTGAGCGTATTCACATCCCACAGAAATATTGCTTTATCCAGGCCGGCACTGGCAACCTGTTCCCGATCCTTGGCATATGCCAACGCCTGCACATAGTCACGATGCGTGCGCAATGTGGACATGCAGAAACCCTTGTGGGCGTTCCACACTTTCACAGTGGTATCACAGCTGGCGCTGATCACTACGGAATCAAGTTAAAACTTAGCTAAAGTTAATATTATAAAAACAGCAGAAAACAATTACATACAATTTAACTGCGAGATATCATTGATTAGGGAAACAGACAGACTGACCGATGGACAAGATAATATGGACTAACTGCATATTGCAAATTGATCTCAAAATTATATCCCCTCGAATGCGACTTACAATTCCTGCCGTTGCAGCAGAGCACAATGTCGTTGACCCAATCATTGTGGTGTTCCATCGATTGTATGTATTTCTCGTTGGATTCCGTGCGCGTGTTCCACACACGTATAATGGCGTCACGACCCGCCGAATACAACTTGCCATTGTTGGGATCCAATTGCAGTGCGTTCACGCCGTTCCGATGCTGTTTCTCCTCCGCGTCTCGTATCACAAAGGAAACCTGCAAGTCAAGTGATAAAAAAATATAATAAAAAATAATAACATGAAAAGCACATGAAACCTTTTAATTCAATTAACGGTTCAATAGGATTAGGTGCATTTTTGTGCTTAGTTGCCCGGAGGCACACCATCATGCCATCATGCAACCTTGTCACCAATCAAACCCGGTGTTTCTTATTGGGGCATCCGCATTAACTCACCTGCATTTTTTTTCGTGCCTGGCAAGTTTTGTGCGTCAACATGTCTTACACGGCCCGAGCTGAAGCTGTTGTTGTTGCGTGTATTTTGTGGTTTCTTCACGTCGTGATGATTGTGTCTTGCTGCACATTAATTACGCACATTCATCAATTTCTTATCCTAGTTGCAAAAATTTAACACTTTATATGCTTTTCGGCCAATGCACCATATTTTGTCGGAACGATAACGTGATATCGAAACTTCTGATACATAAATACATTACTATTGTTTTCGACCATGTGGCAACGCCTTGACTTTGAAATTGAGACGTTTAAATCATCTGTGTAGCAGTAAAAAAAAATTTAATTAATTGAAATCAAAACCAACTTGTAAATTCAAATGTAATTTTTAAGCATGTCTTTCCAAATACGCACATATTCTTTTCAGCAGCACTTACCGCAATTGGTTGCAAGACATTGCCACCATGTTCATAGTACCGGCTCTCAGTGGTGGCATATATCATTTTGCAGTGTTATTTGTGACACTTAAGTTGTTTATTTGGCTAGAGAATGTAGAAATTGTTAAAATTAACTAAACCAAAATGTTCAGATAAAATTCCTTGATTTAAGTTACAGGCGGCAGGTAGAGTCTGTAGGAAACCGGCACAATTGTATTTTCATTTGTACGCTTAACAACACTGTTCTTTATATAACTAGAGAGAGTCGCCTTTTTTGCATTTGTAGCAACCAAAAATTAAACAAATCAATGGCAAACACACAAAATAAGGATGCATGCACCATTTGCGAGAAAGTCGGCCTGAAGCCCTTCACCAAAGACAACATTTTCAACTATTACATACCACTGCACGGTCTCGTCAGCTATGGGGCACTCAGCGTCAACGTTATGAATCCTCAGATTGTGCCGAAGCTGTTGCCCAAAAAGGATCTGACCAATGTCTTCCTCATTTCCGCCGTTGTGGGCAGCGCCTGCTACATTTACGGCCGACCCCATTTAAAGGACATTAAGAACGAGAAGCGCGTAGGATATGCATTGCTTGGTGCCACTCTGTTCAGCATGGGATCGGTGCTCGCCTGGGCGTTAATCAAATCTGCCCTGCCAAAGGAAAATTCAGTCCTGGCCACTTTGGCTGGCTTGGGGACTGGCGCTGTAATCGTTAAGATTGGCACAGACTATATTCACGATCTGGACAAACTGAAGAACTAAACGGGCAATCCATGTGGAAATGGTAAAGGCGATTTATGTTGTACACTAGTTTTTCTAAACATAAGAAAAGCACTGTGCAAAACAAGATTTTTGCGTACACAGAATAAAAATGAATAAAAAATTGATTTAGTGAAAATAATCATATATGGAGTATTTCATTTGAATAAGTTGATTGCCAAAATACCCAGAAAATCGGCAAACAAATTCAGAATATTAAAATTTGTTTTTATTTAAAATTAAATGTACCTTTAATTGCCATCTCTTAACTGCTAATAATGCTTAACAATTGAATTGTTTTATATATATATATATATATATATGAATATATATATGTATATATATATATATATATGCGTGTGTGTGTTTGTATGTATTAATTTACGTGTAGGGGCGAACTCGTTCATTTCGTATGTTAGCCCGATTTCAATAAAGAAAGTGTATCTTAAACGCCAAATACTTATTTACAAACTTCATCTGGTTAAAAACGTTCTACAAATTGCCTCGGCGACATTGAATTGACGACTACGTTTATTGTTAATCATTTTTTTGTATTGCAAAAAACATACAAATTACTTTGTAAACTTAATCTTAAATATGCACACATACTTTACAAACATACAGTGGTCATCAGTGGCTTAACTACGTACATTCTAATCAATATATATATATATGACATAAAAAACAAAAATCATCTAATCATCACTGTATATAGTTTACGATTTTTTTCAACGTTCATAATTATTGCGCCGAAAAACTTGAAACAACTAAATTATGAATACATATTGCATTTACAAAACACAAGGGTGCGGACCAAGAAACAATTATAAGCATGATTGGAAGATGCGAAGCGATTTCGATTTCGATTTCAACTATTGCATTATTGTGGTCGTGCAACAGCCACAACACTAAACTAAGTGAAGGATGCAACGTTTACCAATTCGATTCAAACTGCAGGTTGTTGTCAGATTTGAATTTAGTAGTAGTAGCTGCTACACACTGCACTGCGCTGCACTGACTGCTGTCTCTATCTCTCTATATACTCTACTGCACTTTCATTTCCACGCCGAGCACATCGCGCAGTTCGCGCAGCTCCTGTGGTCCCTGCATAAGGCGCTTAACGCCGCGTGGCAAGCCGCGGCACGATGCTAGATTAATTGAGCTCATGTGCACACAATTCGTGAGTATTTCCTTGACTGCCTCCTCCGAAACTGATGAGCCGCACAGATTCAAGTGCCTGTGTAAAGCGAAATGTATATTTGACTTGTACATTTAATCGTAAATAAATATTATTCAAGTGACTTACGCCAATGGACTCTCGCTGCCCTTCTCGGCAAGCGCACGCAAAGCATTATCAATGGGATGCTGGACATTTGCCCACGCCAGGTCCAGTTCAATGAGACTGTGCGCCCACTTGGACGCAATGAGTTCGAGACCAGATCTGTAAAAAATAATTCATAGCTAATTAATAAAATGAACTAGCAATCAGCAATACTAGCTGCATACCCCATATCACGAGTGACTGAGCAGCCCGATAGGAATAAATGCTTGATATCCCATGCTGGCAGCCGAATAAGACTCTCGTGCGTCAGACGTGTACAATTGCGCACATCCAGCAGCTTCAGCTTGGAGCTGCTTTTCAATATGCGCTGCAAATGATCATCACCTATGATGCGGGATTCATCGGTTAGAGCGGCCACGGATAGCTCCTCGAGATTGGGAAATCCGGGCGAGTCCATCTGAAAAAGTCACAGTCTCAGTAAGGAAACACAATCAACACTGAAACACATACAATCTCCTGCATGCTGGCCGTGCTTGGTGTTATATGTGAGTTGGTTACACGGAGCACCTTCAGCTTCTGGCAGCCATGCTGCAGCTTCTCGATGTACAGCACGCCGTGCGATGTTGCCTGTGTGGTCACGTTTGAGAGATCTAAGAGCTCCAAGTTTGGGCAGTGCGCCTGTAAGAACGAGTAATTATATTACTAAAACATTTTGCTTCTCAATTAGTAGTCGCTTAGTAATAGTCAAATCATTCTTTTCCTGTACAAATTTGAGCTGATCGCGAATTAGAATCGAAACATTATTATATTGAAGCGACCGCTGTATACTAATTCTTGAGTTGAAACAATTAAATAATGTATTATATTCCGCACCGCAAGTACGCTGACAATATTGGGTATTCCCGCCAGACGGTTGTGTGCCAAGTAGAGATGGGTCAAGCGAGTTCCCATTGTCTGCAATGCACTGCAGAGAGAGTTAACGCCCACAGCACTCTTGCTAGCATTCATTTCGACCTAGAATATCAAGGATTATAAATTAATTAACATCTACTACACCATTTACTGTAGCCACTTACATTGATGGAGCTCAAGTCTAAACGCTGTAATTTTTTCATATTGTCGACCAGAAATGACAAATGATCCGAAAAGAAACCTTTCCAACCAGATAACGTAATACCCGTTAGATTCGGACAGCCATTAGACAGTTTTGCTAGAAAGCAATTGATGTCTGATATCTTAAAATTTGCTGCAAGTAAGAAAATAATAATCATCATAATAAGCAAATATTACAGTGTAGTCAACGCCACTTACAAACATTCAATTCGGTACAGGCACTACAGCGATTGTCCACAAACCACTTGAGTTTGAGTTCTGTACGATACTTTTCCTTTATCCAAGTGGTCAAGTCCATTGTGCGCCACAGCACTGGCCTCAGTGAGACCTGTCGCCACAACGAGCACACGCGCCCCAGCTTAAATAGTGTGGGCAAACAGCCCTCCGTATCGATAACATGTTCAAAAATCTACAAAACAAACGTAATTACAGATTAAGTCTATTAAAGATGTATTTGGATTTTGCATTGTTGGCTTACACGAAAGAGTACTTCTTCAGGTAACTTTTCAGCCCACACACTCTGCTCGCCTGGCTCGTCATCGTCCTCTGCCTGAACTGAGGTGCTCGTCGATGACTTCTTCTGGCCGTTATTGCTGCTTCCGCCGCCCGCTTTTTTCTTCCGCGGTTCGTACTCGCCCTCATCGCTATCCTGGGGCTTTGGTTTCCGAACGCGTTTACGTGCTGGCTTCGATGCAGCTACTGATCTTGGAGCTGGCAGCGCTGGGGATGCGACTGTCGATGTGCCCACTGCCAACTCGGCCGTAATCGCATCCGACTTTTTTATGCACAGCTTGATGCCCGTCTTGTTGTCACTGATCTCGCTTTCGTACATGGGCAAGGCTTTTGGCTTGCGCGCACGCGACGCACGCGGTGATGTGGAGGCCGACTTGTTTAGTTTCTTGTTAAGCGCCGTTACAAGCGGTTTGCCCGTCTTTGGTATGGTGCCGTTGACAGTTGTTTCCGCCTGATCTTGTGCCAGCTCCTGCTTTGGAGTTGTTTCCCTTTTTGTTGGTGTCTGCTGCTTCTGCTGCTGATGCTTCTGTTTCGGTTGCTCTGCTCTTGCTTTCGGCGAGCACTGACCTTCAGAAGCTGGTGAGCATGACGTCGATGTGGCCGTATTCGTCTCATCCGTTTGTGTTTCGGACTTGGGCGGTGATAATATATTCTCGGGTATGGCTGCTGCTGCTGTTACTACCGCTGCTGCTGCACCCGTGGCAGCAGCACTTGACGCTGTTGCCGTTTTTGTGGTTGTGCTTGTGGTCGTCGTCTCAGCCGCCAGCAGCTGTGGCGGCGTCTGTGATGGAGTCGACGGCGTCAACGTATTGATATCCTCGGTGCTCGCTGCGCAACTTAACTGCTTTACACACAAGCCATGATCTTGGTCTTGGGCCTGCACTTTATCCGTGTCCATGGGAGTTGTTGTTGCTTCTGGCTCGCTCACTTTGGATGTCTTAACACTTGCCACATGCCGCTGATCTTCAAGCTTGGCTACATCGTTTGGGTTTGGTTTTGTCGCCGTCGTTTCACTCATTTCCGCTTCTCTGCTTTTCTGCAATTGAAAATGGGTGAGAAAGGTAAATACGCGCATCAGCCATCATCATTTTAGCGGCCGGGAAAATCGATGCCAGAAATCAACACAAAACAAACTCAGCCCATTTTGGCGGTTCTTCCCAGTTCTCTATGCGTTCTCATTCTTGGGTGCTCTCCCATAAACAACACAGCTCAACAACTCAACTTGCAATCGTAAATCTCACCAGCCACGACAAATTACATATGTATTTTTTTGTTTTTATTTTTATTCGTTTGTTCGCTTTTAATAAACAAGTTGCGGTTGGGTCACACCGACCTAACGATAACCTGCCAGTCACTTAAGCTTCGTATCCCCGCAGGTCATTCGGTTTATGTAAAGCTCTAAACACACTCTTATCGCATGCTGATAAGGAATATCGTTTAATTATGTACAAATCGGTCGAGATACATGTTGATTTTTCACTGCCAACGAAGCGTTGCACTCATATGCCGCGCTCGACAATTGCGTGCAGGGTGCAATAATCGGCATTCAACTCACCACTTCAAGAGAGGTAGGTACACAAATATATGTTATCTGCGCACACGACTGCTTGGCTCGCTCGCACTCACTGCGGTACTATATCAGCGCTTCGGTGTGAACGGTGCGGCACTATGTGTATGTTTGAATTGTTCGATTCGGAAGATTTTTTTCGTTTGGCGTTCATGGAATTTTATACGCGTTTTGCTATCAAAACTGTAGCATTTACATTTTTGCCAAGCACTTGTGGCACTGGACACTGTTTGATCACGGCATTGACAACAATTCAAGCATATTTAACACCAAAATGCAACGCAAACTTAATTTTAACCAACTGCAACGACGTAGAAGCCAGAGCAGCGATGTTGTTGTCGTATCGATACGCGACATCGATAGATGAGTTGTTTTTCAGACAGTGTAGCCAACAACTTCCCATTGTAAAAATACCAAATCAAGCGCTCAAGCGCCTCAATTTAAGCACATGAAGCTTTTATTTATTTTTTCAAATTTCATCGGATATTTACTAATTATTTGCAGAGCCTAACTTAAGAGATTTAACACTAAGATAAGATTAAGGACACAAATTCGAAAATTCCTAAAACAGTTTCTTAGTATTCGTAATCCAAATTTGCAATCTCTGGCATAACCGTAAGATCCTTGTGGATATCAAGCCAACGCTTAGCATCAATTGTCGTCTTCTCATATGTCCTGCCGAACTTGTACATATGTCCTGGCACATGACCCGCGTAACTGGGATTCAGGCCATGTGTCTTGTGATAAATAATAAAGTGTCCAACGGGGGGACACTTAATAGCCGGCGTGGTCAAATCCTGGCCACAGCACCACCTGTCCCGCTTCTTCTTGTACACATAATCCGAGAAGCTGCTGAGTGCGTTGTGCGTCAGCACCTTGGTCGACTCCCCAAAGCGTGTCACTGCCATTGGAATGTGAGCGGCATAGCCATTGATAATGAACTTATCCTTATCATCATCGTCTAGGAAGTGGGGCGTGGTGAATTTGCTGTAGTAAAGTTTCTCTGTTGACGGCGGACACTTTTCCTCCTTGATACCCTTGCAGCAACTGGTCACAGGTATCAAGGGTGCGCGATAATGCGATTGGGGCAACTAAAGGCGAGAGAGGGAGAGAGACAGCTCAAGGATGCAGTTTAAAAATGGAAACTCACCAATCGCTCGTTCAACTGGTGTTCGAAGAGACCTCGCCCGCTCTCGAGAAGATCACGATGGCGCAGCGAGCGCTTCTCACAGCGGTACAACTGCATCAGGGTCTCGTGCTGAGCGACCCCCGCTGCGGCAGCGGCCACAAAACGTTTTCCCGTCTGCGTGAACATGTTGGGCACAAAGCCCGCATAGCCCGGTATGATGGGATGTCGATAGACGGCGTCCACGAACTCATCACGATCGTGCAGAATCTTTAGCTCATTTTGCGTGGGATAATCTTTGAGATCGGGCTTGGCGTGTATAGGCGCAACAATTAGTTCCGGCGCGTGATTGCTGCACGGATCGATGAGCAGCTTGTGCGTCTGCTTCCCATACGTGCTGCCAACGCGATCACGATTCTCTGGACAATGGCCAGTATAGCTGCAGTTAACGGGCGAATCAGGCGGATACTAGTAAACTCATTAAGGCAACGCTTACCCTGGCACTAAATGCGGCTCGGGAGTTATGGTTCGTTCCATTTTGGGTTTGAAATTAAAGTAACACTGACAATTTGGAAATTTAAGCTTTATACATAGATTTAATTTAGCTAAAAAATTGAAGCCTCTTTTCTTAATATTTACATTATTTACACAAAACCCGGAAAACTCAGTGAGCTATGAACAAGTAAATTGATGCTGTCTTGTTTCCAACAATTACAATTTATCAGACGCCAGCAATGCGCAACATCTCCTGAATAGTAACAATTTTCTCTCGAGGCTTGCCCTTGGCCTTGCCAACCGCACGTTCGTATTGATCGATGCGATTCCAGCCGCTCCAGGTGACAACGGACTTGTTGGCCGGTTCAAAGCCCGGTTTTAGTGCATCTGTGTCAAAGGATTTAGCCGCAATGTCATCGCAAATGGTTTTGGCAACGGCAAAAGCGCCATTCATGGTAGTCAGTATAACGCCAGTTGGTCCAGTGCCCAGCCAGCCAGCCACATACAGGCCGGGCTCCACACTCTTCGATGAGTTGTCCTTAAGCACGCGTCCTTGCAGATTGCACACATGGCCGCGTTGCGCATCAAAATTGATGGCAGCATCGGCACAGCTGGATTTGTAGCCAATACTGCGCAGTATTAAATTTGCCGGCAGGCGTTCCGTTGCCTCTGTGGCCACTGCAGCATTGTTCTTCAGTTCGGTTATTGCAAATTCCATTTCATTCTGGTTAATCGCTTTGGGCGCACGCAGAAAGACGGGCAGAAACTGTTTCCCAATGCTAGGGGTACCCTTGCGATTGCTCTGCTCGCCCAGACTCTTTAGCATCAGTTCGGTAAGACGCTTCCGTGGTCGCTGCAGCTTATCCAACTGGTCAGCAATGCCTGTGGGTATTCAAGCTCGATTAACTAATCTATCGATCATCATTTAAGGCATTACCCGTAAAGTCTTCTGGGCGCCAACACGTGTCCACATTTGGCAGCTTGAGCATCTCGCGCAGCTCTTTGATGGTGAACGCAGCCTGTAGCGGACCCCTACGACCCACCAGATGAACCCGCTCAACTTTGCTACTGGCGAGTGCCTCCAGTGCATAGTCGGTTGTATCCGTCAGCTGCAAACGGCAAATGGAAACGAATCAGTTGTTGATTAAATAGATTCATCTATTCACTTACCTTCAGGCTGTCCAGAGGGCTGAGCAACATGCGTGCAACATCAACGGCTACATTGCCCTGCCCCACAACAGTCACATCGCGTCCACTCAAATCGGGCTGCAGTTGCTCAGCGCCGGGCAGACCATTATACCAGGCCACAAACTTCCTGGCCGATATGATACGCGGCTGTTCCTCATTCGCCAGCTGCAGTTCGCGATCCTGATCCGCACCGTAGGTGAGCAGAACGGCATGGTAACGATCGCGCAGCTCCTGCAGGGTCACATCTGTGCCGAGTGTTACGTTGCCAAAGAAACGTAGTCGCGGATTCTCCGCCGTCTTCGTAAACGTATTAATGACGTTCTTGACCTCCGGATGATCGGGCGCAACTCCAAAGCTGGAATGTCGAATGGAATTTGCATAATGGCACAAGTCATTAGTCGATAAGTGTTAAGCCACAAGCCACATTCCAGATATACATATATAAAGACCAACAATCATTTCCGCCCCAAACTTAGTTTGCACTCAGCTGAACATGTGGACGACTGCTGTTCTGCTCGTGGCATGCCTCTGGCTGCTTTGCCAGCTATTGATTGTTTCTGCGGCAACGCCATCGGCAATCTGGAGCCTCAATCAACTGGGCGGTGAGTAACAGGAGCTCTTGGATTGCTTGGATTTCTTGCATTTGCCTCTTTTTTCCTCACCGCACAGCTTACTTCAATGGCATCTTTCGCTCGATTGTGGGACCGCTCTTTGGGTTTGGTGATGGTGCCAATAATAGCACAAGTAATTAGTCTGTTACCTATTTTGAATTTTTTTTCCTTCTTGCAACGCTTACCGCACCAATCCAAAAGGCACCGGCAACTTCTCCACGATGTCCACGGCACAATCGCTCAGCTGCTTGAGTAAATATTGAGCTGCATAGAAACCGGCGGGGCCAGCGCCGACAATGCAAATTCGCTTTGTGGCACCTGTTGTCGCCTGTTGCACATTTTGTGTTTTAATTGCACTTGTACTAAAGTTATTGCTGTATAAGTTTAATAGTAATTTTCGTCTCGAATATATAAAATTGCGCATTAAATGCATTTCTTGTCCACAAAGATAGCTTTGTAATCGTGAAATGGCACAAAATCAAAACACAAAGAGCAGTGTGACCGTTTGCGGGGCATACAAGAGTGACAGCACTGACAGCGACATTGGCGCCTAATTTAAATTAGTTATTGCTGTATATATTTAATATTAATTTTCGACCAGAATATTAAAATGGCACAAAATCAGGACAGAATGGTCACAATTTAACCGTTTGCTTGGAATAGCAGCCGCGGTGCTTAATTTGAAGTTCGAGGTTCAACTGTTTTTTAAATTTTTGCAGATACTTTATTGAAATTTATAACGAGTAAATTTGTGGTGCAATATTTGAAAGAGTGCTGAATAGTTTTATTCGTGGTGCAAGACCAACCAACGTTTGGCATCAACCGTGGACCGTCCAAATGTGTGTCCAACATTATAAATCTCGCCAGGCACATGTCCGCCATAGCGCGGCAGCATGCCAATCACTCGAGGATAGATGACGCCATTGGTGACCGCATGGGAGCGACCAACGCCTGCGCTGCGAACCGGAACCCACTCGACACTGCGGCGAAAGTGCATGTCGTCCTTGGGATTGCACCAGCCACCGGTGGGCAAATAAAAATCAAAGCCACCTAAGCCAAAATCGCTATAAAAACAATTCAGAAAACCCTATTTAAATAACTTACGATTCGAATACGACATTATATTAAAAAGTATATTTGGAGAGAGAGAAAGAGTGTTGACTGTGATCTGTTGAGCGGAAACAAATTCGACAAACTAAGCCTTGTCGAGTTTCTATTGACGGAAGTGGCTTCGACAAAACGATTTATTTATTTGCCATGGCAACCAGACACGGAGTGAGTCACAGCCATAGTTTTTAAAGGGTGCTGACAGACCATAATTCATATCTGTTGGTTAAAATCTGGAGAGGTTGCAAAAAGCAGCAACAAGTTATCTGCCCGTCACGAAATGTCATACTTAATGGGCATTCATAATGGTAATAAATGTAATAGCTTTTTTCATTTTCTTTTTTTGTTTTTTTGAATAAACACGCAGTGCACAATTTCAACCTAGTACGTATATATAACTTTTATATTAGATAATTTGCATATGCAGGTGATATACAATCTATTCATTTACAGGGAATTTATACTTTGATTATCATTTAACAATGGGTGCATCTCTATTTTGCCGTTGCTGTTATTGTTGTTGTTGTTGAAAATTTAATATAAATTTCAAGAATCGCTTGCAAATATTAGATGCAATATATTCATTAATCCATTTCAATTGGACTTCTTTGTCTTCTTCTGCTGTTTGCTCTTGAGTTTCTCCTGCTTCTTCAGCTCCTTCTCCGTTAGCGATTTGTACAGCTTGAACCCGAAGAGAGCTAAAATAAAAGCCAAAGACGAAATAGTTAGCAAATGGTGACAATTCAACTTCGGCCAGCAATAATAATTAACCGAATATTGAGACGATGAGAAATATGACAGCAACCAGTATTGAGGTGGAATAGGTATCGGCAAAATGTGTATGTTGCAGCAGGCGACGCTCAATGCCTGCTATGGCATCCTGAATTGAACCCTTCATCTCGCCGAGGAACTGGTGACGATCGCTCTCCGTCAGTGATTCCAATTTTGCTTGCAATTGGCCTATTTTCTGTATCAGATCTTCGGCAAATTTGCTATGTGGCCCCGTCTTTGCCACAATCAACTCGACGGACCGTTTGAGCTGCTCAATTATGGATTCATCCGTGGAACTCATTGTACAATTTTGAAAGGAAATTTGAGGAAGAGACAAACCGGCATGGATTTGTGGCCAGCTGGTCGACAATGTGCACACTGCTATAGGCAAAAAGCTTTTGGATCGCTTCTCACAATTTTTGTGGTGGATTTCTGCTTATCTTATCGTAAATCGAACACTAATAAACCAAAACGAGTATGTTAACAGAGCACACTACTCAAATAGACGTACTAAAACCACATAAAATAATAATATACAAAAAAAAAAAACAAATTACAGATAGGTGTGACGATATTTGGGGCGAGGGTCGACACTGGAATTGTGCTTACCAAAGACGATCAAGATGAGCGCAATCATCACAAAGAACACAATATACTCTCGGGAACTGTGACCCGGCTGTCCATATTGTTTCATGAAATCCTCCGGCGATGATGCTTGGGGATTGAATATGCTCTCGCGTAGCTCTTCACGCTCAGTATCCGAAATGCCCTCCATGGATTCGACCATTTTCCAGATGTCCTCGGCACTGGGCATTTTAAAATCGGGACTACCGGGACCAGCACTACCTGGTGGCGGCATTGCGAAACCCTGATCGCCGCCAGCTGCTGCCGCAGCGGCCACATCCTCGGCAAATGCCCGCTGATTAACAGGATCATCGGCCATATTTGCTATATTATGATCTTGTTTTGCTTCCAACTAGTACGATTGCGACAAACAACGTTTTTGTTTAACGTTTAATTGTGTCTACATTTTTAGGGCGGAAGTTATAATTATGATCAGAAACCTCGACAAGGCAAAATAATTTACAAACTAGCTATCGGTTATGAATCGCCAATCAATTTTTAGCATGCTGCAGTTTTTTTTCTATTAACTTTACATATAATTTAAAATTATTTGGCACGTTTGTGTTTAGTAATAAAAAGAAAATCATGCAAATATAAATAAAAAAAATAACATTGACGAAAATTTAATTTATTCAATTGAAAAGCACGACGTGGCAACGCTGTGTGAGAGAGAGTGGCGCGCTCTCTTGCTGTCTTATGACACTTTAGACGAACGCAGCCAACAGCAGTCGTGGCCGAGTGGTTAAGGCGTCTGACTCGAAATCAGATTCCCTCTGGGAGCGTAGGTTCGAATCCTACCGGCTGCGAGAGTTTGGCAACTTTTTCGTTTTTATTTTTTTGTTTCTTTCTAATTATTATTTTAAACTAACTTGTTTTCATTTATCTTTTCGAATTTGCAAATACTAACTCACTTTGAATAAATTACGAGAATTTTGTAGCGAATAAGCGCTGCTAACGTGTTGCGGCTGCTGCTGCTACTTTGGTCAACTGAACACTAAAAATCAAATCTAAAATATAAATTGACACTTATTTGTAATCAGTACGCTTATATTTCATTATTTGTAAGATATTCTGTGCAATTGTTGTTATTTGCTTTGCTGAGCTTTGCATTTTTTTTTTTTTTCATCAGCGTCAGCATATTTTAAAGGTAGACCGAATATAGAAAACCTCAACTACAGGTGCGATAAGAATACTTAAGAAGCGCGCTTATCAGTCGAAACTATATAAAAATATGTGCGGCATATGGGGTCAGCACATACAAATATGTATATAGATTCTAGTATATATTTATAGACACGCAGCTCAAGCTAAGACATCAACTGGAAACTAAAGATCCAATTCCAAATGCTAATTTGGTAATGCTCAACACGTGTAAATGCATATGTATCAATATATTTTTAGTTATTTCAATTAATGAGTGGAGTGGATAATTGTGTTTGCTGGCTTCTCTCTTATCGCACTGGCTTCTTATCACCAAAATGTTTGCAGATAGCAGAAAGTTGAATACGTACGCAAAAAAATAGAACAGGAAATACAAAAAAAGGAGCGAATTTGATCAGAGATAATTGGACAATACACTAAGTACACGTATGCCACACAGTGAAATTCAAAATCTTGTATGCTCTTCAAGTCAAAATCAAATAAATTTTTTATGCTCGTCTAATAAGAATGCAGATAACGGCACTGAAACCAGCTTAGCAGAGGCAGCGAATAAGAACATCAAGGGGCGCGGGCTTTTTTTTTAAGGGGATCAGATACATTCTACTTTTTTGTGGTGAAAGTTGTTTTGTTTTGTTGACCCAATTGCAGTGAGGCTTACCAAGTGTGTATTGTCTTTATTTTTTATTGCATGCATGACGCAACATAACGGGAGGATAGGGGTGGTGAACGGGGGTTAAGTGCACCCGCAATGGATGCGAGAGTTAGAAACTCACCTGCTAAACCAAAAACAACGACAGCCGGCACATAGAAGGCTAGATTCGGTATTGACTGCTGGAACGGTGAGCCGGCATCGGTTAAATCAACCATTGTGTAGAAATTTTACAAATTAAACGAATATCGTATTGGAAATAACTAAGGCAGCTTATTGGGCTGTTCTGTTGTCGTCGCACTTTCAAGTTTATCTCAGAAAATTGCCGAAACTCGACTCAGATGAAAATAATTTTACAGGCCCTGCCACCTAACTGAACAAATTTAATGGTTGCCATGCATTAATTTTCAGTGCTGTCAACGCACAATGCTTAACATTTTTGCGTTGTTAAGCACTGGTTTGTGACAGCTGTTTATTGACGTGCGAAGCGACTGCAAATTTGCAAGAAAAATACGAATTTCGCTGAAAGCTTGAGCAAAAATGAAGGTGATCTACAATACTCTGTTCAAGCGTACCTCCGCCTACGCAGTGGCCATCATGGCATCGGCATTCTTCTTTGAGCGCGCCATCGATGTCAGCTCAAACACGATCTACGACACCATCAACAAAGGCGTAAGTTTTCCCGCTTATGTAAGACTAAATTGTGCATTTTGAGAACGTCTCGTTTTTTTTTCTTCTAGAAACTCTGGAAGGACATCAAGGGCAAATATGAATAGATCGACGCTACTTCAGCACTGCAGTTAGTTTTAAATAAAACAATGTTAAAGGGCTCTTAAAAAACAACGTTTATTGTAAACGGCACGAATCCCAAAACAAAATTATTTCTCTTTTATTTATTTGTCATTGATTCGGATTGTTCGGATACCTGCCATGGCTTCTCGTGCCTGTAGGCATCCCAGGGTTGGGTGTTTGGCAGTCTGCTTGGCTCCTCGAAGCTGACGCCGTTCGCCTGCACAGTTTGCAGTAACTTTTCCAGTTTGCTGCCAGCAACTGCTTCAACGTTGCAGGTCATTTCTGTGATGCCAGCTTGGAGGCATCTTTGGGCTAGCACTCGTCCCAGATTGACAAATGCAGAGGTGTCGTTTGTTTTATACAATTGCTGTTTGATGGCCCACTCCGAGGTGCTGGCACTAAGAATGGTGCCGTTCTCGAAATGCTTCACATCTGCGCTCACATAGCGTCCGCTGATATTGATCTCCAGTGTATGCCAGAAGGAACGCCCAGGCTTCTCCAGGTGATAGCCGCTGGGCTTGTAGGCTATACGTAATCTTTCCAGGTTTCGAGGATTGCGGTTGACCACACAGCTAGCATCCTCGCTGGCGGGCGTGGTCAGCGCTTTTATCTTGTGCAGCACTCGGGCGGAGATGAGGGGACGGGCGCTACGTGACATGCTTTATTTATTCTTTTATTTTTAAGTCACTTTAATATGAAAATTAATCAATTTCTTGCTCGATATTTCTTTATGATGAGCTTTTTGATTAAACAACTGGCAGCACTGAATGAATGCTGTACGTGCAAACGTGACCTGTGAATGGCAAATATATGCACAGCTGTTTCGGCCTTGTTTACATTGAAAATTTTTTAATTATTTATATTTCGAGTATATTTATTGCTTTAGTGGGAACTTAAATTCCCACAGACATGCGCGCTTCAGCCAAAGTGAGCGCTGGGCACCCAATTAACTGGCACGGGCCTCGATGCGCAAAAATTGCCCAGCTGAAATTGAAATTGCAAGTCGATAGTTGCAGCGCAAGTCCAAAATTGGCAAAGTGGCACGCGAAACGAAAAGAACGCTTATGTAAAACGCGGGTAGCAAAAGCGCATATAGTTCAAATTCGGCAGGAGCATATATAACTAAAAAATTGAGTGTTCATCATGCTGTTGGCGATTTGTATGAGTTTGCGGCGAATGCGGCCCAACCACGTGAATTTAAATGCCACGCGATGCTTGTGGCATTTCCATCGGCAACACCTGCCACACAGCATTTATGGCCAGCATGCCACTTACACACTGGGCGCAAGGGTAAGCGACTCAATATGCTAAGTCGAAAAATAATTTTAAGGTCAAATCTCGGCTATTTTTTGCACTGTTTCATTGATTTTCTTTTAATTGCTACGCGTGCTTTTGCACAATCCACCACGGCTTGTGTGCGTAACTCACCACGGCAACCAGGGCTACGCTGGCATTGGCGCGTCTATTTAAATGCGCAATGCATTTTCTCTCTCTCTCCCTCGCTCTCTCTGGGCAAATAGCAGCAACGTGCTTTCACTGCAACTGATAAGTGTTCACTGATAGTGCTAATACTAGTCTGTTGTCCAACACTCTCCCGCTTCCTCTCTCTCTTGAACGCCGCCCCTCTCTTGCCCTTGAACGCCACCTGAGCGTGCTCGCTACATTTGCACATTTGACCAAAAATTGTCAGTTACATTTTCAAGTTGTTGTCGCACGGTTGTCGTTGTGTCCCCATCCGTTTGGATTCCGTCAAAAAAACTAAAATTTGACTCTAGTATACGAGATGAACAGAAGAACAGAAATACAGTGGCGCAAACGGCAATTATGAAATCTAATTGAGAAATTGCACAAGACGCACAAAATTTATTTTAAATTAATTGAAGGCGAGTCAATTTATAAATTGTTTCAATCTTTTCGCTTTCTGGACTTTGAGAGACGTTAAAATGTCACCTTTGTATTGAGAGTGATGCAAATTGGCCACCCGGAAATGAAAAGCCAGCATCAGCACCTCATGTATTTATTCTTAAGAAAAACGCTATGTAAAATGTTCTGGTTTCATTTATAAGTATTATTCAGAGAAATTTCTTAAAAAATAATAGTCTCAAGTTCTGTTTAGCGAGAGACCTCTGTACTTGTTTTGTTTTTCTTATTGCGTATTTATGTCACATTGTGTGTGTTTTTGCTGCTGTTGCTGCACAAGAGAAAAACTTGCAACAGATATGCATTTCCTCACTCTCTCTCTCTCTATTTTTCTCGCTATTTCTATCTCTCTCTTGCTCATCTCTCGCAGTGCGCATGTTAGTTACTCAATATTCCTGTGGGTGCACCCACCAAAAAAAAAAAACAAAAATAAAAGTAAACAATTTGACTTGTTGTCGATGACAAAGCAATTTATAACTTGGAATCGAAGCAAACTGAACTGAAATCAAAGAAAAGTTGCCTTCGATATTTGATAAGTACGATTAGATTAGGGCCGCCACAATGGCTTGTTGGACAACATGCTTAACTCTGCTTCCTATAATTCGCAGCATTACGTTCAAGCCCCCGAGGCTCGCCCCGTGCCCGATGAGAGATCCCCGCCAGGACTGCAGCAACAGCAGCAGCAGCAGCAGGATAACTTGCAACTCAATCTATTCTCGAATAGTGTAAGGCCGCCAACAAGCAAGGAGACGACAATACGCAGCCAGAACAAGAGCAAGGACTTCACATCATCGAGCATGTCATCGGACGTGCAAATTCCCTATCCCATCGATTGGATATTCCCAAGGCTTCGCACTCCCTCCATGCTCTGGTACATTGCCAGTCAGTTTGTGATCACCGTCGTTGGCGTATTTTCCAAAATTGTCCTAGGTAAGTGACATATATATTAGTCCACTACTTCGATATATATATATACATATACATGCAACTTGCGCCCTGTTGAGCCCTGGCAACTGACCTGACGCAATCCACAACAGCAAAGGCAATAACCCTAAAACAAAAGCAAATAAAATTTCATTCGGTTTCCTCATAGTATTTATGCATTTATTCTGCTCTCTTTATATATATGTAAAATATTTTGTATAAACATTTATGCATCAGATACATATATTTAAATATATATATATTTATATATATATATGTATGTATATATGTATATATATATACATACATATATATATATACATATATATGTATGTATATATATGTATATATATATATATAATAAATATAATAAATATTTATTTTTGCCGAGAATCTGTGCTTGACCGATTTTCATTCCCTTGCATATGAATATGTATATATATATGTATATATATATTTAAATATACATTTCAAGGCATGAAATGTGTAAAGCATAGTTGCGGAAAATCTGTATGGTATATAGACTCTTGTTCAGCATTCAAAATCGTGTTATTTATATTTACTGCTTTCGTTTTTGATTTACTATATATTATAAAGTTCCGAAAAGTATGCCATAAAAATAAAATGTTAATTTTATATATTTGTGTTTATATACATTTCATGACATGATCTCATACTCAGTATATATCCTGCATTCGCTTTTGATTAGTATATATTTGAAAGACCCAAAAGTATGCTATAAAAATGGAATATTAATTTAATTAATCTTCTGCTGCTCTCCCAGTATTTATGAACAAAACCCGAGTTCACAACAAGGAGCGACTGATTAGGGCGGTAACCGCACGACCCAAGGGCATACCACTGGTGACTGTCTCGAATCATCATTCCTGCTTCGACGATCCTGGCCTATGGGGCACCATGCCCGCCCATGTTGTATGCAACACATATCGGATAAGATGGTCAATGGCGGCACATGATATCTGCTTTACCAGGAAGCTGCATGCGATGTTCTTCATGTTCGGTTAGTGAGTCCACTAAAAAAAAGGTGATTTATATTAATTTTAATTTTATTGTGGACCAGGTAAATGCATACCGGTTGTGCGTGGCAGTGGTGTCTATCAGGATGCAATTAATCTGTGCATAGAGAAGTGCGCCTTGGGCGACTGGGTGCATGTGTTTCCCGAGGGCAAGGTGAACATGACCAAGGAGGAGTTGCGTCTGAAGTGGGGCGTCGGACGCATTATATACGAATCGCCACAGATACCCATTATACTGCCCATGTGGCACGAGGGCATGGACACTGTGCTGCCCAATGTGGAGCCATACAAGCTGCAGTGGGGCAAGAAGGTCACCGTTAACATTGGCAAACCGCTGGATCTGAACGAGTTCGTGCAGGATCTGAAAGACACTCGAGTGCCTGAGCCTGTGGCGCGAAAGCTCATCACTGACAAAATACAAGATGCCTTCCGGGTAAGTTCCATAGCTCCTAATCTCCACGTGCATTTCATTAATATTCGGTTTAAATTTATTGCAGGACCTGCGGTCCGAAACTGAGCGATTACACGGGGAGCGCGCTTAGCTGGGAGAAACAAAATGCTGTAGATAATGCATATAGCTTATTTATTTTTAAAGTATTAAGCCTATAACGAAGCCTCCATAAAATGTTCTCCATATTAATTGTATTTACCACTATATATTTTTTGTACTTGTATATGGACCTGCATGGATTTTTTAAACTAATTCAAAATTCAATTATTATGTGCAAGTTAACTTTAAGTGAAAAGATTATAAACTTATTAGTGTACATAAATATGAAAATATATAGCAAAGTCTGATTCAATTTTGAAGCACTGTTTGAAGTATTTATTTTAACATGGTGGCAACGCTGCCAAGCTTCAGCTGTCAGTGCAAACAAACACCGTTAGACGCTGCCTACGAAATGTGTGTAAATTAACAATTAACAATTATCAATTTCGAATTTAAAAAACTTAAAATTTTGTTATTTGTTTCACAGGTCTCTGTTAAAGTTTGCCAACAAGGAGAATGTACTGGTGTTAACCACGCCAAAGCGCAATAAACTGCTCAAGGACGGTCCGTCCGAGATTAAGCTCAACAGGCGTCAGATTTTAGGCCGGGGCGCTTTTGGCACAGTTTTCAAGGCCATCTATTGTGGTAGAAATGTACACAGTTATTATAATATTAGACTTGCTAAAGATTGCTTATTTTTAGACCAGCCAGTGGCATTGAAAATTATAAAAAGCAGCGCCATTGATACGCTGCAAAATGAGGCACACGTCTTAAACTGGCGGCACAAGAACATTGTGCGTCTCATCAAACTGGAATCCACACCAGAGTTTGGACTACTCATCATGGAACGTACGAATGGGTTGTGCCTGCAGCGTGTTCTCGACACGCTTGCGTTGCCCTTAGTGCATCGAGTGCTGTAAGAGTTTACTTCAGATTTAGTGTTTGTAGTAATTGTAATCCCTGTAATTCCTCACAGCATGACGATGGATATTCTGGCTGCATTGCATTATTGTCATTGCCAAAACGTGTTGCATTTGGATGTGAAGCCATCGAATATACTAGTTGCACTGGGCACCAAGCCAAGCGGCATTGGAAAATTTGGTCAATTGAAACGCAGCTATTTATGCAAACTGTGCGACTTTGGTGGTTCCATTCGGCTGGGTGATGTCTGCGCTGACCAGAGCAGTGCAAGGGGCACACTTCGTTATATGTCGCCAGAAGCGTTGCGTGCGGCACCGTTGAGCAGCGCCTCGGACATTTATTCGCTGGGCATTACGATGTGGCAGCTGCAGGCGCGTCGCCTGCCCTTTTATATGCTCACCTGCAATGAATCCATTGCCTATCAGGTGGTCAAGCATGATTTGCGGCCTGATAACTATGAACTGCTTGAGGCACTCAAAAGGGGCTCCTCCGAGCATGCACCTTTAATTGGCTGCGATTGTGCCGAAATAGGGGCCAACTCTGCGGATCTTATTTGCAGCTATGTGAATAGAGTTAATCCACAGTCAGATGTTGATTTGTACAAAAAACCAAATATGTTTGCTCGTCGCAGTCTCAACTTTGAGGTCACAACACATGGCCGTGTGCAGAAGCGCCATAAGCAGCGCAAGCAGCCGCGATTAGCCCACTACTTCGATGGTCTATCAACGGCTTTGGCCACGTGCCTGGAGAGTGCATATAGCGATCTGTATAGAAGCTGCTGGCTCAGTCAACCCGAATTACGCTTGAGCGCTCTTCAGCTACAGAAACGCCTAGAACTGATTCTGGCCAAGTGTCTAACTTAAGAATATAAATTATTCGATTAGGTAGCAGTGTATTACACTGTTTTTAATGTTTTATAGCGTATGCGTCTTATGAATTTATGTTAATGGTTAAATTTATGTAAATTGGTTTCATTATTTTAAAAAATAGATTCTGTTTTTAGCTAGATACATAGATAGATAAGTAAGAAATAATATAAATTGTAATTTATTTATTTATTACCTTTTAAATATAAACGAAATACGAATTACGTTTTTTTGTTGGTTTAATAATTTATTTTTCGTAACTTTTTTATTTTGTACTTGCTACGCTAAGAAAATACATTTATAATGTTTATACGAGCTTAAATTTATAATTTCTCATTGCGTCGAGCGTAGTGCGTTTGCTATAGGGTTTATATATATATATGTATATATATATATACTTATACTCATATAAATCGTACTTAGGATGTGATGCAAACCGAACCGAAGTCATCATCATATTGTTGTAGTTCAGTTCACACCGGTCGCTACTTAAAGAGACTAACTAGAGAGTAGAGTAGAAGAAGAGTTTCGCCCAGTGACTTTTTCGGTTTGGGGTTTACTATATATATATCTATTTACATGTTATTGTTATTGTTTGTTTTACATTCGCTTCGAAACCATATATCATCTATGTATATATATATATATATATATCTGTACCTACTATCATGTGTAGTTTGTATGCCTTTAAATTGCATTGTTTTGCTTTTGTTGTTTTTAGTATTTTCACCCAATTCATACAAATTTCTAACTCATCTCTGGAGTTTAACTATTAATGTGTGTGTGTTTACGTGTGCAATGCACTCTACTAACTGTTGATCTGTTATCTAACTGATAACCATACTCTAAATACACTCGTTTTTTATTTTTGTTTTTTGTGCGGAAGACTACAATTTTTGTTATATTCGTTTTAGATTAGTTGTTTCAAGTTCTGTTTTCTTTCGATAGCTAATAGTTTCAAGTTTTTGTTTTTTTTTTCAATTGCTGGCTATTCCAAAGACGTATATATATATATATGTGTGAGTGTATATGTCTGTATATCGATATATATATATATATATATGTATTTTGAAGAGTTGGAAATGCAATTTTCGAACACATAATTATCTCATTACGTTGCTCTACAAAAGGGTATAGAGCAAGTCGAGCGATTTGTGAATGCTTTTGGGAACAATTATCATAAACATTTTCAAAAACTCTATATATATTTATATGTGTGTGTGTGTATATATATATACAATTTAAATATGAAGTATTCGTACAATTACTTTATGTTCTTACTGCCTTCTCTCTGTTTCCATCTCTCGTTTTAGTTTGAATATATCACAATTTAGTCTTTTTAAATGCTTAAATCTACTGTGGAGCTTATTGCTCCTCAACTAACTTAGGGTTTACGGTTCGTTTCTCGTTTTTTTGTATATTGAAATTTAGATGAGATTGAAATGGGGGCGTGGCATCATTTCTTCTTAACTCGCATAGGAACGTCGCACGGGAACTGGCGGTGGAATTTTCGATTTGCGCTGTGGTTGCTGCTGCATTGGCAACTTTTGTGGCGTTTGTGGCGACGGCGACGATGGCGACGAGGATGTGGATGACGTTGATGAGGATGATGCCGCCGAGGAGGATGTGTGTTTGCACGTTGGAATTCGGGTGGGCGGCGCCTTTTGCTGGCAGCTCTTTGGCAACTCCGTTGACTTTGTTTCCTGCCGGGAATTTGTGAATTAAAAAACTTATTTCAAATTGCAAACGACAAACAAAAAATACCTTCTTTGGTGAAACAAGCGCTTTGGCGGCTTGCACTGGTGACGTCACACGCTTCCAGCCATTGCTGCGACGCCAGGAGTTGGCTGGCGATGGGGCATGCCGCTGCAGCAGTCGCTCCTTGAGCTTGGAAACAACCGCCGGTGGTGGCGCCGCTGGCACCGTCTCCTTGGCCACCATTTTGGCCATCAGGGCGCTACTGATGCTATCGCTGCGCACCACACTCGATTCGAGTTCGCGGCGCTGATTGTGCCGCAATATGCAGCTGGGCTCCTGCTCCTCCAGCACGGACTTTGACTTGACCAGCACTTGGCTCGGTCGTCGCAGCTCCGTCTTGATTATCTGTGCTATGCACTGCTGTTCGCTGAGAGGCGCCACTGGCGCATTGCTCACCATCGGCACATCCTCGATTTCAATGTCGCTGACGCGCCGCCTGCATTCCTCAATAACAGCATAATCGTGCTCCTCCTCCTCCTCCTCCTCCACCTCCACATCCATTACCTTTTCGGGTAGGACAAGTGGTGAATGTTGCTGCGTCGGTTGGGGCACTGAGTGCTCATCGGTTTCGCTGGAGGAGCAGCTGGTCAGTTGAGCGCGTCCCGCCTCGCTGGGCGTTGGACTGACGCGCGCTTTGATCTGACTCTCGGACATGCTCGAGTCCTGCTCCTCTTCGTCCTCATCCTCCTCGTCATCCTCATCCTCATCGTCTGTCTCCCCCTCGAGATAGGAGAACAGACTGCGCGAGGAAGTCGAACGTATGTTGACCAGTTTGTAAAAGTCGTTGGTAAAGTCCGTGCAGGCAACTTCCTCATCCTCAGAGTAGACAATCTGGGCCAAGTGAAGACGGATTGAAATTAAAATAAATAAATGTGAAATAAAGTCAGCAGTTCGACTCACCTTCTGCTGGAGCAGCTGAGCGATGCCGTCAGCAACGGAGTCCGTCTCCACGGTTGTCGAATTGATGAAGTCAACCGTTGATGGCCAGAGCCAGTCGTGTTCCCGCTTGCGTCGCTGCTCCCGCAGCTGCAGATGATGCTGATGGTCGCGCTCATCGTCGAAGGCTATCACAGCCAGCTCCTCCTGCGACATGCTCCAGTCTTCCATTTCCGTTGAGCATGGCTCCGCTGGCAGCAGCCACTGCTCCGGCTCCTCGGGCAAGTCCTCCAGATGCCCATTCGATGGCTGCGGCTGCCCGCTGCTCATTGTACAGTAGCCCTCGTCCCGCCCCTTCACCGGACTCGCCGACAGCGCCGCATTCTGTGCCTCCAGATCCCTAACACGACTCTTCAGCATGCTGACCTCCTCGCGCAGATTGTCCTCGGCCACAATTGCATCCACCACCTTTCGCATCACATCGTCCAAACAGTGCTCATACTGCCGGATTCGGGTGAGCAGCGCACGATTCTCCTGCTGCATCGAGTGCAAAAGATTCTCCTGGCGCGCAAAGCGAGTCTGCAAGAGATTGGCAGCGAGAGACTTATTAAATAATCCCCATAGCTCAACTTGTATAATTGTTAGCAATAAGAACCCATTAAATATACAGTTGCGAAACAAAGCACCACCCAAACAAAAAACTATTTTCAATGGTTTCTTAATTGCATTTGTAAGTCTACAAAATGAATGAATACGTTTCTAGAAACGGAAGACTCTTAAAACAAGTAAGAAATAAATAGACATAATCCTAATTAATAGTTATAAAAAGTGAAGAAAATAAAAAAAGGAATATTATGATTTCTATAAATAATTCTATTCGTTTTTTCGCTACTTTTTCCATTAGAATTAGAAAATAAATATAAAATTGTCGTAATGGTCAAATTATTTTATTTCGCAACTGAAAATATTTTGAAAAGGTAAGACGAGATGAGTAAATATAGAAGGTCCATCACAGCTATATTTGTCATATTGGTATGATAGAAAAATATAGGGTAATTAGGCGTGCTCCAATTTATACAAAGCTTTCCTTTCCTAATCAGCGCACATTTTTTTGGTCGATATGAGTTTTAATTCACATAATTTGTGTTTAGTTTATAATATGTAATTATATGAATATATATAAATATATATGTATTAATATATTTATAGATTAGAGTTATACAAAGTGACAGAGACAGGGTATGCTCTCGCCGGCTTCTCCTTTCATCTGCCGTTCTTAAACACTTTTCAGTTTCAGAAACACTCGAAAATCGGATGAAAGCGCTTTTAAAATATAGCCAACATTCAATTAAAAATATAATCGTGTACTTAAAATTTACAGAAGTTGAAAATTTGTTGTATTTATTTGTATTAGTACACTCAATCACTACGAAATTGGGGAGACCTTCTGGCGTTCAGAATGGAGGCGACCCAAACCGACCCTGCCCCGCTCGTTGCAGTGACGAGGGTCGCCACAGACTGGCTCAATTTATCAAACACTCTGAAGTGGCACAAAAGCATTTCGGATTGAAGTGCTAAATGAGTAGTTACATGCAGCTCTAGCCTCCCCCCAACGCACCCAATAAAAGCAACACACATTCAAAGTTGTTAACTGGCGCGAAGGTCGAATGCAACTATTGAGAGATCGAGCGCTTTGAATGCTTTGGCCAACCTTCAGATTCATTAGAGTCGCTTTAACAACAATTGGTTTAACTTGGCTTAAAGCACAAAAGCAATACCAGTTAACAGACACACACACACACAGTTACCAGTTGCCACCCACAGCGGGTGAGTTGGGAAAAGGCGGAGGAGATTCTTGCGCCTGGTGGGTAATGAAAAGATGCCGCTCAGTGAAGCGTCTCTAATGCAAACGCTCAATCAATTTCACAAAAAATAAGTAAAAGAATAAGTAAACAATCTCAAGACGAGTCTCACTCCCTCTCTCTCTCTCACTCCCTCTCTCTCTCTCTCTCTCTCGCTCTCTCTCGTTATTTCTGTGTTTCAGTTTCAGTTAGGAGTTTTCAGTTTCGGCCCAGATAAGCGACAATTTGTATGCAGAGAATGCGAGCGAAGGGAAACATTGTTCTTAAAAATGAATTTATGCGTTTATTTATGACTTCGTTGAGACTTCTGCGTCTTCGACAGCAGCGACTAACACCAGCCCCCAGCCCCCAGTCCCCTGTCCCATTTCCCCACTCTCAGACTCCCCCAGTGCTGATTTTTGACTCCAACTCCAGCAGAGAATTTCAACGCCAACTTTTGACTCGAATCCGACTGAAAACTCTTTGCCGCAGTGCAAATTGTTTTTTCTTTGTTTTCACATACTGCGAGGTGGGTTCAACAAGTTTGGCATAATGTTCGAAATTATTTACAATTGTAAAGAATTTTAATTGATTTTAATTTAATTGAGCATTCAGCATGGATATAATCATCCGCATAATCTATAAGCGCTGATACAAAAAAGGCCAAAAATGTACAAAAAAGAAACAATTTTTAGCCATGCGAAAAAAAGTATAAAATCAGAAATACTTTTTTCTATTGCTGAGAAATATATATCTCGATAAAAGAAATTATTTCTATAAATATAGCAATTCAACCCTTGTTTTTTTTTTTAAATATCAAAGTTATGGAAAAATGTTCACTCGTATCAAGAATTACGAGTTTAGAAAGACACAACTTTTGAGTTAAATCCAAATTGGAACTGCTAAAATTCCACTTTACTCTAGATTTAATAATAATCTCATGCATATAATATACGTAGTGATGATTATCTTAGTTTAAGTGCCACCCTCGCAGCCCGTTAAGCAGCACCTTATTACAAAATAGGAAATCCAAATTGTGAATAAATGTTGATATTGTAGGACATACCTGGAGTGCCTTGTGATCCCGGCATGTTTGCAGTTGCTTTCGTTCTTTGGATTTCATAATGCGATTCATGCTGAGGACGAATGTGAAGAGTTAAAAAAAATAAAGAGCAAAAACAAAATAAATATAAAATAAATGCTGTGTTTGGAAACGATTGCTAAAGTGTGTGGTGTGTGAAACAGCTGTGATTTGGAAAAGTGCGTGTGGCTTACCAAAAATACTTTTGACCAACGGAAACTGAACCACAAATGCCAAAAAAGTAAACCCTAAGCGTGAATTTGAATTGGCGTAATTACGTTTGTTGGCCTGGACACAAACCACAGTCGACTGATTGATGGCTTCTCGCGCGGAGCATGCTTCTAATGGCCAATACTCGCTGTGGGCCCAGTCGACTGCAAATAAATACTTCCTGCCTCCCTGCCTGGTTGCCTAGGCTGGCCTGCTGCGGCTTTCCAAGCCATTCGCTTTGGTCGGCTGGGCTGACGACGCTGCTCAGTAATTTGGAAAATTGCATTCAGTGCCGTTAACTTGGCTTTCTACAGAGAACATGGCCCAGGCAACATTTTGCTTCTTTTTTTTTTTTGTTTTTGAGTGCGTAATGGCGCTTGGACTATTTGGACTGGCTTCTGGGCAGGCAGTCAGCCTTGGCTGCAAGTTGAAGGCGTTCTCAGTCACGAGTTGCGAGTATGAAAAATATATTCACGTCCACTTTTCTGGCTAAAAGCAGCGCGAAAAACGAACTATTTTTCAAATTGCATAATTATGTGGCGCAAAGAATCTGAAAAGCGGAAAATCTACAAACTATGTATATACATTTTCCTGAATTACAATTTACTTTAACTAATGGAATGCATAAAACATAAGTCGCTGGCCAAAAGCTCGTAAATATTTGAAACCAGTGCCAAGAAAACATATCATTTGCATTATTCTGCTTTGTGTGCATAAATACTCTTCTTACTGCTACAATCTGTGGCATGGCATTGTTTATTATACCCTTTTTGTGGGTATTTTTATGTTGTTTTCAAATTTGCAAGGCATCGAAGGAGACGTCTTTGTATAAAACAATTTATTTAAAAATATTTCCTAGTTTCTGTGCGAGCGGATTAGCTTCTTCTGGTGTAATTCTGTCCGCTCAACACTCAAATATATGTATTTACTTTCTATCTCTATCAGCAGATATTGCAATGCTCCACTTTAGCTGGAATGAATTCAAGAGGTTTGAGATAAGAATATATAATAGAGAGATAAGAACTACACCTATAATTCCAGACGGAAAGCAACGATTACTTCAAAAGTAGTTTAAACAAGAGTGCAACAAATATTTCCTGGTGTGTTGTAACTTAAATAAACTAACAAATTGGCACTCTAATTGGGTCGAAACGAGGGGAGAGCTAAGTGTTTGCTATATCTTTCATTATGCCTGCATTTATTTTAAATACCCAATCTAGGGCATTGTAACTTAATTGGAGTTCAATTTAAAAAATTGCTAAAATAGTGTCTAAAAAAACTAGCAATGGAAAATTAAAGAATTAGCTGTAATGACTTTGTTATTTTAGATAGATCTGATAAGTAAATGGAAATAAATGGGATGACGTGCAATAAGCAATGTATTTTGTCCACACACACACACGCACACACACACACACACACTCGTGTACTTTTGATAAATAAATATAATTTGTCACTTACTTCTCAATTTGCTCGCGCAATTCCTTCTCGAACGTTGGCGACCCGCATTGGCTCTGAAAAAAGTGCATGAAAGCAAAAGAAAAGAATATAAAAAATGAAAAATTCGTGTGGGGAACGTATAAAAAAGAGATGAGTATTAAACGAAATGCGAAAGAAATTAAACACAATAAATTAGTGCACTTGGTCGATGATTAAGAACGACAATTTAATTGCCCGATATCACAGTGGCAATCAACGCCGCCGACAGCTGATGGAGGAGTGACAAAAAACTGACTAAACAAGCGGATGGGAGGGGGGGGGGGGGGGGTGTGTGGGGGCAGCTGTGTTTTTTGTGAGGGTAGCTAGGTTAACTGAAATTGTTTAGAGGAGAGCGAGGTGTGCGACGAGAGTGAGAGATATGGCGAGTGAGAAGCTTTATATGGCATAGAAAAACTTCAATTCGAGAATGCGGAACACTAAACTAAGCAGAGTAGTATGGAAGTGGCATAGAGGTAGGTAGAGAGAGCAGAGTGTAGACTCTGTTGCATGCAACAATAAATCAGCAGAGTCAACAACCGACACGGTACACAACAGCAGCAGCAACGATTCCCGGCAACAACCCGACTCGACTCTCAAGTCCAGCTGCTGTTTTGGCGTGAAATGTAATCGATAAAAAGTTACATCACGACAATTTCATCTATGTAACGTGACGACAGCCAACACACACACACACACACACACACACACACACACACACACAGATACACCGCTAGACATATACAACTAGAGATACTTTGATCCAAGTAGCAGACCCCAGGCAAGCACTTGTAATAAATCGTTTTGGTTTAGCGCAAACATAATGAATGACGAACAAGCTTCAAGTGTAAATAAAACTGAGCACTTTATGCACGAGATCTAAACTGAGATTAGCTATTAGATATATTTATGTACATTTATAATAATCACGACTTTATAAACAGCTTGACAATTACTGCTTCATCACTTCCCTGTGAGTCACACAGCATTTTCAGACTTCAACTGCTGCTGTCTCAGAAAATATTTCGAAGCTGAAGTAAATAGAAATATTTGATAAATGCTTGAAAACGGAATTCTTGGGTATGGACAATGCTGCAAGACTTTCATTGTTATCTCGAGGGCTGAGAGTGCGTTGAATTTCAATAAAACTACAAAAGCAGCACAAATATGCATAGAAACATTTCACAGAACGCTTTCATCTGCAGTCAGCGAATAAAAAGCAAACAGAACGTGAGGAATGCTTACGGAATTAACAATAAAAGGGCTTGATTTGACTGGACTTTTGCATATTCTGTGCCCAGAATTCTATTCAATAGTCTGACTTAAAAATTTGGAACATGTAAGTCAGGATTTATTAATGAACCTACTGTGATATATTGTAGTAAAATAATTGAAGCTTTCACAACAAAAAAACTGAAATTGTAAAGTAACACTCAAAGCTTAAATATTTTTCTAGTTATTAGAAAAATTCTAAATATACAAAAATACCTTCTTCAAATTGAAAAGGCTTCTCTCCTATTTTGTTGAAATGTATTTCTAAATTATAGAAAATATTTCTAAAAGTAAGTTAAGTCTTTCGTTTCTAACTCAATGAAGCATACTTGGAAAATATATAGCTAAAATATGCAAAATGTTTGCTTTAATATTCTAGGGAAACACCGATCAAAGTAATAGAAGAAAATGTTCTCCTTCTATGCCCTTCAAAGCTTATTATTATTTATTATTATTTCTTAACACGAGCAGTCATTATTAACAACGAATGTCGGTCAAAATAATAGTTGTGAAGCTTTCTTAGCTTGACCTGGAGCAAAATAATATTTCAAAAGACTAGATATGGGAAGAATCGATCTGAAAATAAGTGAGGCAAATAGATTATTGAGAATTTGCATTTTATGAAGCTGGAGTTCTATTATTTTGACCGCAGCTGTACAAAGCGAAAGCAAAATGAGAAACTACATGATATACCCTATGTTTTTCAAAGACGCCTCGTCTAATGCTCATCAAGAATGCATAGCTAAATTGTACTTTGAAAGATGGCAAACTGTTTACACACAAGTGGAACACACACACACACACACACATGCATACACATATGTATTTATGTATATATATATATATTATAAAAAAAAACATTGTATACCCTATGTTTTCAGCTGCTGCGCTCAAAACGATAATAAAAACGCAGCAGCACGCGCTAATTTAATGCCAGCAAGCAAACAACTGGCAGATCCCTCCCCCTCCCTACCTCCCTCTGCACCATCCTCCCGCCACCCTATCCACCCGCAATAAGGCTCTGGGAAGCTCCAACTGAATTACAAATATATGCAATAATTTTTATTAATTCGCCCCAACATCAGGCAAGCATAATACAATATTAAAATGCCGCCGTCGACGTCAAAAAATAAATGTGGATAGCGCGGAGAGGGGGACGCAGACTGGCAGAGGGGAACAGCAGGCAGCAGACGTCGACGTCGTCGTCGTCGTCGTCATCATCTTTGTCGTGACGTTGAGAGCCAGCAGAGAAATCAGGCGCCAAATGAGTAAGGCCTGCTGTGGCAGACTGATTGCCGTCTCATGGCGGCAGACAAGTGCTGCGCGGGGTGGGAGGGGGGAGCAGGGGCAGGGGGTAAATAAGAGAGGAGGAGTGTGAGTGGAATCTGGGCGCCACTTGTGCCACAGTGGCAGTGTGGCAGTGGCAGTGGCAGTGGCAGTGGCAGTGGCAGTGGCACAGAATGATGAACGTGTTAATAAAATTATAGGCCCAAACAAGGGGGGGATGGGATTCCAACATGGTACGAGCCCCCAACACCCGCCGCCCCTTCCCCAAAAAAATGCTATTTTGGGCAAGTGGTGCGGCTGCCAGCAGCTGTTGACTACTGACTGCACCCACAAACAGCAGCAACATCAAAAACAACAACAGCAACAACAAAAAGAACAGCAACAAAAATCTTGTGCCAAACATTCACAAGCCAAGCCCATAAGAGAGAGATAGTCGAGTGTGTTAGACTAGGTGATACCCTGTAGTCAGTTCTATAAATATTTATTTCTATCCTAATTGCAAAAATATATTATAAAACAAATTCAATATTTATGCCTCTAAAATATTTATTTTATTAAAGTTTATTTCTAAGATATGTATGATATCGTCTGATAAAATTAAAATATAATGGTATATAACTAAATATTAAATTAAAACTTCAGATGAAGAAAAGAAACAAAATAATAGAATATATGGCAACATATATAAATTAAATTCATTTCGCATTTATAATTTTAAAAATAACAACCAAAGTTGTTAGTAAATATTTATCAATATTTTTGTAGCTTTGTAACCTACAATGGAAATTTCGGCTTTACATAACTTTAAAATACCCTTCTTACCCATGTCTAATGTGTACAGGGCATAAGGAGGCACACATAAATATTCATTGTGAATTCTTGGTCATAAAAGGCGAGTCGAGAGCAGGCTGAGTAGAATGGATCGCTAGTGGGGCAAGCAGTTGGGGTAGCCAGTTTGGTAGCCAGCTTGGCCAAGCAGCCCATTGATAAAGTTATAAAATCGAACTGGACTTTGTGCATATTAATTAAGGCCTAAACCCAAAAGCCAAACACAATGCTGGCCATATTCCCAAAAAATTTCCATAAGTTTCAATTAGCTTGCGGCACGTTGCCAGGGGCACAAAAAACAAATTTATAAAAAGAAAAGATGATTTAAGGGTGCAGAAATTAACAAAACAAATCCCAGCAACATGTTGCACTCGTGTCGTGCCAAAACAATCAATGGGGTAGTGCGGAGTGGGCTCTGGGAGGCACATAAAAAATGCGTTAGAGGGTTGCAGCACGAGTGGATCACAGACCCATTTGCACCCGCAACCGTGAGCTGTAACTGTAATCCCCTGGACAAGCCGAGCAACCCCAGCTCACCAGCAGCACCAGGGGGAGTTTATTAGAATGAGGAGGGGCAAGGGGGGTATGTTGCCTTCTTGCTTGATTGGAGATCCATGGTGTCGTACATTTCAACTGATAGATTCCCATTGGTTGAGTGTGGGATTCTTTACAGCAATTTTTGAACATGCTTATTATTAATTAACATGCAGCTTGAGCAGCGGGTGGTAAAAAGTGTAGACTGCATATAAAGGGGGACAAATTTGAGTCAGTCAGTCAAAACTAGCTTGTGAATAAGTGAATATGTCAGTCTTATACAAGTAATGCCTCCGTATAAGAGATAGGCGGAAACCGTAAAATATTCTCTTTGTATCAGCTGGCCTTAAAATATTTTCAAATATAAATTAAAGTATAATTTTGAAAATAAATGTGCATTAACATTTAGTTGTGGAAGATTCATATACAATTACACTGATCTATAAAAGTTTGTATCAAATTAAAATTAAAAAGGAAGAGAGGACAAATTCCTTGATTTAAAAATTATTAAAATATTAATTTATTTTGGCACATTTATTTGTCTCCAAATTTTATTTAACTACCTTGTGACTATCGCAATAAAATAAAATAAATAAATAAATACAGAATTAAATGTTAGTAAATCATTTCATTCTGAACAAGCTTAAATTCATTTTGAATATTTTAAAGAGATTTGTGCTGGGTATTTTTTTTGCAAAAGCCTCGCCAAACATTCAAACAAATTGATTTCAGTTTGAAGCTGGCTAAAGGAATTTCAATGGACTTCTTCTCTTCTCAACCCCACGAAAATGCTGAACACAGGACGTAATTGTGCTCTGCTAAAAAGGATGCGAAAAACTTATTCAATTTATTAGGGAAATCTTACCATTTCAATAGTTCAATACGACAATATATCAATGAGCAGCTTAATGTTGTTTATCTGTGTGCTGTAATTTGTGCAAAGTTCTATGCTTTTTTGTTGTTTGCTTGTGGGAGAAGCACCAATAAGGGCGTAAAAATAACAAGCGGTCAAAAGGCACAGCCACAATTACAGCAACAGCAACCGGTCGATGTGTGTGTGTATGTTATAATGTAAAGTTAGGGGGACAGACAACGGCACAAAGGCGATAGCGCAATC